ACAATCTTCTTTCCGTCATTCTTATTACTCTCAGCATTCTGCTTTTCATGCCCAGCGCTTGCTTCTCCTTGGCTAGAACTGGGTTTTGCCCATACCGTAAACTGAGGGGAGCAATCACTTAGCTTGTGAAGCACCCGAGACTCGCTGTGTCCCATCTTTGGGTCACTTTTTACTTTCTCCGCGTCACGAAATCCGTCAAGATGGACGGCCGAATGGGCATGTCGACCTGGCACAGAAAGAGACGGCGCAGCAACTCTCCCGCCGCCGGTCCGTCAAAGCGTGCCAAGACCACCAACAATCAAGACACGGGGGGCGACGAGGACAGTGACAGCATTATCGAGGTCCAAATGGACGGATCCGAAGACGAAGTTCAAGACAAGTATGCCGTCCTGGACCAACGACTTGCCGTAAAGCAGGAGAGCGGTGCCGACAACCTGGCCTGCGATTTCTGCCTCAAGCTCCCACTCAATCCAGATGGCAGCATCCCGGCGTGCGATAGGCAAATCATCGATGGCTTGGTCCATGAATGTCTCGCGTGTGCCAACCACAGATACAAAACGAGAGACCTGAATTATAAATGTGTCCGTTCGGGTCAGCACCCAGAGCTAGAAGTGTTCAAACGCTACTCGGACTCCCACCCAGTCAACTACCCCAAGCCCATCGCCTGCGAGGCGTGCAAAGACAACAAAAAGGTGAAAGACAGCCGTTGTGATGCCGATCCTTGGCTGCAGCTACGATGTACAAACTGCCTGAAGACCAAGGACAGCGAGTCGGAGCTCTGCATGGTCAAGGCGATGACGGGCGACGCCAACTTGGGCTGGGGCCACGAGGTCGAAAGACAAATGGGCCCCAAGCCGAATCTCCAAAGGGGAAGACAGAAGTGGTTTCGACGCGAGTGTGACATTTGCAAGAGCAGGCCTGACAAGGAAAGGGGCGTCCAGGTCTGCAGCTGGTTGGACTCGCGCGATATGGGAGGGCCCGGAGATACTCGTGAGCCCTGCCTCCAGTGCAAGGAGGGCAACATGTCCTGCTTTGACGGCGGTATGCTGGTTGGCCATCCCGTTCGCTTGGAGCTGCCTACCGAGTGGTCGAGCAAGGCCGATCTGGGCGGCGGATGGGTGGAATTGAGAGGCGACAAGGACATCGTGACGAGGCCTCAGTGCAGACAGTGCCACGCCCAGAAGCGTCACTGCCGGGCGTCGGCAAAGTACGCCGAGTACGCCTGCAACTGGTGCTGGCAGACGGGCATGGTGTGCCGCGACTTGAACGACGAGAACAAGATCTACCCGCTCTTTGACCTCAGCAGGGTTGGCATCGGCAACTTCTGCCCCTTTGCCCGGTGCGCCCGGTGCGAGGCCACGGGCAGAAACTGCGATCGCCAACGACCCTGCGACTCTTGCTTCTTCAGCGGCGAAGGGCACATGTGCGACGAGTGGCAACCTGGAGCCTCGCGCACGCTGAACTGCTTGAATCGCCGCATCAACCACGGCGAGAACATGATGGTGAAGCCGGGGCCGCTGTACTACTTGAGTATGGGCTACGGGCCGGGAGGCGTGGATGACGAGAAGGACGGAGCGCAGATTGAGCACTACATCGGCCCGCCGTTCGCGCGCTATGCCTTCAAAACAGTCGCCAAGAGAAAGGGCGAGGTTCTTAAGCAGAACAAGCAAGTCCTTGTCGCCGAAACGCAAAGAATGAGATTGGCATTGATCGCTCGGGGCGCGCCTCCGAATGGAGCTCCTGGTGGTGAGCTTTACGGCGTCAATGTAGATGACATCACACTTGACCAACTCAGGACGTGGATGGTGAAACGCTGGCCAGAATGGACACCGCAGTGCAACAGAACGGGCTATGCAAAGAATAGAGACATGGAAATCGTTTCCAAAGCCTATATGAAGTCAAAGTTTATGAATACTGGTGCAGGAGCTCCAGATACAACTACACTCGTCGAGGAGTTGGCTGACGGAGAGGAGGACCTACAGATAATGCCAGTTACAGAGCCAACCTTCAACATCACCGGCGAGCGTGATCAGACTGGAAGCGGCGCTGTTGATGCCTACATGGTCAGCACAACTCCAAATGTAGCCAACAATGCCACATTCGTGACGATACCAAGCAACCTTCTTTCGGGGGGAACCCAGCTTCGTCTTACCTTGTCCGACTCGGAGCGTTACCACGAGTACCACAACAACTCACTCGATGTATACGACAATCAATCAAGTCGCTGGGTAGAGTTGCGCTGCTTCCAAACTAGGCCGCCCTGTGAAAAAGCCATATGGGATGACTTTTGGCAAAACCGCAATGGATCGACGAATTTCGGCCTATTCAGCATCATGAACGGTTCTCTTGTCCGCCATTCCCCCATCAATCAAGTCTTCCGCGGCATTCGCGGCATTCGCGGCACTGCTTCCAGCTCGGTCACCATGCCACCCCAGCGTTTCTCATGCAGGGAACAAACGAAAATGTGTACTGGCTTGACCGGAAGAGTTTGTCAAGATATTGAGCACGGCAACATCCCCCATTCAGTTTGTGAGTCTTGCGCACTACACGACAATGGCCTTTTGTCGAAAAGCCCAAGCAGGATGACCAAGCTCGACATCGTAGCCATGCGTGCCTACTTTTGCAATTCTTGCCACAGTCGCGTCATTGGGGGATCCCTCAGTGACATGTACTTGCTCGGTGCAAAGGACGTCTGGGGCTGCCGGTTCACGAACAACACCACTTTCCTTGGAAGTCTAGCCGTCAACAGCCGGGGTATGAATTTTTGCCCTGTTGAGCATCCTATTACTGGATGCACTTGCGGTCCCAACATCTTCGACTCGCATCTGTGTCTGGATCATCGAGTCAAGTACGCACGCTACGCCATGTATCAATCCAACAGGATGACGGAGTGGCGAATCGGGGAGGGTGAACAAGACCTATGCCCAGTATGTCTCGTGCACCACCCGAAGGACATGGCCAACCCTTCACCATCATACCACGAACTCCTTTCCGCGGATGGGACGTCAACGGAAGAGACAGTGTCGTGGGCATGTCTTGTATGTGGCGGACTGGTCCTCAACCAGCCAAAGAAGAACGCAATAATTGGTGGCTGGTTTAGCTGGTTTCCTGTAGCGTCAGTGTCAGACTGGGGCCTTGATCATAAAGCGAGTTTTTGATCCTGACCCGGTGCCATCAAAGGACCGGGGCTGATTGGAGTGAGCTGGCTGAAGACTCGCCAGTGCAGGCGAACGAGAGGTAAGGGGAAACGAATGGCGGCTTATATGGTGAGCCCAGGCCGCATGGCCAGACCTCGCGTGCAGATCGGTGAGCTGGCGAGATTTGGGAGTTGCATCCGAGATCATATTTCCCCCTGGGGTCGTGATGTTGGATTTTCTCCCAACTTGCACGCCCACCGGTCACCATCCCTGGAATTCGACGCAGGGGAAATGCAGCTGAGAGGAGCCAGACACGGACAAGCCACGAGGTGGACGAGGGTATGCTGCCTGGGCAAGGTACCCCGAGTACAGCAACGAAGCCGGGGCGAGTAGGAAAATTCCATTGAGACGGTGTGCTCTTGACTACTAAGTAGATTGAGGCGAGAAAAGAAAAGGGAATAAGCAAGAAACGGAAAGAAAAAAGAGTACCAATAGGAAGGAGCCAGGCACGGGAAACGGGAATCGCACACGCGACACGGGACAGGGAACACGGGACACGAGTGTGTAGTACATACATGGACAGCGCAGCGCGGAGCAAAAGAAGACAACGAGCGCAAATCAGCATGGCATTTATCACCACGGTATGCAGCTGCATATGCATGTCCATTGTATACATGTAGCAATGTATCCACAGTAGCATGGCATAGCCCAGCACATCATAGACAGACACAACATAGAGGTTCAGCAAATATATTTGTCCTGGCGTTGGGGGGAGTAGACACCCATAGAGTGAGAAGGCGTCATGAGAATTTCCAGACAGGAAAAATTGAAAAATGAATTACATGTTACTTGACCAATAGTTTGGGGGAAAGGGGGGATATACTCGAAGTAATATGATCACAAGAACCAACCCATTATCGGGTAAAAGAAAATCCACTCAGGAAACAAACAAACATAAAAGGCCATGCAAGGACCAAGGACAAGATTAGACATGACAGAAGGATCAAGAGCAGTAAGAGGAATAGAGGCGGGGGGAGAGGAAATGAGGAGGAGAATAAAACAGTAGCAATATCAGATCAACTTCATCCCTTATCCAGCAACACCAAGGCGGGTGTTAACAACCCTCGCGAAGCCTCTGCTGAATTGCATGTGCAATAACAATGTCCCTGTTCTTTTCTGTGTCCGTCTTGGTATTATGTTTTCCTGGGCCCCCAACATGAACAGATTCATGCAACCTTCTCGCCATTTTTCTGTGTCTTGTGCCCCTTTTCATTTGCGCAAGCTGGCTTCTCGTCTACCTTCTGCCCTGACGTTCATTGGCCCTTGAAAATCTCGCAGCCGGGAATCGTTGGATGGACAATGAGATTCTTAGCCCGTGGCATCTCCAAAAAAAAAAAAAAAAAAGTATAGTGCGTGGCTATCAGTAGTCATGTTACGCTGAAAAAGACAAAACAATGCCGCACAGCTGGATTGCCAATAATCCTCGTCGTTCTCGAATGGCATCATGGTTTTTGTACAAGCCGTCCGAAAGTCCGTCAAAGAAAGCGTGTGCATGCAACCAAGTCCGAACCCGACTCCTCGTCCGATGCAGTGAAAATATTTTTCTCATCCGTCCTGGCAATCCGCCACAATGGTATCACAGCCGTTGCTGTGCTTTGTGGTCCCTGAGAGTTTTTTGTTTTTTTGCTTAAAAGCCAAAGAGATAGTGAATATGAAACTCCCTGTCTTCCACAGGTGTTACTTTTTTGATGTGGTCGCCCGATTGCTGCAGTGGGCGTCGACCCAGCCAACTGCTGTATAAATCAAAAATCAACCCTCTCCACCGTCCTCTTATCATCACAACAGCTCTCTCTGCTTCGTCCCTCACATAATGACACACTTGCCACAGCAGCCGGCCTCCTTCTCGCCGTCCTCCATGTCCATGGGCTTGGGGGGGCCGTTTACCCCTGAACCGCCGCCGCTGCCAGTCGAATAACCTTGCATTTCGCGGTTGTATCTTCGGATCTCTCTAACAATATCGTAGAACGCTTTGTCAACATTGATTCGCGACTTTGCCGAAGTCTCGATGAATTTGCAGTTAAAGGATCGCGCCAAAGCCTCGCCCTCTATATATTTCAAAATGAAGAATCAGCAGCCAGTCCCAGATAGGTCCGAGGGCAGAGAGCACAGCGTTTGCATTGCATATACAAATATGCTCAAATATATGCATCAAGTACGTACCTTGCCTGGTTACCTCCCGCTCGCCTTCCAGATCACACTTGTTGCCTACTACAACCATGGGGAAATAATCCTTGTCCTTGACTCGCAAGATTTGTTGCTGGAAGGTGGTGATTTCCTCGAAGCTTTGTCGAGATGTGATTGAGTAGACCAACAAAAAACCCTCGCCGGTTCTCATGTATTGCTCGCGCATAGCACTGTATTCCTCCTGACCTGCGGTATCCAAAACATCGAGAAGGGCGACCTCGTCATCGATAACACATTGCTTTCTATATGAATCTGTGATAACCGGCTACATTAGAATTTTCTGACACGACCGGGAGCATTCCAATGAGGAAGAGAAAAGCGATGGCGCAGAGCCTGTCGTCGACTGGGACGCACCTTCGATCGTAGGGTCATATTCGTCGACGAAATGACTTTGAATCAATTGGATGGTCAAACAAGATTTACCAACACCGCCGCCACCGACGACGACGAGTTTGTACTCTCTCAAAAACTAATTTCGCAAAGTAACTTGTCAGAAGACTGCATGAACTATACGTCGTCGTGTGTGTGACTTGTAAAATATAACGAAACGGCATCGAAGGGGTCGACAATTAGGGAAACAGAGCTAGCCCAACAGGATGGTGGGTAGACGAGAGGCAAAGGCAAGACGGGGGCATCTTTGGACGGATTGGTCGAGCAGAGCCAGCATACCTTGGTGGACGCAGCCATTGTGAGTGAAGATGGGGATTTCCTGGCCAAGGGCGGCTTGCGCGAAATCAAAAATAGGAGGGGAGGGGGGGTTTCGCGAAGGAAGGCTTGGTGTATGTCGTAAGACGAAGTAAGGGGCCGTGCTGAATAGCAGCGACAGACAAAGCGCGCAGTCAACGGAGAGAGTTGAGCGACTCGGCAGCGGAATTGAGGGTCAGAGACGGAAGAGAAAACCAAGAGAGCGATGCACAGCACAGCGGCAACGGCTGGGTGACGAGGCGAACGACGATGTTGTCGAGGCCGAAAATAGCTGGGAAAGATGAAGGACAAAGATAACCCAGGATGGAGAATGCGGAACTGGGACTGGAACTGGAACTGGAACCAGACTGGAACCGCAAGTGGAGGACGGAGGATGGCGGACGATGGGCCCCAAGTGATTGGTGGCAGGGTGCGTGTGCTGGCGTGGGTGCGCGAGACCTCGACTTGGACCCTGGCTGGGGCCGGCTTAACGTGGTTGGTGGTGGTGATGTGGTGGTATGGTGGTATGCGGTCAATGGTATGTCTGGTGTGGCCGGGGGGTCGGGTGGTGGCTCGTGGACATGGAGAGGCAAGGCGGGTCGAGGTCCAAGCCAGGGACAATCTTGACCATGCACTCCAGCCTCTATGAATTGATGTCCGTCCTCGGTCGGCCCAAATGTGCATGCCCGCAAGTGTGTGTGTTTGGCCCCAGATATGGACGGAGGATGGAGTACCTGCCTGCCGGATAAGTACTTAAGTACTCAAGTCCCTACTTACTTAAGTACTGAGAGGTAGGTAGATGTCTGGTACCTTATGCAATGCAGCCTGCCCTCGGGTACCTAGAGGTTACCTAGCGCTTACGCGAGCGCTGCTGCTATTCAATGCTTCCAGATGTTCGGCCGCAGGCTCACTCGTCGTTCGATTCGCGCCGGCGCAATTCCGCGGCTCTCTCTCTTTCTCACGCTTCATGTCGCCTGCCGCCCTCTCAAAAGCAGTTGGCCTTGGACAAACTGGCACTCGCATATCATATGTGCAGTTCTTCCTACTCCCTTCTCCATTATCGAGATTGTATTACAATACAACATTAACATTGTAGAGCAAGTACTCCGTACTCCGTACGCACATACATACTCCGTAATGCCTAGCCCTAGCAACCAGGTACTGCTCGAGTGGATGCAAGTGATGGGCCGTTGTTATTGACTAGAACACCTTGAACCAGACGGGGGAGCGGCCGGGGACCCAGGGGGTGGTTGGGAGCACTTGACTTGAGCCTGGCACTTCAAGCACTGGAGATCGGGGGGGTGCACATGTGGAGGCAAGTGGCGAGTATTTGATCAAATCGCAGGGAAGGTGGCCTGGGCGGGAGAGGGATTTGCCTTTTTCTCCTTAACAAATGGAGTCCATGTCTGGTCAATACTACATATGTAGAAGCAGCCAGGGAGCTCCAAATGTTCGCGTGGAAGCATAAGGGCTAAAAGTATTGCATGACCCCGTCGTCCCGTCATGGGCTGGTCCTTTTTGGCCTGCAAAGAATTTTGAAAATAAAATAAAGAATATCAGCACAGGTTGCACGGGACTGCTTTCTTGACCGAGCCATTCATTGTACCAGTGTGCGACCAAGCACCCCGAGTCGGCCTATTTGCAGTTCCTCTTTATCCAGGCACGCAGATGTTCTAGTAATTCGTACTCTCTACCTACATACATACTTACCTAGGTAAGTAGTCATGTCCTGTGCTCCCCGCGTTGATGGCACGGCTGTTTTCATCGCCCTCGACCTTTGCATGTGCAGCGTCTTGGCAAAGAAGGCATCCATTCAATGATAGCCATGGACCGGGGACTCAGTCAAACTCTGTTGTACTATCAGTCAAACATTCGGCCGGTCTGTGCCCTCAATGCTCAACCATCACATAAGACCGGGAAGGCCGGCCACACGATGCGATCAAAAAAGATTGCGCCATGTTTTTGCTAGGACGGGGCAAGCATCTACGGAGTGAAACTTCAAATACTCCAATGGCTAACTCTAAGTGCAGCGTCTGGAGTACCTCGTCGATCGATTCATCCATCACCAGGACGCACCCTCTCGAACCCTCTACCCACAAGAAGCCACCGTCTGTACTCCGTAGTACCAGAAGGTCTCTTTTTTCGAGTCAACTTCCTCGAGCTACTCCGTACATTGGGCATGCCAACAGGTCCGCCACCTCCTCTGTTTATTGACCAGGTTCTCCAGAAGTTATCAGGAAATATACAGCCGTCTCGTCTTACATACCTACAGGCAGGTCCCCGGGGCATCCCAAACGTGAAGGCTGGCGACCCAGTACCTATTACCTACTACTAGGTACCTACCGAGGTAGGTACTTAAGTAGGTAGGGGGGTAGATAGATAGCTAGAAGAAGTCAATCCCCTCTGGTGTGCGAAGGCTCCAGTGAGGTCGCGGGCCCCATATCACCCTTGTAGGCAACTAGTGACCTCTAGTGACCTTATAGCAGTCTAAATCTTAGTGGATTATAATGTAGTGATTTGTAGTAAGCTTCCTTATAGGTACTTATATTATTATATAATTTACTAGTAGATATATGTACCTTTAAGAGTATAGCTTCTGATTGGATACACATCCCTACAGATACCGTATTGGAGCCTTCGCACACCAGAGGGGATGGGTAGCCATCACCACACAGTCACCACAAGGGGCGGCATGGAAAGGATAGCTCTGTGCCCCAGCAACCAGAAACCGGAACCCTCATCTCAAAAAAGGGTCGAGAGAATCGACTTTACCTGTACTCCGTAAGTACGGAGTAGAACCTGAAGGAAAGGAAGGGGTCCTTGTCCTTGCCCTAGTGGCGGATTGTTTCCTAGCCTGTGGAGCACCAATCCCTCGCCAGGCCTAGGATTGGACCATGATAGACGAGAGGCTGGCCGCCGCAACATTGAAGCTTCTTTTCGGGTGCGCAAGCTTCGAACGACCGCCTCTATTCCATGTTGGCGTCTGGGGAGGGCGTCGGCATGAAGCTGAGGGGAGAGCAACCATGGTTTGGTGTTTTGGGTTCAGCCCTTTGATGGCAACTGCATGCATGATGCCCCGACGGAACGGCGTTTCATGCATGCTCTAGCATCTCGTACGGAGGATCAGAACAGTTGAAGTGTGTGCCCGTGGGTAAGATTTTGAAGAGCTTGGCTGTCGACGGGTAGATCTGGTCTGGTCCAATGTGGTGCCTGCTTGGGCTTGCTTGGGTGTTGGCGAGGTCTGCCGGACCTGCGGCAAGCCATCTTTTTTTGTTCCTGTGTCAGGCACAGAGCCAGCTCGCTGCGCTCCCCCAAGGTCTTCCTTTTTTTCATCACACCAACGAGGGTCGCCAATCTTAACATGGGCTACATGCTCTCATTGTGGGCTTCTTCCACTTCATACGTCCCCAGTCGCTCAGTTCCAAATATCGCGCCAGGTTGGTGATCTATGTACTCTTCGTGAAATATAGATATGGAGTACTCCGTATGGAACGTAATATTTCAAAGAGGATCCCGTCTTACCGGAGACTTGCCGAATAGAGCGCATATTTCCCGGGCGGCGAGAGACCTCCCCACAACACCTATTAAGAGGTCTCCCTATTTATTGTAGTAATACACGGAGCACGAGAGTTTGATGAGGAACTTGCTTCATGTACTCCGTACCTACTAGGTATGTACTTATGTATGTATGTCGTCAATTAGGCCGTGACAATTGAAGCCCAAATGACTTGATGCAAATATGCACGATGCATGCAAACATGCGGGCGCCAGGCTAGATCTAGAAGCATATCAGCACATCATACAATAAAACCAAAAGCTGAGAATCGTACCTGCAACTTGGCGGCGCGCAACATATGTATGCTACGATACTCCGTACATGCTCCGCGTTCCGCACTCCGTACTCTACCCGATACTACGTACACAATGCGACGATGCTTTGTATCAACAAAGTCACATCCAATGGAAGAGGCAGGCTTTGATGCCGAGACAGCAAGGACACAACGAGGACAACTAGTACGTCGTAGTACTGGTACTCCGTGTCTACTCTTCATTGGGAATAAAGACTCGCCAAATTAGCGTCTTGAAGAAAGAGACTGAACCTGGGATGGTGGAGTTTTTGTCATGGTCCCCTGGCTGGTGCTTAGGGGCAGCCCAAAATGTCTTTCCCCTCCCACATCTTCCATAAGTCCTAAACTTGAAGCTCGCATTACTACTGAATATCGGGGTCACGCTGGAAGAGAGTGTAAAGGGAGTAGTAATAATAAAAGGCGATAGTTGTTGCATAAGCGTGTAATACGAAGTACCTTGTGTCATAGCATAATACACATGAACTCCGCGGCTACTCTAACGTGCCAGAGCCGATAGTCCATGCTTTCCGCGAGCGCCTTGTTTACAATCAGGAGTCTGCTTCGCAAAGTCGTGCTTTTGAGGTACCATAAGGAGAGATAGATCTTCTTGGGAAGCCATTGCTATGAGCAGCATCAGTGTTTGTTTTGAACAAGTAAAATACATACTCACGCGCCCGCCAATCAATCGACTATGTGCCACATCCATAGTGCTGAGACCTGGCATGTCTGTCTTGTCTGAGACTGTTTGATCGGATGCCTTTTGTTCCGTTCCCGTCAAAACCGGCATTCCCTGCTTTATGTTGTTTTGCGTTGAAGCTTTCCGAAGCGGTAAGATTATCCTCGCGCAGGAAGACTCGGGAGTCGGGAGTCGGAACAATGCGCCTACATCATGAGGGATGGCGTCAATGGACATATTTGGCGATTCCAGATATCCAGCAGCTCGTCCAACTGCACATGTGGGGTCTGGTTTTACCAGGCTACCTATCAGGTTAGCTCCTGCCTTTGTAATGACCCATCCATCGCCCAGCACTTGACATGTCGACGGTTCAATGTTGGCAGGTGCAAAGGGCTCCAGTGCTGGGCGCGAGCTCGACTGCACGCCACTAAAGTTGGTACTTTCAAACAAGGTATTTATTGACGGATTACAGAGTACTTTACCTACTCTGAACCGAACACCACCAGGGTTGATGCCGAGCTCTCCAACTCCTCCAAATATTCTGATTTGTTCACAGCTGGGCATTAGCACATCACTGCCACAGAACAGGTGGTTCGTGCGGATGCTTAGACGCTATTCCGTACGCTATTACCCATTATTACATATCTCATCTCATTACCGCAATCACGGCCACTGTCCCTCTTCACGGGTAGGGGTCAGCGATGCTGGAACAAAACACATCATAACTGGAAATGGCTTCATCAATCAAATATTCTCTGCTACTACCTGAAGGTCCGTGCTTGTCGCCCATTTGTTGCGGTACCCCAGCTTCTTTTTTGGAGTGACTCTACGGAGTAATCATTCGCTCCACCGACTGCAAGGGCAAAATCGCCTGGTATTTGGCAGCAACGCCACGATCATGGACCTAGAAGGTGACGAGTCGCCCATCAGCTTGAGAGATAATAACCCACCTGGTATGCGGCCATGATAGGAGAACCTGAGGGTGTTTGCATCAGGTCGTAAGAGAGACCTGCATATTGTCAAATCTCGGGTGTCAACTGAGCGCGTATCGAATGCATACCCGCTTCGCGCACACTTTCATCTAGAGTTCTGGCCTGCGTTTCCGTGTTAGCAGTACCCCTGACATCGTCTGGCCGGCCGCATGTCAGGCACCGATCATCAACTTTGTACGGACTACAATACAGTACATTCCCGGCCTGGCTGATTACGGATGACTTTCTTCACCCAGCTTGTCAGATGGACGTCTTGTCACACTCATGCCTACTTAATTTCTCGCCTGTACTCTCGTGTCTGCAGGTCTGCCCAAGTGGTGCGGACATATGATAGCCGATGGCGTAGAGGAAGACAATCTAGAACCGAAAAGCAAACATGATTTCGGAGTGTTTGGTTGGGATATATGACATAGGGCCGCTTCAAGTTCGAATATCGTTAGGGGTTTCAATGGGGGAGGGTGACGGTTTCCATCCCGTGTTAGGTGCCGTTGCAGCCAGAACCCAGTCAGCAAGTGTGATAAATTACACAGCGGCAGAGTCACACACTACGCACACAGCGAGTGCTCGATCGTGAGGTCTTGGCCGAATTTACAACATCGTTGATTCAATTAGCGTACTGCAGGTCCAGGAAGGGCTTAGCTATTGCCTCTGCGGATGGTAGGTACTCCGTACCTCGCGGGAAAATCAGTGCGGAAACGCATCAAGGCCCATGGGATTGGTATCGCAACACCTTCTGGGCATTGACACTTCATCAGGTCATTCAGCCGCTTCATCACCTTTTGGCCGCGATGAGTGGTGACATCTCATGATCACGCACTAACTCGACCCTGCAACAACTGCAAATCAAGTCGTGGCTTGCTGAATCGGGCCGGGGCTGAGGGAATACATCAAATGTCTCGATGATTGCTCGATTTCTCCACCTAAAGAACCGTGTCCGTCAGCCGAGTGGCCACTGGTGCAAATGGGAAAAAATTTTTGGGCCAACAAACATGCCAATAAACAGCTTTGTTAGTCTCTTGCAGGACAGCACAATTCAACATGAAAGCCAATAATCGCCAGACGGAAAATACAGGACCGACCCATCGAGCTAACCCAAGCCTTGGAGCTTCTAGAATGACGCTCTCCACACTTCACATTTGAGCTTACCCTGGCCAGCCCACTACCGCATCCACTCCCATCGAACATGGCATGACACCCTCGGACCCTCAGGGAAAACAAGGAATAAACGCCAAGGTATGCTCCATCCGCATCTACGGAGGAATACTATGGAGTACGGAGTACTACTACTACTGGAATCCATAGTATTGTGGGCATCAAATTTGCCCAGGCTCCCAGTTAAGATCATCCCTGCTGTGTACGTACGTATGTACTCCGTATTTCCGTCTATTTCTTTATAATTTATGGTGTAATCCGTACGGAGCACTTTGTATGGACTACTCCGTACAAAAAACGATAACCAACTTACTGCCGATATTAGAGTAGCACAAACACCACCATTGGCCTGTACATAGAAAACCAGCCAAGCGGTGGATCTTTGTACGACATCTACGGAGTAATGCCGCCTGGGTCGGACGCGGATGAGATATCAGGACTTGCCTTATAAATCACCATTGGAAAGGACATTTCATTACTCCGTAAGCTGGTTTCGATCTTACCCAGCTGAATGGTTATTACGTCGCTGTCTTGTCGGGTTTTCCAACAGCCAGAATTTCTGTCTCTAAACGTCGCGCGTGGTGAACATGCCCGTGTCAAGGGTACATACAGCACATGCTGCGGTGACATGCTGCGGTGACCCAAGTTGAATGTTCCCTCATACAGCACCAATCAAGCAGATTGTTAACCTGCCTGGGTATTACATCACCGGTTAGCAACACATTGGTCTATACGGAGTAGCCTCATAGCTATGTACATACATAGTCTATCAGAGCCCCCACTGCGGCTCTTTACGTATTTATGTACATATGTCGCTGGTTTTCCCGGGGATCACGAAGCCATCTACCGGCGTTGTTCTTGGAACCGCTCTGCGGAAAAGGGGGGCGGGGGGCTGGCTGGCTGGTGGCTGCAAGCGATTGGCCAAGCCTAAGTCCCGAATCGGTGAAGATCGGCAAAATCTTCGGAGCTTTGAGTATGTTGTATTCTTTGGCGACGTCACACAAACAAGCATAGTCCCAAAACTTCGGAAGTCGGAACAAGTATGAAGCTCTGTGGTTGGAACAGAGCCAAAGCCAAGGAAGAACAATTAAGTTTAAGGGCTGATGCCATCGCAGCTAGTTTCTTCCTTCGGTCATAGCACCCGCAATATGGCACGAAATGCTCCATATCCAAGGCCATCTCTTCTGGGTATTGCCTTAGAAACTATAATCAAAGTCCGCGGTGCGGATACCACAAAGACATCCCTCACACGGCGATCGGTCTTCCTAACAATCATCTCCGCAAATACTAAAGGGGCAAGATCATCTGGGTTTCAAGCTAGGAATATGACTCGTGTCTAGACGGCGAAAACCGCCATTTAAGCTTATATTGGCTTACTGGAAACAGTTTCTTGCGGTACCAAGAGCTGACAGACGCTGCGACTATACAACGGTGTCATGTGCTACCTGTCATGTTATGTAAAATGACTTGATTTTAACGCCTCTAAAGAGCCATATGTTGTTATATTCGTGCCCCGTCTAGATGTAGTGTTCAAGAGTAACAGCCGCTTCTGCAACTCTTAAAGATCATCTGCTTCATCCTCTTGACTAACACGACGCCCCTGCACATTCTCCTCAACCTCGGCAACTAAACTTTCGAGGAATGCTTGATCCCTATTTGGCAAATGAATTAGCAAGGCCACTTCGATGAGCAAACTTCCATCTTGCGAACCCGGCCGCAAGGAGCACATAGTGGGCAAGCCGACGGCGGTGTGCCAGTCCGATCCCTCATTCCACGCCCAGAAGTGCAACGATTGAACAAGTGACTGCTTACCTGCCGACAAGCGTGACGGTGTTGCGCTTCTTGCCCCACCTAGGATAGCTTCCAACTTTGACACCTTTGGCTTCAACCCTGGCCGCCAGTTCTGTAAGATAGGCCGCCACGGCGCTTTCCGGCATTGGCGTAGAAATCAAGATTCGGCAGGTTCCCTTGCCTTCAGGATCTACCAGTCTGGGGAGTATAAATGGTTTCATTCCGTCGAGCAACGCCTGAACTATACAATGGCGTTAGAGAAACTCCAATTTGGCAGGTATTGAGTTGGAACTCACACAGGGAGGGAACACCAGGCAATATATGGATGTTCCCATTCACAACCGAAATAGGAACCCACAGGTTGTCCGACACAAAGAGGAACTGGCTCTTCAAGTCTCGGCTCTCGTCTGTCGGCAGCCTGACCATTCGTAATTTGGCCTGCAGCGCTGGAGAGTCGGTTGCCCAATCAAAATTTGGCGTGAGTGTGTCGGGTCTGGAAAGCACTTTCATTTTCTGAAACGCTTCGTCATGCAGCTTCAATGGCAAGTCAAACGCCTTGGCAATGGATTGGTATGTGATGTCATCGTGTCTAGAGGGTATAAACGTCAGTCGCACACCCACGATGACTCGTAGGCATAAAGGTGTCGGGTCACTTACGTTGGTCCAATACCGCCGCTAAGCCAAGCTACCAGTCACTATCAGTTCTGACTAGGGCGAAGAAAAGACTGACCTGGTGACGACAAAATCATAGCGATCACTCATGCGGCGGACCGCTTCCATGATTTCGCCCTCATCGTCTTCAATGACTTCCACGCGTTTCAAGCTCTGGTCCCCAATTAGCCCCAAGAGGTCCGTCTACCAAGACAACAAAGTGAAAAACCTCACAATTCCAAGCGAGAAGCACCACTTGGCCAGATAGGCCGAATTGGTCTGCTCAGGTCAGTCACCACTGTAGGGGATTGTCGATGCGGTTCACTGGTAGCACCGAAGGCCGCCCGCCTCAGACCACATATATATGTAAATGACGTACATCAACAGTCTGCCAGCGTCAGCATCAAAAGACTCGCCATGGTGAGCATTCAAGTGCAGCAAGGTCACGTCATACCTTTCCGCCCAAAACTTCGTCTCCAATAATCAAACACGCAGCACTGTGAATGGTGCGCGTGCTCTTGTCCTGAGACGTCGTGGCCATTCTCGAAAGCGCCGCCGCCGACGGACGCCGACTTACCTGAACAAGTGACGGCGATGGGGCTGCCAAATGTCTCGCTAGCTGAGATACTCGCGACAACATGGAGGTTCTGAAGGGCGCCTTGTTTGCAATGATGCTGGAAACGGGATGATTGGGCTGTTGAAAGTAGCCATTCAGTTATTGACGTGCTTGTCCCGTTTTTTGGTCTCTGAGACGGCCAGCACCTGCAGCCCTGGGGTTTTCAGACCAGTTGACCCCAGTTGACCCCAGTTGACCGGTCCCAGCAATTGGCCTCGACTGGTTCTAGTATTTTGCTTGTGACGCGACGCCAGCGGATGCCGCGGCGAGATGCAACTTGAGCTGTTTGGTGTCGGTGGCTGAAGCAGAGGCGGAATATGCGCGCATGTGGACGGCAACTTGGTTGAGTTGCTGCTCCGAAGGCAGCACTGAGCGTGGACAGCCGGGACATGTGGGGCGTCGACTTTGCCGTGCACCAACATCGCAAAGCTCCGGTCAGCTCACTGGCATGGCGGGGCTAAAGCTCTTTCGTCATCTCCAGCTTGTTGTTGGAGGCTGTAGTCGTTGCGACATTGCTCCGCGGGGCAGAGGAAACATCTGCTGCGCCTTTTCTCGAACCAGACCGCTTGGTGGCATCGAGCTCCTCTGGCATTCACTTGCGGCCAGCATTTTATCATGGTATGGCGCACTTTACGCTTTGCTCCTCCGTTGCTCCGTTGCCTCGAGATCAAGGCCTGCTGATGCAATTCACCCCGCTTCAAAGGCCTCCGAATCGAGACTGTACACCTTTTCCGGTGAAACCAAGGAACACCTGCGCAAGTTCCGACTGACCACATCGAGGGCCAAGGATCCCCAGGCTGTTATCTGTACGCATCGCCCGTTTGCGCCGAGCATCCTGGGATTTGCCCTCGACCGGCTGACATGGCGTCGGTAGATATGATTGATAAGAACACACACGAGATCCGACAAGCCCTCGACGACTACGACGAAGCGCGAGTCTACAAGTCTCTCAAGGAGGTTGCTGAGGACTTGCCAGACCACACGCCGCGGTTTGTTCTGCTCAGCTATCCCATTACAACGGTACGCTTCTTCATCCCGGCGTGTTTCACCATGAGGGTAGAGCTCTGACTAATAACTAATACACCTCAAAGTCCGATGGACGACTCTCAGTACCCTACGTGTTGCTATACTATCTTCCAATAACCTGCAATGCTGAGGTGAGAATGCTGTACGCCGGCGCAAAAGAGTTGATGCGAAGCACGAGCGAGGCGGGCAGCGTCATTGATATCGAGTCCGCGGAGGATCTTGAAGAGGTTCCCGAAAAGCTGGCTAGCAAATAGCCTAGCAAAAGCAATCCATATCCATATCCATCACAAATGCTTTCATCACGTGAATCAGCATGTAAAAGAAGAAGAGAAAAGGTAATAATAGGGTTTTGTAATATCATTTCAGGGAGTATTATTTGCATACATCATCAATCTATGTCATGGTTCTATTCGTCAGGTAATACGTTGGTTGTATCCAAGCCCAGTTGGCTCGCAACCCTCTTCACCACCTGTTTAAACGCCAAACAAGCCGGGCTGTCCGGGAATGAATCAAAATAGCTCTCTCCGTAATCGCAGGCCATCCGGATCCTCGGGTCCAAAGGCACAGCGCCGAGGAACGGAATCCCCATCTCCTCTGCCAACCCTTTCCCGCCACCCGTGGTAGGTCTGAATATTTGACTCTCGCCCTTGCAGTTGGGACACACGAACCCGCTCATGTTCTCCGCCAGTCCCAGTATCCTGATGCCCGCCTTGCGGCAAAAGTCAATCTCCTTCCGTACATCCAGCAGCGAGACCTCCTGCGGTGTCGTCACCACGACCGCGCCATCAATCCCGCTCTCCTTCAAGAAGGAGTTGACGCTCAGGTGCTCGTCGCTCGTGCCCGGCGGCGTATCGACCAGCAAGAAGTCCAGCTCGCCCCATTCCACGTCTTTGAGAAACTGCTTAATCAGGCCATTCTTCTTGGGGCCCCTCCAGATGACAGCATCATCTCGATTCGGCAACATGAACTGGATGCTCATCACGCCCAAATTATCCATCACCCACACCGGCGACCAGCCGGAGCCGCTGACGTGAATCGTCTCGTCCTCCACCCCCATCATCTTGGGGATGCTGGGCCCGCAAATGTCCGTGTCCATGACGCCCACGTTGCTGTCCGGGTTGGTCGCAAAGGCATGCGCGAGCAGCGACGTGAATGTGCTCTTGCCCACCCCGCCCTTGCCGCTGAGCACGAGGATCTTGTGCTTGACATTTTCGAGGCGTGCCGATATGAGGGGGATGTCTGGGTCTGGGCCCTTTGGTGCTGATGCGCAGATGGCCTGGTTGGGACAGCCGGCGCAAGAGTCGGCTTGGCCTGCCTGCTGCGACTCCGGTCCGGGACAGTGCTCCGGCTCCGGGGCGACGAGTTGTGGCTTTTGTTTGATGGGGTTGGCGAGGACGTCGGATACTGGCTCTGGCTCCTCGAGGGACGGTGCCATCACAACGTTTGTTCTGGGCGGTTGAAGAGGCTGCGGCGATGTTGTGGTTGTAACGGGCGAAGTCTGACAGAAGGAGCGTGGCTTTGTCTCGTGGTTGAGGCTTAATAATGTGGGTGGTCCGATTCGGAGACACCACGACTAGTGCGACCTGCTCCCTTTTGGGAAGAGAATTACCCAAATAATTTAGCCCATCACGGTAGACAATTCACTGCTTTAAATACACATGTTTGCCGGACCACTGTACAATACAACCGCGTACGAACCTTGCGACGGGGTGCGATCTTGATATTGTCTAGGGTAGCTTCTGGCCTGTCTGTTTACAGCTGCTACCAGGGAAAGAAGAAAGACAAACCCGAAGCATTGTCTCCCAGCTGTTCGGACTTGGTAACAGAACACATATACCCAGCTCTAAAATAAAAGACGCGATTAATCGAGCTTGCCGATTTGCAGCAAAACATCATTATTAACTGCAGTTAATATCAAAAAAAAAAAAAGATCTGAGTTGACTAGGTTCCAGGGGGAGTCGAACCCTCGCTGGCGGAATCAGAATCCGCAGTCATAACCGTTAGACCATGGAACCTATTGAAGTGGTTATCCACTTCCCATGGTTGGATGAAGAGCTGGATCTTAATCTTCTAGATAAAGCATTTCATCGCGTGATGCCCCGACTCGCGGCGGGATGCATTCTTATCGCGTATCACCCCACCTAAATTTTTCTTTCTTGGCTACGGAGTTACGACGAGGGCCGCCGCATGACTTGGAGGGGCAATCGTCGCTAAACCGCCCTCAAATTTCGCATTGCCAGTATTTCAGCTTTCCCCCTGCCGACGGTGAAATCGACAAGTTACCGTTTCTAACATGGCAGACGCTACCGTTCCGAGCCTACGGGAGAGCCTCTGCTCTGAAGCCACCCCGCTACCAGTCCGGTTCCGAGCCCTCTTCTCGCTCAAGCACGTTGCGCGAACTGGAGAGCCTGCCGCTGCTGTGGCCGCCATCGAGGCCATCGCAGCTGCGTTTGCGTCGCCGTCGGCCCTACTGAAGCACGAGCTGGCTTACTGCCTCGGACAGACCGCCAACGATGCGGCGATTCAGCCGTTGCGAGATGTGCTCTCAGATCTGAAGGAGGACCCCATGTGCAGACATGAAGCCGCTGAGGCTCTGGGCGCGCTTGGTAAACCCGATAATTTGGAGCTGCTGAAATACTTCCGCGATCGCGAGGGCGAAGACGTTGTCATCACTGAGACTTGCGAGATCGCCATCGATCGGATAGAGTGGGAGAATTCAGAGACGCGCAAGCAAGAAAAATTACGACAGAGGTTGGTCACTAGTGCCTGACCATGTCCATGATGGTTATTTTTCACGTTTCTAATCAAGAATTTTAGTGATTTTGCCTCGATTGATCCCGCGCCGCCCCTGCCTGAATCGGAAAAGAATGTCGAACAGCTGGGCAAGCAACTTATGGATACTACACAGCCTCTCTTTATGCGCTACCGCGCCATGTTTGCCCTGCGCGACCTGGCCTCACCGCCCGACTGTGCGACCGCCGTCCCTGCCGTGCTTGCCTTGGCAAAAGGATTTGCCGACTCTTCTGCGTTGTTCCGCCACGAAATTGCTTTCGTCTTTGGACAGTTGTCGCACCCCGCTTCTATTCCTGCTCTTACGGCTGCTTTGAGCAACTCCGAGGAGGCTAGTATGGTTCGTCATGAAGCTGCCGAGGCGCTTGGAAGTCTCGGGGAGGAAGAGGGCGTCGAGGAGACGCTGAAGCGATTCCTTCACGATAAAGAGAAGGTCGTCCGAGAAAGCGTGATCGTTGCATTGGATATGGCAGAGTATGAGCAAAGTGGTAACGCTGAATATGCTCTAATACCGGAAGCAGCAAGTGCTTCTGCATAAGAAAAGTAAATGCTTTATATAAAATAGAATAGCCTGCCGAAAAAAAGCAATACCAAAAACATTCTAATTGTTCTCGTGCCACCTGGTAAAATGGAAGTTAGTAGGAAGTATTGATGCAACATCAGTGGGAGGAGGATGGCACGAACGAGTGACCGCATTCACAGTTGTAAATGAGTGTTGAGCCTTCATCAGCACTACGGAGCTGCACATTGGTATATGTGACTTCTTCTCGTCCGCACTTGGGGCACCGTTCTTGCACTGTGCTCGAGGTTTTAAGCTTGTGCCTCTCTACAGCTTGGACGTTGGACTGCAATTTTTGCCGCAGGAAAGACGGAAAGTCTGACGGCTTGGACTGCGTGACGATGACTTTCGAGCCAGTGTCTACGCGCAAACCAATGGGTTAGTTCTTGTACATATCGAGTTTGGGATGAGTGTGGTCGTCGCAAACCTTTGTTCCAAGCATCGCAGCATTCGCACTGCAGCGAGTTCTTCTCCGAGCCTTGGGTAGCCGGAAGAAGATTTCCGCAGTCAGTACAGAAAACGAGGGAGCCTATGGCAGCCATTGTATCTTTTTATGAAGAATGCTGTTGGTTGTCTGCAGCTGCTGATTGAACACTCGAATAGACAAAGAGGAATTTCGGCGCAAAGTCTCTCTGTCTGTCTTTGTATTGGAAAAAGCCTACCAACTATTATTTCGATAAGCCCTATTTTTTGCTTATCGGATAAACGATAAGGCAAGGGACGACACACGTCGTGCAAGAAAAAACACATCATTGGCTGGATGTGGCAAGTCGTGGGTCCACAGCAGGACCCATGCAGGACGAGGTCACTGGTTACCTGAGCCTCCAAGTCGTGTCCGAGCCTGTCGCAATTGTCCGAGCCTTGTCGAGAACGAAGCTGAAGTCTCATCTTCAACTTCCGCTCACTGTTGGCTCGGCATCGCATTGCTGTCCCCATTTGCGCATATACTCGTATTTATTAGAGAATAGTTTTACTTATCTATTGTTCTTTTGGCTGTGTCGCTCATATTAGTTGCCAGCGCCGGAATTGACTAGCTCTTATTGTCTCGCAGCCTCGCTCCTGCCTCGATGCGACGAAACCGGACAGCTCCTTCCCTCGGCCATGCCTGAAGAGCGACCCTATTGTGACGACCTACAATATGGAAAACATGGCCCATTACAACACCAACGGCCCGAAGAATGGGGTCAAATCTGTCGAGGGCCCTAGAGAACAGAACGGCGTATCGCGACCGTTCACGCTGCAGGAGTCGTTGCCTTATTCTCCGCAGACATCCACAGTACCTTTTCTACCTGGTAAGAACCTCGTATTTGTAACGACGCCATTGGTGGGTTGTATGAGGCCCTTTAAATACTGACACAACAGCTAGATATCATCCCGGACCCAAGCGTCGGATCTGGATCACCATCGCTTCGAATCTCGGATTTATTCTCAACGCAAGATTATGATAGAGTAAACCAGGAAGCTACGAGCCAGCCACACGGTGCAAAGAACCTGAAGCAAACAGTCGATCATGTTTTGCATGATCTGAAACCGTCAAAGAGAACCCAGTAGTTAGTGGGAATGATTTTCATGCTCATCGTATGTATGCTATGCTAACCGATGCTAGTAAATTTCCCACTGTGCCCAACGGAGCGCCGTCAAGTTCGGCGGCATCGACTCACAATAGAATCATTTCTCAAGGTCTGTCACCGATAGCCAAGGCCGTATACGAACGAGTGGGCAGCTTCTTCAAGGCCACGAAGCCAAATATCAGCAGCCCTAAGCTGGTGAACGGAGAAGCAGAACAGCCTTTGAAATTGGCTGCCGACTCAGTATCTCAAAGTCCAACTATTCATGTGCAACCTCAAAGCACGGCGAAGAATAACGCAGGCAGTGGTAAAACTAAGATAGAGGTTGCGATTTCCACGAAACAGTCATTCGATCGCTCGCAATATGCTGAAATTTCATATGATCATCCCGATCAGAATATAATCACCCCGCATGATCAGTTAATTGTGGAAGCGCAGCAATACAGCCAGTCAAATCCATTAACCGCAAAGTCTTCTATCGTTGTTAATAACGCCGGTCTTCTCATTGAATTACCAACGTCTGGAATCAAGAGAGAAGATTATCAGGAGTTCAAGGTTGCTCCAGATGCACCCGAGAATCTCTCGTTTAGGCGAAAAGAGAGGCAGGAGTTTGAGGACGGTCAGGACATTATTGGGGCTAGTCTCGATCAACGACAGCGAGGGGAGGCTGCACTTGACTCCCTTGACGCCCTCATGCGTCAGGTTTTTTCAGCAGTTGGCGGCGCCTTGGTTATGGAACCGGGGTTGGAACACATTGTTACGCTGACGGCAGATCAAGAAGCCTCAATGACGGCCACAACGCAACAGAAAATGCACACCGCTATTCAAAAGGTCATTGGCTTGAGGAGCTTCAATGCTGTTCCTCTTGAGAATCTCCTTAGAGTCATGAAGCTGAGCGAAGCTAGCTTGAAACAAGCTGAAGGTCTCGACATCCGTGTTGATGAAAGCTGGGATGAAGCGGCTGTTGAATCATGGGTTCAGCAACTCGGAGAACTGCAAACGGCTCTTAAATCCGCACGAACTTGCCTCCGAATAATGTCTGGATGCAGAGAAGACAAGCAGCTATACTCAGAAGCGGTTATTACCAAATGCGTCAACATATACAAGGCTGTAACCGAGGATATTGTTATGCCTCTTGTCGAACTTCGCAATTCTGGCAGTTCGGGTGGCTTGTTCAAGCTTATTCAAAAGCACAAGAAGACAATTGCCTCCGTCTTTGTCTGCTGTCAGAAACTATCGGCTCTTCTTGCAGAGCTAATCACAAAGATTGAGTTGTCAGAGACAGTCATTAACACACTCGAATTCACTTCATCCAAGCTGATTTTCGTGGAGAACGCCTACTTGGAGAAAGATTCCGCCATTGGCCTGCAGAAATTTGATGGAATTCGCTCAGTTGCTATGGATATGCTCTGCCAAATCTTTTTGATTAAACCGGAACAGAGACAAGGCATCATTGATGACATACTGACTTCGTTGGAGAAGCTTCCTGTGGGCAAACTAAGTTCCAGACAGTTCAAGCTAGCCGATGGCGGCAGTATCCAGCCTGTTTCGGCCCTTATCATGCGCCTCGTTCAAGCCAGCTCTGGTCGAGTTGGAGGTGGCAATGGTGCTGGACAAGGCTCAAACATCCGAGCCATGGATATAGATGGACTGGGAGAGGATGACGAGGACGATAGACCGTTGAAGCGGAACCAAGCTACTGCCACCATTCTGAACGAGGAACAAGGCGCTCAGCAACCTGCAGTGGCAATACAAGAATTAGAAGGCGTTGCCGCCCCATTGATTGATACTGCAGCTCGAAATGCGTCTTATGTCATTAACTTTATCGTCAAGCGAGCCATGGGCTCAACCAAATCTGGAGATACACCCTATCGCAACCTGCTCGATCTTTTCGTTGACGACTTCACGACATGCCTTGATTTGCCAGACTGGCCTTCCGCAGAGCTCCTCCTGCGCTTGCTCATGGTTATGATGGTGCAGCTGTTCGAGGCACCTAAAACAGCAGCGCCAGCCAAAAATATGGCTTTGGAGCTGCTAGGAACCATGAGTGCTGCCATATCGCGCCTTCGGTCCCATGTGAAGAAATCTGCAGGCGCATTTATAAGCAGTGATGCTGGCAAATACTCAAAGTACCTATCTGATCTGGCGACTCACTGCCTCGAGCAGAGATGTCCAATGGAGAACATTATTGCTTGGGCAGGACCGTATCGAGGGGTTCTCGAGTATCTGCAAGAAAGAAGCTCCGAGGATCCCCACCTGTCCAGCGCAGTATCTTTTCTTATATCTGACTGGGCGACTAGAGTCCATACCACATACGACAACATACAAGACAATGACTCGGAAGGCGATAAGGAGCTGGGCCGATCGGCGTTTCGGTTGCGAATGATGATAGAAGACCGTCAATGGTTGGCAAGCGAATACACATTCAAAGCAGTCACGACTAGCCAAGCGAGATTTGCATTTTCGGTCATTTTGTTGCGATCACCTTTCTGTGAGTCTTTCGGCAAGATTCTGAATATTCTGTTGGGCTCCATGGCAAGTGACCAAGCAACAGTCCGCAGCAAGAGCTTGAAGAGCGTCAACCAGGTGCTTGAAACGGATCCCTCGATCCTGGATGGCGACTCGACTGTTATTCAGCTCATTCTGGATTGTGCTAGTGACTCTTCAACTCAAGTCAGAGATTCGGCTTTGGGATTATTGGGTAGCTGCATTAGCATGCGTCCAGTCTTAGAGGCATCGCTTACACCCAAGATTATCGATCGGTTCCAGGATGCTGGCGTGGGTGTGCGAAAGCGAGCAATGAAGCTGGCCCGTGATATTTACTTGCGGAATCGGGGCAAAAACCTGCGCAGCGCCATTGCCAATGGTCTGCTCCGCCGCATTCAGGATCCTGATGAAGGTGTGCGGGACCTTGCTCGGCAGATGATTGAAGAAGTTTGGTTTGCGCCTTTTTATACCAACGAGAACACTGCAAGCTTCGAAACGTCACTCGCAGAACATGTGTCACTTGTTATCCAAACTGTGAAGGGGGGGACTGTCACCGAAATTCTGGACAAGGTGTTACAGACTATTCTCAAACCCGGCAGCAAGTCTCTGGATGGACCATTTGGAGTCTGCTCGAAGCTGGTCGGAATCATGTTTGGGTTGATTGACAACCCTGAGTCGGAAGATCCAACCGTTCCATCTGGTCGCGACGCTTTGCAAGTACTTACCATTTTTGCGAAGGCCGACCCAAACCTTTTCAACTTTGAGCAAATTAAGCTGCTCAAGACGCAACTTGCCAGCTTTACAGGTGCCGATGAACTAGCTGCCTTTCGAGCGGTCACAGTAATTTACAAACGAGTGCTACCACAACTACCCAATGTGCATACCGAGTTTTTGGCCGACGTACGATTGCAGCTACTCAAAGGTATTGGTAAAATCTCATCTCGCGGAGCCTTGGACGACCTGATTGCGTGTGCTCATACTGTATGCGAATTGCTCAAAGACTTTGCACCGTTAGGCAATCTCGTTGCGTCGAGCTTGGTGGGAATACAAAAGCTGAGCAAGGTACCGTTAGACGCCAAGCGTCTCAATCTTGTCGCTGCCTATTCGATCATCGTAGGCAGCGTTGGAAAACATTGCGATCTCGACAAGCAAGCTCGCATCTTTCGAGAGAAGTTCCCTGGCTGGAAAGGGGACTCAGTATCGAAGCTTATTGTCGACATTCTCTCACCATTCTCATCGCCTCAACAACCACTCGACGCACGAAAAGCATCTATTGAAGCCATTGGCCTTGTCTGCCAGTCTTGGCCTCGTAATTATGATCTCGTTAAGGTGTACACGGCATTCCAACAGGTGTTCCAGGATAAGATACCTATTCTTGAGACAATGATTCTAAGATCCTTCAAAGAATTTCTCGTGACAGAAGAAAGACGATCGGAAGCAGCTGCAGAAGCTCCGAAGGAGAAGAACAAGGAGCTTACAGTCATGGGGGGAACCAATTTTGATGATGTTGCCAGTGGCGCTACACAACGATTCCTCAAAGAGATTACTCGGATTGCCTTGTCAAGCCAAGACGAACATGCATTCTTGGCCATGGAAGTCCTGGGCAGCATCAATCGTCAAGGTCTGACTCACCCCAAGGAGACTGGCGTGACTTTGATCACGTTGGAAACCTCTGCGAATAGGAAGATTGCAGAGCTGGCCTATTTGGAACATCGATCCTTGCACGAAAAACACGAGACTGTACTAGAGAGAGAGTACGTTAAAGCGGTTCAGTCTGCGTACAATTATCAACGAGATATTGTAAAGGACTCGCATGGAGCAACTATGGAGCCGTTCCAGTCGAAGCTTCATCTACTCATGGAAGTTTTGAAAATCAGCAAGATGAAAAATCGCCAACGATTTTTAGAGAAATTCGTTGGTCAAGCGGACTTTGAACTTGGGAAGCTGAACGTCAAGGCTGAAATGCCACATCAGGTAGACTTTGCACGTTTTATTGCCGAAAACCTTGCGTTCTTTGAGTACCACTCGATTGGAGAACTTCAGACTACGGTCAACATGATTGAAAAGATGGTTGCGAGCACTGGTGCCAGTGTGGCCCAAGCGATTGAATCCGAAGTATTCAATGTGCGCATGGATGTGGATCAGGAAGAAGAGCAGAGAAAAACTCTGTTGGAGGGAGATGTGCCAGTTGGTGTGCCAGTTGGCGGAACTCAGCCTGATGTACCGCCTCCCGCCGTCCCGGTGCCAACCCTCTCGGTAGAACCGCAGCGCCTCCGACAACTGACGGCTGGATCGATTATCCTACTCTCCCTCTGGGAGGTACGAACTCACTTACGCAGACTCTTTGGCATGGGCACGAATCGACATGACAACCGTGCGAAGGCTCTAGCAAAGGATCTGAATAAAACACCCCTAAAGGTGCAAGGCGTTCACGGCGAACGAGTGTGGGACGAAATCGTATCTCACATGAATGGGCTTTCCAGCCAGGAGAGCATGGTACAAAAGTGCAAGGCTTTCGTGGAGTTGATGAATGTCGACAAGGAGTTCAAGGTGGCTGAGGAAGATGACGAGATGGGCATGGGCGGCGGGCCAAGCACTCCAAGCGAAGGCGAGGACGACGATGACGGAGGTGACAGGGGCCGCAAGAGAAAGGCGGCGGGAACTCCTGGCGGACGCAAGAAGAGAGCTCGTTCGGGGTCGCAGACACGCAAAAGAGGCCGACCGCGCAAGCAAAGCGTGGAACAGAGCGATGACGGAGACTTTGACGGAGACTGGATCTAGCCGACGAGTGGCAGGAATATTTACCAACTGGCAAGCGCCATGCTATGAAGAACGGCGTGATGAGTTGTTATTGACATTATATTGGTACGTTATCCCATTTATGAGACGACGGTAGCTGGGCGACTCGGGGCAACATGGCGATGATGGCAGACTGGGGCGTTTGGACTTTTGTTTTTTCCATTTCTGTTTTGTGTGTCTACATCTATGATACCTGAGCATCTTGCTCCCATACAGGAGGACACGGAGCTGGCTGTAAAATTACATATACATAAGACAACTGAAAGCTTGTTCTCGGGCATGTTGCAGAGACGAGGAGACTTGGTCAGGGCAGTGTCGACATGCAGTGAATTGAAGGCATGGAAATAATACAGTTGCATGTGTTTGCCCAGTGTGCGCCGACAGTGCTAACGTCGGCTTGGTGGTCTTGTGTGCAGCAGCACTGAGGCGCACGGAGCGCACCAGACGCTGGAACGTGTCAAAGTGCATACATACTTACGCACGCCCTGCTTGTGTCGCGAGGTGGCAGAGATGCTGGCTGCAGCACTACGTACTACAATGCACTGTACATGCAATGCATGTTTGCGTCACGAGGGGCCCGCCGCGACCACCAAGAGCCGTCAAGGGCAAGGGTACAAGGGTACAAGGGTCCAAGGGCCCAGGCCGCCACGGATCTTGGCGAACGGGTGCCCAGCCGGTAAATGCAGCCGAAGATCTCAAGCAGACATGAGACGCGTTCCTGGTTCCTTGGCACCGAGAGTGCTGGTACTACAGTACTGCTACGGAGTAGTCACTACGTGAAGTACTTTTCTATGAATATACTGCTGCGAAGCAGGTGGATGGAACGAACACAGATGGATCAATCGGGCAGCTGCGAGATTTGCGAGGCGATGCATGTGGGCATGAGCAGGCAGCAAAGACGATGGTGCCCGGCTGGCTGGGCCTGGTCTGGTGATGCTTCCTTGTCCTGTGCGGTGCCACACCTTACTTTTGGTGCTTGCGCTGTGACTGTTGAGATCAATTGATCTTGGGCGGTGCATCTGGGCGCCAGCAGGACATCTGGAGCCTCTCTCGGCCCTGGCGCCGCGCCATTTGAGTTTCAGACTGCAAAATACTCGGTACTGAAATCCGGCTCGATAACATGCACAGCCGTTTTGTTGTGTGACGCACAAACTGCAAAATACGCGCACAACAGGCGCACAACACCTCGCATGCCTGCCTACCTAGGGTAGACCGACCATGTCTGCGATGGCACTGCAAATGGCCGCATGGCCGCAATGGGACCGTAGATGGGTGTCTCTTCTTTGTTCTGTATTGATACTCATCCGTGACTGCCTACAGCTTTGAAAGTGCTCGCTTTGTTCGCTCCTTCCCTCTCTCTGTTGGCTGTGTGCAATGCCCACCAATGCATTTTGCCATCCGGTGATGAGAGAGGCTCGAGAATGAATTTTTACGTATAAAGACGAGCACCTTTTGCTCCTCACCCTGTGTTGATTCCTCCCTCCCTTACCATCGATGCCTAAAGCCCACATTCGAACAAGATCGCACCGGCATCATCTGGTCTTCTCGGTGCCCAGTCGTTGCAACATACGGTGAAACCCAACACGTGGCCGACGCCAGCAAACGCAACCAACACGAAAAGCTTCAACACGGCCTTGCCATCCGCATCAGTTGCCCGATTGAGCGTATCCATCACCTGGTCGATTGCCCAGCAAACATCAAAGTGTCAGTCAGTATTCGAGACTGTGTGAATCTGGACTCCGGCCCGGCATACATTCAATTTTGACCCTCAGGCTGTTACTTAAGAAATCCATTGGCGCTTCCACAAGCCAGCACGGAATCAAACAGAGCTGGGAAGAGTCAGACAGCACACGAAGCGACAGACTCTTGTGGCATTTGCTGCTGAGGTCAAGGCGAACAATCACCGTGACAAGCGTGGAACACTCGACCGCGAGTTGACCCCCCTGACATCACCACTTATTATTCACTCGCGGTTTCCTTCCGGCCACAACATCATTCTGCTCTCGGGCTATCGACTAGCTAGCTAGCGCCTTGGTTGAGGCCGCCGGTCACCACGACAAACTTGAACCTTGATTGTGGATTGTGCATGTGGATATTAATAAGGGGAAACGCACCACAGGCACGCCAAGGTTATCCCCAGATCTCTTGGTAGCTTGAAAGCCGCAGGTTTTTGTCAACTCCCTTCCGGCCCTTCGCGTCCATCGAGGCAAAAGGCTCGCCGTTTACTGCAACGCCTTTCTTGGCAGACGCGTTTTGGGGCATTTCTCTGTCTTTTTTGGCAACTTTGATCTGCTTACATTGATTTGTCGCATCGGCGGCTTCGACTACCCACCACAATGTCTTCCTGTAAGTCTTCCCGTTTGATTACATGCTCTTCCAACCAAGCAGGCCCCCCTTCCTTCTCTGCGTCGCTACATACATGACCATTTCGCTGCGAGGACTATCACGGCGCAAACTCGATTCTGCAAAGTGTACACCTGCTGGGCAAAGCTGTCGCGTGCAGAGTGGCTGGTGCTGATGACTAGCCCATATTTATAATATTCTCGGATATAAAAATGCCGATTTGTTCTGCAGGCAGGTTCTCATGCAGACAACCGCTTGCACTGCCCCCTTGGACTGCGACCCAAGTAGCATACTTACAAAATGCGCTTGGCTCTCACTTCAATGCGCTTGCCCACTCCACCTTGGACTGCCGTCGTAAAGACTAGGCAAGGAGGAGCGGGCAGGCGTAGGGTTCAGGATCTTGCTTGGCTTCTTGGCTGGTTTTGAACGGCGCGAGCCATATGATGCTCCCTCATCAAACAATCTTATCAATCACAACTGCCCTCAGTGCACTGTTCTTACATTATTACGTCGCCGCGCTCTGCGGCAAGCCACTTGCCACACTTGGTTGTTGATCAAAGCTAATATTCTTTTCTGGCTGGTTCGCCATGGTAGTCAATCACTTCAGGAACAAACGTGAGGCGCACATTGTCAATCGCTCAAGCGTCCACCAATGGAATCCTTTTCGGCATCTTTGGGACACTCCTGCTGATCGTCAACGCCGTCGAGAAACGTGGGGAGGACCCGAACTGGAGGCGCAGACTGGTCAAGACGGACGAGATTACGGTGGAAGGTTGGCACATGCTCCCACTGCACCAAACCCCAGCAGTGGTGGCATCCCGAGGGATCCGTCCAACGCCGATACCATCACCAGCTCCGCCAAGGAGAGCGACGAAGCGACGAGGACAAGGAGTGTCTATAATGGAGAAGAGAAGGTGGCCCTCAATCAATTTTTAGGGCATGATAAATCTGGGAGCCTGCGAAACCGAAGGCCCGAAGACGATGCCGCAAATCTGGAAGGCGACCCCTCCCTGGCTCAACCAACAGCAGACGATAATGGAAAGATGAAGAAGAAGGTCAAGTCGGGTTTAATCAACTGGCATCTTAAGCCGAAGGAGCCTTTTACTGTGGCAAATCAACTGCAGCGCACCTTTTTGAGCTCATGGATCAACATTCTCTTGCTCGCTGCTCCCGTCGGTATTGCCTTGAATTACGTTCACTCGGTCAATCGCATAGCCGTATTCGTCATCAACTTCCTGGCTATTATTCCACTGGCCGCTATACTCGGTTTCGCTACAGAAGAGGTCGCTTTACGAACTGGTGAAACTCTTGGTGGTCTCATCAATGCTACCTTTGGAAATGCCGTTGAACTGATCGTTGCCATCATCGCACTGAAGGACGATCAGATCGCCATCGTTCAGACCTCCTTAATTGGATCCATTCTTTCTAATTTACTGCTTGTCATGGGGTTCTGCTTCTTTTTCGGTGGTCTGCGACGACAAGAACAACACTTTAACCACACCGTTGCTCAAACTTCTGCTTCTCTTCTGGCCCTTGCTGCGGCATCTGTCATTGTCCCATCAGTATTCAACGTTGCGGCCTCAGATATTTCACAAAGAGAGATTGCCAAGCTCTCCCGCGGTACCTCCGTCATACTTCTTATTGTCTATATTGCCTACCTCTTCTTTCAACTCCACACACATCACGAAGTCTTCAATGAGCAGAGCCAGAAGGTTCCCGCAAAGCCCTGGTCACGCAGCGGCGGCCCCAAGGGCATCAAGCAAGGTTTAGCCATGCCCAGCTCCATGATCAGCCATGCGATACCAGACCAGGAGGAGAACCAGCGATTATCGAAGATGCTCGGGAACCCCAAAAGCTTGGATGAGGGTGAGGATGAAGATGACGACCCCCAGTTGAGCTTGGCAGTTGCCATTGCCACCCTTACCATTTCTACGGTCATTATTGCATTCTGTGCCGAGTCCATGGTTGGCTCTATCGATTCGATTACTAAAAGTGGTGGCCTGACTCAAGAGTTTGTCGGCTTAATCTTGCTTCCTATTGTTGGGAATGCTGCCGAACACGCAACAGCTGTCACTGTCGCCATAAAGGATAAGATGGACCTTGCTATTGGTGTTGCTGTAGGCTCTAGCATGCAGGTTGCTCTGTTCTTGATTCCACTGCTTGTTGTTATTGGCTGGGGAATGGATAAAGAGTACATGGACCTGAGCTTTGATATTTTCCAGGTTGCGGTCATGTTTGTTGCCGTTTTGCTGACCAACTATCTGATCGGTGATGGCAAGAGTCATTGGCTAGAAGGGTTTCTCCTCATCTGCCTCTGGGGCATTATTGCTGTTTGCTCCTTCTGTAAGTGTTTGCCGTCCTGCAATACAATCACACGTACCACGGTGCTAACGATCCTGAACAGGGTATCCCAACACTAGCCTCGAGCAAGCCAATGGCACTGGCACCACACATTAATTATCTGTCTTACAGCCTTGCATGTGGCTTTTGAATTTTTTTCGCATACGAAGTTAGATTTTCTCAAGGTTTACGAAACCTGTTGCTGCCTGCATATTGTCTTTCATGGTCTCGATTAAGAAAGCTACTACACAAATTTGATGACTCAGTCAACCTCAGCGGCTCCTTGTCTCATACGCTGTCTCTTGTTAGAAGAGCGTTTCTTATGTCATGTTTTTTATGGTACTTGACATCTCTGTCATTATGCCTCGGCGAATCGGCCGCTGGTAGACCATGTATTATTATACTTTGAAGGGAAGGCGGTTGCCTAGGGACTGATACCAATCTGGCCGCTCGCGTTTGCGAGAATATGTTGTTTTTATGTCATGTTTCATTTGTTTTAGTTTAGGATAGTAGAACGGGAAGAGAAAAAATCCCTTTGGTTCTGACTTATTTCTCGAGTATAAACCCTCTTGAATGTGAAGATTAAGATGGCCCAGGATATAAGCAGGCAATGTGAAGACCCGAAAAATATAATCAATCATACATGACGAATAGAATATGTATCTCCAATACATAAATATACTAATTACTGTTATAGAGCGGGTCTTTACTTTCCTTTGGACCCCAACCCCATCCCATCATACTGTACACTCCCCCTCCTCAAAAACGCCATAGGGCTGCTCATTCGCATGCTCACCATCGCAGCAGAATGTCCGTTTCCCACTCCTCCTGCACCGTCTCCTCCTAAAATCCCTGGCCCCAGTCCTAAAGAGGGTATACTTGCCTCTGGCACCGGTTCTAGCCCCGCAATAGACTGCGTTGTAGCCGTTGAAGCGGGCGTGCCGTGGGGACGCTGGCCCTTGTCAAGGATATCTTTGTAAAAGGCCGTGAGGGCTACTTCGTTGAGACAGAAAGCCTCGAGTTCCGTCTTAAGAACCTCGGGCTCAGACCGTCCTGCCGGGTAGGAGATTTTGGATCCGTATATAGATGCGTCGATGGGGCGGGACGCCGGCGAGAAGTGGTAGAATGTTGGGCGCACTTGGGGCGATGCGAGGGGTGCTGCGGACTCGGGCAAGTTTGTGGTTGGGTGGCCGGATACGTAGGGGGCGATTTGGGCCATGGCGCGCGTGTTGGTGTTTAGAGGAGGAAGAGGCTGTGGCTGTGGCTGCTGCTGCTGCTGCTGCTGTTGTTGCTGCTGCTGCTCGGAGTGAACTTGGCTGCGCAGTTCTTTGTCACGAGCCATGCTGGTGCGCTTGTTGTAGAGTCTGTTTGCGAGGACGAGGAAGTCGCCCTCGTCAGTGATTTGGGCGAGCACCGCGCCTGAGCGGTGGATGTATTGCGTGTAGCTGAAGTCTGGTTTGCCCCAGGAGTAACGGACGTCTACGTCTGAGGGGAAGTTGGATGCGGCCTCCATGTCAAGGACGAAGTCGAAGTTTTTCAGGATGACGGTCTGGTAGAAGTTCTTGCTGGGACCGGCTTGCAGGTCGAGGGAGTTGGGGTCGTAGTATGTTTCCGGGCGTTCGAGCGGTGGCCGGATGGCGAGTCTGATGCGGTACGGCTTACGGAAAGGGTTGGTCTCCGTAATGCGACAGGCCTCATTGATGGGGACCTCGACGAGACGGAGGCCGTATTGGCTGGCTTCGCGCTCCCAGCCTTCTATCGTATCTTCAACGAGTTTGGACGTGGTGTTCATCCAGCCGATTCGTATATGGTAGCAGTTGTCTGGGTTGTGGAGGCGATCGTAGTGCAGGTCTATGCGCTCTGGGCGGTATGACCTCTTACGAGGGTCGATGTCGTACTTGATCATCTTGCTGAGCACAACCTTGGGCCTATTCTTGAGCAACTGGCTGGATCCGATGGCAGGTCCCAACGACGCTGGGGACTTCGGGTCATTCGGCACCAGGGGCCGTGGCATATTGGGCCGCGGGGAGTCCATGCTGCCGCCGTCTGATCCTGGCGCAGCAGGAGAGGTGACATCCCGACGTCTGCTGCTGAACCACCCCGGTTGAGGCTTTGCGAATTCCGGCGCAATTTGATAGAAGTAATTGCCGTCTCGAAAGTTGTGGCGCCGCTCGACATGGACGAACAAGCCGCGATCCTTCTCGCTCTTGGGCTCTGCATGCTCCTTTTCTTTATCCTTCTCTTTATCTTTGCTCTTGTCCTTGTCCTTGTGCTTTGGCTCATTAGGTACCATGAGAGCGTTACCGAGTTCTTCGGCCTCCTCACGACTATCCAAGTCCTCAAAATTGTCCAGGATCCAAGTAGTCATGTCAGATCCGATAAACGCAGCATTGTGAAGCCTGAGATGCCATCGCCGGTTCCTCAGTGGCACTCCGCCATTTTCGACTGGCTGTTGCATTGCTTCCGCCAATGCCGCCAAATTCAAGTTGCCCTTTTGGAACCGCTCCTTTCTTGTCACAAGTCCGCCCTTGCGATGCGGACCCTCCAAGCTCTCCAATATGGGAAGCGTCTCGACCTCTGCCGCAATCACCACGGACGGGTCCTCAGTCTTGTACACAATATCCAAGGGGCTGCGCCGCTTTGCGGTTGGCTGAAATCGTCGATCAGAGGGTGCCACATATCGATGCTTTTGCCAAAGTTGACCCAATCGTTTTATTCCCTCAATGCGCAACTCTTCTGGGTTATCACTAGTCTGGACGCGTTGAATCAAGGGGTGCTTTGGACCGAGGGGGATGAGCACGAATCTTGCTCGCCAAAATCTTAAGCTATCCATCATTTGGTCATAGTGCCCAGCCAAATATGAGTCGATTGTATTCCAATTTCGATCCATCTTTGGTGTCAGAATGTCAAAGGAACGAGTTTCATATTCAGTGTCGAATATGGTGCGAATGGCTGGCCTGTAGGCTGATGGATATCTTTGGGACTCAGCAGTGACGTCGGTAGGCTTCCGCAAATAAATGTTTACTTCAACTTCACTACCGTTGACACAGGACAGTTGGTGGATCGTGTTTCCAACAGACATGAATACACTTGTTCCGTCATCCAACGGCTGATCGCGAGCGAAGACATCTGCAACTTTGATGACTTTTTGCCCGAATGCCCGTGCAACTGACGGTCCAACAATGACCTGAAATCCCTGAGAGAATCGCATGCTAATGAGTTCCTTGATAAAATCCTTTCGTGATTTGGGCTCATCGACCACGTCATCATCCAAGTTCTGATCAATATTGTAGGGGTGCCTCTGGTATTCTGCGTCAAATTGAGCCTTGGCCGGGAAATATTCAGTTGTCAGAGGAACCGCCGCAGGACAACACAACGTCTTCCATTTTTGAACCTTCATGTCAGATGTCCGTGGAAACACATGCTGCCACCGACTATATAGAATGGTGTCGTCAATTTTGTGGCGCTCGGGGTTCGAAGGATTGAGCAGCGTCAGCCAAGGCGTGATGGCTGTGGTAGGTGAGAGTGTTGAGGGCAGCTCTGGTACAACGCCGGCCCGGAGTTTACTGGTATATACCTTTTGTGCGTCTTCTGCCCGTAGCGCATTGGAAAAGCGAACGTCGTTGTCTTCGGGGCGTCTCTCACGGCGTGTGCTTGCAGCGACTGGTAAAACCGACGGCGATTTGACTTGACTGACGGCCGTGCCCGGCCTGTTGAAACTATCTCTGGAAATCGGGATACTGGGTGTTGAAGGCACACCATCAGTAGTGCTGGCCGCCGTCTCGTACTTTTGCCTCTGAGCCGAGGCAGAGGATGAACGGCTGGTAATTGTTTGCGGCGTCGACGGCCTGAGATCAGAAAATGAATGGGCGCTGGAGGGCGGACGCAAATTCGATGAGACGGCAGCAGCTCCAACTGTCTCTATTTTGAGTTCAGCGGCTACTACCTTTGGGGCGGCTATTCCGAATCCACGTTGCCCAAGGCTAATCTGCCGCATAAATTTGGGCTGCTTTATGGACGGGGCCTTCTTGAACGTTGCAGTCGACGGTGGCGGCTCTGGAGATGGTTTAGGCGCAGACAAGATCGGCTTCTCTACCTCTGTTGTGGTCAAAGAGAACTTTCTGGAGGCTTGCATGTGAGAGGGTTGTAGGTAAGTTGAGGCTTTTCGTTCCGGGAGAGACGTCCCCATCGCAGATGTATCGTCGTTTAATTGTTTCCGGGCGACATCTTCAAACTCTGGTTTATTTCTAGATGGTTGGTGCTGGTGGTAAGGACGAGCCCTGGGGAGTCTCGCCTTTGCGTCATCATATTCTTGCAGGTGTTTGCAGACAGACTTTTCTCCTGGTCGGACCAGCTTGTCAGGGACAAATTTTTGAAAGCCATATACATGGTCAAAGAGCGTTTCGGGGGCTTGCTTGTTAGGGATGTATATAGTGTCTCCTGGCCGATCTGGCCGCTTCTTCGCTATTGCACTTGCTTGGACGAGGTGACTTGGATAACTAGAGTCGGATTGCAATGGTGCAGTCTCGATCTCATTCGCGTCCAGGACGCTTCGCATCTGCAAGTCGTACATCCGACACCGCACCTTGAACCAGTCCTTGTCTTCTTGCTCAACCTTGTTGGATACGGTCAGCGCAATGCCGGCATAGGACAATGACTCTTCCGCCGCACCGGTCCAAAACGAGACGTGTAGCCACTGGGGAAGCGCGTAACAATACTCTTCATTAGCTCCAGTAAGGGCGAGGGTCTCGATTCGTCCGGCCAAACTATACGCTTTGGTAGGAGAAAATGAACCGGACATGGATTGATAGCTTCCGATGACAGGCGTGGGGTGGCTGGGTGTGCTATCACGACTATGAAATGACCTAGAGAGTGCATGTCCTTGGCTGTGACGCGCATCCTCGGAGAATTGAGGGTTTCGGTACTTGAAAAGTGGTACAGAATGCAGCGGCATGCTGGCCATGCAAATCAAATCAATACCAATGCCGCTTCCAACTAGAGATTCAGTAGTTCTTCGCAAGGTTTCATAGTCAACTTCGAACACACCAGGTCCAGGAGTAATCACGGCGATGGAAATTCCTGTCCTGGTAAGATCTCGATCAATGTAGTCATGTGAGAACTGAGAAGCCGCCATATTGATCGCCTCTAGCACGTTGCCGTGTATTGATAAAGAGGATTCTGCTTTGGCGGGACTGGATATACCGTCCTTTGCTCCGTCCTCGTCGGAAGGTCTGTGCCCAAATGTGCTGATCTTTTGATGATGCAAGGTGATGTCTCGGCGAAAGAAGTTGAATTCCCGCTTGAGTTGGTAAAGAATGGTCGTCCACTCTCCGCTTGCCATCTCGCTGACGACGACACGATAAAAGTCCTTATACGGGCGTCGGTTTCCGTACGGTTGCATTCCGGTGTAGTAATCGTCGAGTAGGGAGCTAGTTGCGAGATCCGCACTTATGCCAGTATCATACTCGACACGGGCGAATAGCACTATGCTGACAAGATGCTTCACCTTGAGAACCGCCCAGCGTTTGAAGAGGGCAGGCAAGAATCCATTGACAACCTTGTTGAACATGATTTCGCCGGAGGCCTCAGAATCAAAGTCCCACATCTCTCGCGCCATTTGAATAAAGAGGACATATTTGGCAGACTCGCTGCGGAAAATGGGCCTGGTATCCTTTCCGAAGAAAGCGGAATGGACGGTGTGGCCGTTGACATAGACTGCAGTGACCTGAGCTTTGATTGTACCCATGAAGAATAGAGACTGGCCCTTGTACACAGTCCGCTGCGTTAGTTCTCCAGCAGCCAGCCTCCACATGTCGGCTCTTGACAAATACTGGTCTTTGAAGGACATTTCAACATGTGTTGCTTCGACAGCAGGGTGATGCTGGTTGACCTGGTTGGAGCGTGTTAGCAATAGGACAACGCGAGAGATAGATGGAGGCAATGCCATTTGACGTACGGGACGCAGCAATACGTGGCAGCCCTTCCTCATAAAAAAAGCATCCGCAATATGTTTAGCAACATGCACCTCGGCGTCTGGGTGTCGAGCCTTCATCTCCTTGGACATGTCCTTGGCGACGAATATGTACGTATGGCCGGCACCGTGATCATGGTCGCTGTAGGTGCCCGAAGCTGCCCTGGCACTATCGAGATGTTCATGGGGCTGCTTACTGACGCTTCCATAACCACATGTAGCGTTCTTCGAGTCACCTTTTAACGGTATGAGGGCCATGAGGGCGCCAGGCTTGATGTCGCCGCCGAGGTGGTCCAAGTTGAGCAGGACCTCGTCTTTGGAGTAGCCATCATTCACGGAAATAGTGCAGTGGCGCTCAGTCTTGCGTCTCGTGTCTTCCCGGATAGTGGAGTGAGTCGATGTGCTGCCGGGAGAACTTGGCGACTCTGTTGAACCAAGATCGAAGCTCACCGTGCCTGGGTGATGAAGGTGGGACCATCGTGGCCCTCTGCGCGGGACTGGCGGCATGGGCCCAGCATATCGAGACATTGGGGCGGTTTGCGTCTCATCTCAGGATAGACGTCATCTGCTAAGGTTGACTAGGCCTGGCAGAATGGATGCGGATGCCGTCGTCTGATCGCGTCGTGACGTCTGGTGAAGAGTGGTTAGCTGTGGCAGAATCAAGCTCCAGGCATGATGCGCCCCACACCGCCTGCCGGATTTCAGCGACCACAGAGCTCCCTCTTGCCTCGCCTCGCTTCGCTCTCCTCCCATTCTCACGATTTGGAACTTGATTGCTCCACACTCCAGCTCCAGACCTTTTATTCATTGCCTCGTCAGCTGGGACTTGATTTTGGCAGTCCTTGGGAAAGAGAAGAAAATGTCGACGTGTTGTCGAGACTCATCGGTTATACGAGGCACCGCCTGCCTACCAACCTGGGGAGGTAGGTATGGGGCGATGTAGTGAACAACGGGCCAAGGCACTACATGCATAGTCATACACACACGCACATACAAATGTAGGGCATCTCAAGCTACATGCTGCAAGGTACGGGGATATTGATATTGATAATTGTACACTTGGCACTAGGCAAGTGACTCTCCCAGAGACTATGAGTATCGGCGATGACGCTTCTACTTGGCAGCGATGTATTATCCATCATGATTCACACTACCGTGGCCCACGAGTCCCACGAGTCCCACGATGGTGTCGCTGGTACAAAGGCCATCCGCATGCCACAGGTGTTACCCAAGCGATTCTCTCGTGCAACTACCTTCGTCATTGATTGCTCAATTGTATTGCCACAACCATGAACACACGAGTATCAGCACCTGCCGCCTGCCCTGGTCGTTGATGGTTCATCTGACCATCCGGGGCACAACCACAATTGGGGTATATGCGTGATTTCTCGGGAGATATAAAACATGAGGTACCCCTAGGAAAGTTTGTTGTCGAAACATGTCTCAAGACTGCCAGAACAGGCAGCTTCCTGGTAGATGGATGTGCCGCCGTAACTTTATGCGATTTGATTGCAACGGTAGATCCCTCGATGCTACCCCGACGTTACTATAACCAACAAACTTCAAACCGGCTTTCCTGGTCTATGTCTATCGACTTCCTGTTGCAAGTTAGGTTTTTTTCCCCTTTGCCAATATTCCAATCTACCTTGCACTGGCCCTGGAAGCACTAAATTGCTAGTGTACAGCCTTGGAATGTCCCTGGCAAGCTTGATGAACATGGCCACCGACTATCAATGCCTGAAGATGGCGCAAGTTGAGGTGTTTGCGCAGCTGGCAGCAGCTGTTGGCTCCGTTTGTCACTCGTTGCAATAAAATAACTCCCGTATAACCCGTCATGACTCTTTCTTTCCTTTCGCCTCTCTTCCTTGATCTAACACCCCGGCAAAGTGTGCATTGGTCCGCCATGGCTGCATTCACCATTACACGAAAGCAGCGTTTGATGGCTACTATTGCCATTTCTGCGGCATTCTTTGTCGCAGAGTTGATTGGTGAGTACAGTACCAGGGGATGGCGGTGTGCTGCGACCGAGCTTTTGTCGTTAACCCTCTCACATCTCTAGCCGGATGTTATACTCACTCTCTGGCTCTTATCGCCGATGCTTTCCACTACGTAGGGAATCTTCCGAGAGCAGACCCGAAGGTCCATTATCTATAACTAATGCACATGAATAGCTCAGTGATCTAGTTGGCTTTGTGGTGGCCTTTGTAGCCCTCACGGTTTGTTTCCTCTCTGTTTCATGAAGAATGAATGGAATAGATGCTGACGGAGAAACAGGTATCCGAAGGATCTCAACCACCACCCAAAGAATTTACATTCGGATGGCAGAGAGCAACTCTTCTCGGCGCATTCTTTAATGGCGTCTTCCTTGTCGCTCTCGGCGTCAGTATTCTTGTCCAAGCGATCGAGAGGTTTACTCACACTCTCCGTATGCTTCGCTCGCCCAAGTTGCGATATACGTCTTCCTAACGATGCCTAGATATTGATGAGCCGAAAGTGGTGCTGGTAGTGGGATGTGTTGGGCTCGGGCTGAACCTGCTAGTGATGTCATTTCTTCATGGTGAGTGTCACTTGTGCTACGGGTAGGCAGATGGAGAGACTAAGGAAGCAGAACACGACGACCATGATCACGGACACGGGGATGGCCATTCCCACAGCCATGGTTCTCACGATGATGCTGCTCATTTCGACGATGAAGCTTTCATGATGGTGGATGACCCCGAGAACAGGGCGGAAAGTCGCAAGGTTTCAGTAAGTCGCGATCTGAGGACACCTGGCCCATGTTCCGACCGTGATGAGACGGCACTACTGACAAATGGTTCAGGTGACTAGCAGCCACCATGAACATAAGCATTCTTTTGTCGCCCCCTCCAAGCCTGGGAGAGATCTCGGAATATTTGGCGTCTTCATCCACGTCGTCGGGGACGCGATTAATAACGTCGGAGTCATCGTCTCTGCAGTTATTATTTGGAAGCTGGACAGTCCCGCACGGTACTATGCCGATCCGGCCGTTGGCATCTTCATCGCCATCATGATCTTTTTGACTGCAATTCCTTTGACCAAAAAAAGCGGCAGCATACTCTTGCAGATCGCCCCTGGAGGAATCGACGTGGAGGACGTCAAACATGACATTGAGATGGTATGCCGTCCGCTGTTGTATGCAGACTTCATTCGCCTCGCAATATCTAACAAGGCACAATTGATAGATTCCTGGTATTGAGTCGGTACACGAGCTTCACGTCTGGCGCCTCGATCAGCGGAAAACTGTTGCATCGGCACATATAGTGGTTGACGATAGAACCGTCAAGCACTTTACCGAAAAGGCAAAAATTGTCATGGAATGTCTGCACGCGTACGGCATTCATTCCGCGACTCTTCAGCCAGAGATCCTTCCCCCCATCACAGAGCAGCATGTTGAAGATGTCTCGAATGCCAGAGAGACAACAGTTCATCGGCGTCGTCTTAACCGATCAGGTTGCCAGTTGGTTTGTGGCAGTGTCTGCGGAGGGATGAGATGCTGCAACTGAGAAACTGAGGAGCGTTTTTATTCTCGAGAGCGGCCGTGCCTTGAGAGAAGACTGGAAGTTGGTATTCAAGCTACAAGCTGACACACGGATGAACTGATGAGAGGGCCACGAGAGTACGGCTGGCATGGATTTGAAGGGTCGTGAGTTATTATCAATACAAACATCTATGTGAACGAAGATGCGTGAAGGCATGCCGCTGAACCAAGCCTGTCATTGATCCCAGTCTACTTTAGAGTCGACTATAAAACTGACATGCGTTTCAAGCTCCTCTCCTTGCGTCTACATGGCCCCCTTGGACTTGGTCTGGCGTTCTATAAGAGGAGGCTATTATCGTATCTGGTTTCTTAGTTTCCATTTTGCAGTTTCGCTATATCCAAGAGTCTCGGACAACACCTTGATGGGAGGATCGTAACCACGTCTTATTACAAGACGATGCCAACTTCCTTTTTCCATGCTTTTTAATCATCAATGATGCGATATAGTTTATTGAATTGAAATAGTAATAGCAGCTACAAAAGTGGAGCAAGCGCTCTTGAATCAATCAGCGCCTGAATCAGCACAGCTCGGCCGTTCGGCGTCGGTGTTCGGATGGAAGCGCAGTCGACATCTCGGTGAATTCATTGGCGGGCCAAATACACACATAACATACACGCAGCACGCGCGCATTCATCACACGAGTTTCTCCTCATGCCTACTACTACCATCAAAATCCTTCATCCCCATCCCCCCATCCCCCCTGGATCCGGCTGTAGCTAGTCTCCATCCTTCCGGCACTTGGCACTCGGCCAGGTTTCTCTGATTCGGGCCAACGCAGCAAAAGAGTATGTTGTATACGCGTACATGGCCGAATTCGCGCCGTTCCCCAAGCTTCCCGCCGAAATCCGCCTCGCAGTGTGGGAGCTCGTCCAGCCACCGCCCCGAATCATCGGCCAGGTGCCGTGCCGCGCATGCTGGGCCGAGTGCTTCGCGTGGAGGAGGGGACGGGACGCAAACTGCTCCCGGCGGCGGCAGTGCGAGCAGCGCAACCACCCGGACTGGCGGGTGAGATACATCGTCCACCCGAGGCGGGACGCCGTGTTCCCCCTGCTCCACGCGTGCCAGGAGTCGCGGGCGGTCTGGCTGCCGCGGTTTCACAGGCCGGCGGCGCGGCACCTAGTCTGCGAGACGGGGGTGGCGTCCGCGGACGAGGGGGACCAGACGGCCGGCGTGAGGTTCGACGTGCCCTTCATCAACTACGAGGCCGACATCCTGACCGTCTTTGACGACTGGGCGTTCGCGGGGGCGCTCAACACGGTGGACCGCCGGCCGCAGACGGAGCAGGGCGAGCTCGACCCCTTTGTCGGCCTGCGCCGCGAGAGCATACGGCACGCCGGCTTCTGCGAGTCGGCCGAGGAGCTGTGGTCGGCGCTGCTCAGCCTCGACGCGAGGACGCTGCCGCGGCTGCGGTCGCTGTCCCTCGTGCGCATGGGACCGCTGCCCCCGGGGCAGGAGACGGAGAGGAGCGCCCCCGGCGAGATGATGTGTCCCGCGCTGTCCCAGGGCGTCGACTGCGTGGTCCGCGACGTCGCGTTCCCCGGGGACGCGTACCACGCCTTCTTCCACCACTGGCGCTCGCGGGACGAGCTCTTTGAGCCTCGCTCCGAGCTGCCCTTGTTCAAGGCCTTTCACCGGTTCTGGAAGGCGTTTCTGTGGCATCTGCTCAACCGCGAGGCGAGGAGGGGCTTCGGCAGGGACTACTCCGGCTGGTGGACGTTTATGGAATACGTCGGCAGGTCGGGCGTCGACGCCGCCGGCAGCGTCTGCGTGCTGAGCAAGGTGGACGGCTGCGGAGCCGGGGGCCACGGCCACGAGGACATGCTGGACTGGACGCCGGCCTTCCAGCTGCGGTGCAGGCTGCTCTGCGAGGAGGGCGAGGCGCACGGCCTGAAGGCGTTGAGGGAGGCCAACGCGGGCAAGGTCGGTGGCATCAGTGAGAGGGCGAGCTTGGAGAGGCTGCTGCCCGGGGAATATGTTTCCGGCTGGTGACCAACAAGGTGCGGTTTATTAGCGACGGGCACTGGTACAAGTCGGCCCCAAAGATATATGGATGGCGTGGTTTTTATGATTTACGAAGAAATGACTCGGTTGGTTGCTTTTACGTAGGCCTTTGAACGAGGACAAGACTATGTCTATTTGCTTGACCGTGGTTGAGGCTTTCGACTTGCAGCAGTCTCCTTCTTCTTCACCTTGGGCACAGACCAGAGTGTTTGAACTGGCTAGTATTCCGTGTTCCATCACCAAGCGGCTCCAACACAATATTCAACATGACAACAGCGGGCATGATGCCGCAGCCCGTGTGCCGGTTCTCCACTCGATGCGCGGCCGAAGGAACAAGGGCGTGCCAAGTACTCCGTAGAAGCATGAAATTCCCGCAAGCCCTGCCCCATTTGAAATATGTATGTATGTTGTCTGTACGGTGTGATATCTCTCGCGTGATATTTCTTCCTTCAGCGTTGACCACTCTGTCTTGGCATCACAAAAGCACAACGTCCGGGTTCGGCGGGTCAGGAACAAACAAAAAGCAAGGAAACGGCGCATAATGTGATGACTCGGGCTTGACGACAAATGGGCATCACGGACAAAAGACCGTTTCTCTGCCGGCCCCGATGATGGAACCTGCCTGGGCACGTGTGTACATGCGTCTTATTTTGTTTTCAACGCCATGCGGAGGACCATTCCAAGAAAAAAAAGAAAAGAAAAAAATTCATTCGAGACGAGCAGTCGGCGCTATGATTGCGGTTAAACGCACGGTTAACTTAATTTGGACATGATGCAGTAAAATTGCCCCGTCACACGCACGCCCGTGTATGTACATCATCATTCGGAGCTCCAGTAGGGCTGAGGGAGGAAAAAAAAGGTGACGGTGATGAACACGCATGAGCACCAACATATTGTGAGCAGTCACCCTGGGGCCACAATCCTGTAGTAGTTTTTGCTGCCTTGTTCGTCGTCACATAGTTCCGCGTTACAAGGTGCTGGCGATGAACATTGAATGGATGGGAGAGCCGCAGCCGCCACCCGAGGGCGTTGAGTTACTCCGGCTCTGTATTTCGGGCTTCCGTTCGGGAAAATAACATCTCGGTTGCCATTTATTGGAGGCGGAGGCTCAGAGCACCTGCCGTGGGAGGTACATGTGCATATTCATCGACAGCTCTGGAGCATAGCTCAGACCGACAGGAGGGCGGGTTCATCTGTTGATCGGCGCCGGATGGACATCGGTGTGTAGGTGTACGGAGTACGTGCGGCGCACAGGGGCGGAGTGTCCAAGTCTTCTTCTTTGTGGCACGGCTCGGCCAGACACGTTTCGAAACAAAAGTCGATTTGAGAAGCGCAGAGGGCGACCAAGTTGGTAGCTAGATCCGAAGCCGTTTGGCGGACGTGACTCCGTAGATACAGAGTACGCCGTAAATGGAGCTTCAACAAAGGAGCAACGCAACGGCTTTTGCCGCCTCCCATTTCCCTCGGCCCCCCGACCTTGGCTTGGTTCACACGCCATTCGCTACTTGAGTACCTGGTATTACCTGCCGTTGGTCACGTTTGGCCATGCCGTGCAACCAACCATGCACGGAATGGGCCCCGGACCCCTTCTTTTCCCTAAGCCGGCGCCGGATCCAACACATCTGGATCCTGGTGTGGCAAAAAGTGGCCGGCATGCGAACCACGGGATCCCCATTGGGCACCAACTCCTCTGTGCCTCCGCGTCAAAGGTGACGGACGTGCTTGAGTACGGTACGGCGCAATTGGGTCTTTTGGAAGTCGCGCTGGGCAACCGAAAGCTCAGATCCCATGTTGATACGGAGTACACCAGACCTTTTCTTTTGCTTGTCCAAGGCACAAGAAGAGCCTCGTGCTTCCGGGAAGTGAGTTTCGCTGGGGGGAAAGGCTGAGCGCAAATGCTTCCAACGTCAGATTGATATGTCTCGACGAGAACCTGAAGTCTTAAAAAAGGGGGGGAGGGGGTTCAGGTTCGTGGTTTGTCCAGCCAAAAAAAAAAAACGCACAAAAAGCTATATCACCAACTCTACAGTCCCCTATCCCAGCCCAATCACTTTACTTGCAACATGATGAAACTGAGTAATAAAACGAGGGGCCAAAAAAACAAATAAAAAAAACTCAGCCTGATCGTCAGGGGCCCATGCTTTCGACTCCTCTTGTCAGCGGGACCGAAACGTGACTGGGCCGGGCGCCTCAATTACTGCGCTCATCTCCCGACGGGCCCGTCGACCCTTTGTCTTTGTGTAGTTGAGAAGCTGAATATTACTTGTCCGTGCAGATACAATATCGAGTATACTCCGTAAGCAGCATGGCAATCATATTGCTCGGACGAGAGCCGAAGAGAAGGTTGGGAGTGGAGCTGGTGGAGGAAGGGCTTTCCACACCGCAATTTTGGCTGGCGACAACCCTCGTCATGTACTCCGTGCTGGGGGGTTTATTGCAGAAAAGTGCCTTTGATCATCGTCGTCAAGGAGAGAGTGCTCGAGCCATAAGGTTGGTGCGCTCGTCCACTGGGCTGTTGGTGCAAGATCTATTCCATACGTTCAAGCCGCCATGCGCTGTAAGCAATCCTGAGAGGCCTATATTATGTCCGAGAGCCACCGGGATCATTGCCATGGCGTTGGGCCAAAAGAATGGTATGAATACCGGTGTCATTGAGAATGTACAATGTTGGTTGTAGTATTAGTTCTGGGTCCGAGCCTGGGCCTATTTGGCTAGTCCGGCGTACTGTCCAGCGAGTATTGATGATGACATCGAAATGAAGCGGCCATGATGCTGCTGCTATTGCCCAAACAGACAGACACCAGACTTGGAGTACCTAGCCAGTCAACGTCAACGAGTCGAGACACACACTACTCCGTACACGGAAGGATAATACCACCATTTGCAGCTGGTACGGAGTGTGCAATATTGTACATACATGCTCCGTACGCATCCAAGTACAATGTGGTTTTCAACGCAGTCGTCGTCCCCGCACTTTCTTCCACAGCATAGTATGGCATATAATTTATGCGAGCGCATGTGAGATGGACGCAGGCCAGGCTGAGCATGACGGCCCGATGGCCCTGCTGGCCTTGGTCATGCACATCCTACCGCCTATGCGGCTACAGTTGCCTGCATCAGTTGCCACCATCTAGAATCGGCGGGCCGCAGGACGAGCCTTGAATTTGACTCGCATTTTGCTTGGTCAAGACACGATTGGCATTGCGGAGGTGGCTGTCATTAGGCGACAGATCGCCGAGAAGGACAGCCTGGCAAGGCCAGCAAGCAGCAGGGCCCAGGGATCAATTCTGATTCAGTCGCATTACTCCGTATTCGACTTGGAAAGGCTTGATGAGAAAGGGAGCAAAGCCACTGGGGCAAGCTGCAAGGCCATCAATAATTGATGAGCTATATGAAGGGCAAGGCTCGAGATCCAAAACATTAGCTCCTGCCACGACCTGGCGCTAGTACTAGTAACAGTAGTAGTAGTAGTACCCCGTACTCCGTGACAAGTCGAGGGGACGTATCTGCCGTAGCTGGGGAAAGGCTGTGGGCGTTGAAGCGCAAAACTCGGGGAAAGGCTGTCGTCGGTGTAGCAATGGGGGCTGAACTGGTCTAGAACCGGCAACGCGGAACAGCAAATTCTGGTGTTTGATGAGCAGGTGAGTTGGAATGCCTTGGGGAATGCGCCGAGCTGTGTACTCCATATTATCTGAGGGCAGCGTGTTTTGTGTGTGTACGGAGTATGTATGTGCATGTGTTGTACAACATGCGAAGATCCCGTACCAAGTAACCCGCTGGCCTGTGCCAGTTTCCAGCTTGAAGACCGACTCCATTACAACGCTGGCAGATGTGTGTGTACATTCAGAGTACATGGTATAAAGCATGCAACGGCATGGAGGGTACCCCGGTAGTTCCTCAATACGGGCTGTGCGTCCATCCAGTTAGGCCGTTGTCAACTTCAGCAGCGGCCTGAGCTCGGTGAAGGGTTCAGATGTCGGTTCCAATGCAGAACACCAGATAGGTCAGCAACCGAATACAGCGCTGGCTGTCTAGTAGTACCGACCTTGTTTTCTGTGCGTGCAGCTGTATTGTACTGCACAACCGAAGGCGCCAGCTACGCTGTACGGAGTGCTCGACGGAGTGCTCGACGGAGTGCTCCGTACAGGATTGTATTGTAGCCACTCCGTGTCCCGTATGGCATTCACAAATATTGCCATGGTTATGCACCAGGATTGAAGGCGTGACTCGCATGGGGCGGAGATGGCGGTTTGTGGCACCACCCCAAGGTTCGGGGACGCCAAAGGGCTGGCTGGCATGGACAAAATTGCCTTTTTGCTGTGATTGGCATCCTGTGAAGGTCGGTTTCCTTTGGTCCTGGTCGACTCGAGGCGCGTTGGCACAGCATATGTTGGGGTTCCCACATCGAAGACTCCTTGCCTTTCCCTGCCCTCCACCTCTTATCCCAACATCAAATACATGTACTGGTACGTATGTATTCAGTTTGTACAGCATGCCTGCCGGGGCTGTGGGCTGGTTGGTGCTCGTGTGAGGGCTCGTGTGAGGATTGGATTTGGCAGCTCAGTACTCCGTAGGCGAGAGACGAGAATTGCTTCCCTGTTCCCTGTCGGTGATTTCTCGCCGACCATTCTCCGCGCAAAGAAACTCCATATTACGTGCCCTTCGTGGGCGTATGTACATGGGCAAGGTCCTGCCTGTCTGACCTGCGTTGCCCGTTGCCCACTGCCCGCTGGTGCTTGGCTCTGCATGCTGCTGATGACGGAGGGCTGGTTTTTAATTGAATGCATCTGACCTCGCGTCACCGCATCATGTCGTCACCCAAACAGTCAGCCGGAGACTGGAGGTGTTGGACGGCGATCCGATGATTGTCGACCACGCTTCTTGTGTGCTTCGCGGGTGTTGGATTGGCAGTCGGTAATGGATGCCAGTCGACCCGAGTTTCTGGGTCTGTCGCCCTGTCGCCCACCCATGGCCACATGCATGGACGACTAGACAAAGTCAAAGGCATTTATAACAACCCAGCTGAGAACAAGAGCCTCGAGATGCTCCATAGATACTGGCCTTGACATGCACCGAGACTCGATGCTTCCTCTCCCCGATCACCGCCCACATAAACTTCCGTCTACTTCCCATCTTGTCTAGCCTGTCCTCTTTCTATCACGGCGAACCTCCCCCTCCCTCACCTCAACAAGCCAAACAGCGGCTCCAAAGAACCTGTTTTCCCCTTGCCTGCTGGGCAGCAGATCAAGTTTTATTTTGACTACTACTGCAGCTATTATAAAAAAAAACTCCCAGCCCCTCCAGTCCTGTCTGTTTCCTGCTTGGACTCTCAAACTGTCGACGGTCCGAGCCTCCTTGTGCGCAGCTGCTCTAGAAATAAAGCAACTCACCTAGGCCGCTCCTTCCCACTCCTCGCGCCGCGGCATCCGGTACTCGGAGCAGGCCGGCAACCTTCGACAAGACAACATTCACACACGCACGTGCGGATTGGTCTTGGTCATTTTCCAGACTCGGTCGCACTTTTTCTTTTTGCTCGCCTGATCCAGCAAACGACCTATTGTATCTATTACACCTCTCAACCCAGCTCACCGATACTTCCTTCATCTCACGCACGCGCTGTCATTTGCCGGCCGGGGGGGTCCTAATACCGATTTGCAAAGTTCCACCGCGCCTATTCGCCAGCACTCCCGACTCATCTCTCTCCCACCGCCTTCCCATCAACGCCACCGCGTCCCAGCACCGAAATCCCCTTTGTTCGCGCAAACGTATTATCCTGGGCCGCCTCTGCTTGCGCCATTCTTCTACATCTTGGCTGTTAAGCGTCCTTCATTGCGCTACTGTTGTGGGAACTCTGCGTCTTGCCGGACTCTTGCCGGACTCGTTGGCGCCAAAATCGTAGTTTGGCATCGCAGCTTTCCCTGACCTTCGTTTGCTCCAGCCAGCCCATGGTTACTATGCATGCGCCACGGGAGTCGTTTTATTCACTGCCTCCGATGATGATGGCCGTTCACTGGACTTGAATCATTTGTCCTCACTGACTTTGACAGAAGTCCTCTCGCTTTCAGCAGTGGCAAGGTCCTCGTTTATTTAACCTTCGCACTCGGCCTCAATCCATACTTATTCCAAGTATCTCAGGTCAAGGCTCTCTTGGCGCCCGTCCTCAATATGTTGGGAAGGCTGCTGCACCTGGGCTCTGGAGGCCCTGCCACGCCTACAGTTGAGTCAAGCAGCAACAATGCGTCTCGCCCGATTCTGTCCCTCGAATCAGTGCAGGAGGATATTCATACTCGCAACCTTCTCTTTCCCGATGCTCAAGCCCTGTACCAACACCGGAACGATCAGGTTTTCCCCCTATCCACTACGCCTACTACGCCAGGCATATCTACGGCAAACGCTTTTGACTATAGCGAAGATGTCGATCTTGATGTCAAGGATGTTCGAGTTGTTGTGATGCAAGATGCACTCGGTCCTGCCAATGCGTCTCTTCTGTTCGATAGTCACCCACCTCCAGATGCCATGGCGACCTCGGACCGCTCCCCTGCTCTTCAGGAAGCCAGAAGAGACCCTATTTCATCGCGCAAGGGCAGCTTGACCCAGTCAGCAAGGCCTTTAGTGATACCATCAGAGAGCCCTCAGCCTCGACAGGGTGCCTTTGATCGCCGGGCATCTATCCACAGCCGAAGTCAGAGCTACCATGAAACCGAATCGCAGAGAGCTGCCCGCGAGTATAGGGAGGAACTGGCGACCTTCTCCAGTTGCATATTTGGGAATTCCGAGCTGATGGCATATAAGGGGACGTCGACAAAGGTCCATGTAGTGCCAAGCGAGGCTCGCGCGAATGAATCAACTACGTCATCTGTCTTCAGCGATGGGAAGAGCTCCATTGGCCGTTCAAGTGGTCGTTCCAGCAAGCTTTCGCAATCCTACTCCTCGCAGGTTGTGTCGCCCACCATCGGAGCCTCGCATCCTCTCGGCGGAGTTCCTCCCCGTCAGAGTGATAGACGCAAAGTTCTCATTACGCGGCTGTTCCCTGTGAGTCTCGCCGCCGATGACGCCGATCATAGTGTTACACCACAAAACCACAATTCCGACGACAATGGTGGTTTCCCTTTCCCTGCGCAAAGCGACGAATCTTCTCACAAGAAGAAAAAGCCTCAACCGAAGCAGAGGCGTACACCCATGTATGCTGTGGTGCTCGTAGTGCAAATCCCAAAGCCCTCGTCCAGAATGTCGTCTGCTGTCCCAACCAAGTCTGTTTTCCGTGAGTCGGGCTCATACCAGGATCAGGAACTATTTTCCTCATCCTACAACTCTGCAAAAGCTGGCTGGAATATGATGTCAACATCAGGCATGTATGGAGAGGCCGCAGATTCTCTTGACATTGAGGATAGGATCGACTCTTTGACCCGACATTGGGATATCATCATGAGAACCTTGACGCACCTCCAATCGCTCGTCGCCACAACGATACATTCGATGCTCAAGCAAGCTGACAGCACGTCTCCAGGCCCATATTCAGGGTCATCCGGCTCGAATTTCGTCTCTCGAACCCCTTCAATGACAGAACGTCGCGGAAATGAACTGCCCCGAGCTAAGCCACCTAAGAGCACCACTAAGCTCGTGTCATTACTGCCAAACTGCCTCGCGGATGATGTCAACATTGCCTCTGAAGTTGGTTTGGCGCGAAGTAGAATCGTAATGGGACTCAGCGCTGCTCGCGTTATTACTGGCCAAGGTCGATGGGGTATTTGGCGTGACGAGGCCATCTGGACGTCGAAGTGGGCAGCATCCACGGAACGTACTGCTTTCTTTTATAATCTTTTGACAGGGTTCCTTGCAACTCATACCGACTGGCTTCAAGCTTTGTGTGGCCCCTCATATCGTAAACGAGCCACTTTAGCCCGCCGAAATAGAAACGAGGAGGACCTGTCTCTGCCGGCCCGGACCATCATCATATCCGACGATAAAATGGCCGCTCGTCGACTAATTTTTCTTCTTTCTGCTTTCCTCCCTGCAAATCAGCAGATCCCTACTGCTAGAGCGCACAGGCCGAGTGCGTCGGCACCCGTTGGGGGATATTCCAACTCGCCGCCGACCTTCATCATACCCGTTCTTCGGGAAGAGTCTCTCCGTCGCAAAATCAATCGCCGAAGTGGGCTGAGACGGACGTCGCATTCTAGGACCACAAGCCAGAGCGCTAGGAACTCAGGCCACGTTCCTCAGCTTGCGCAGATTGGCCTTGACCGTAACCACCAAAGGCGAGCATCTGATGCAGCATCAATTCGTACGACAAATTTGCCAATGCTGGGAACTGACCTTGTCACGCGTAAGAGCAGCGCGGCGACGACCACTACCATCATGCCCGAGACGACCACACCTCACTTCACGAGCGTCCAGCAACGCGACTGCCAAAGACGATCACGACCTGGAAGCAGCGGTAGTGTAGCAGCGGACGATTTGAAGCGATCTCTTAAGCGAGGCGAGCACAGTGGCCAGGCTGGTGGAGTTTCCCGACCGCCTAGTTCTGGATTGAAATGGGGCAATTTGATAAATGGTCTTTGGAGTCCTCGTCGAAGAGACTCAATGGACAGTGGTACTTATAGTCAAGGCAGTGCTGATCTTCGATCTCCTATCAAAACTAGTTTCGGCAGAACCGACAAGCTGTCCGAAATAGTCAAGGAGTCTCCCGAGGAGCGATTTGGGGCTGCAATCGTGGACTCGGCACAGGAGGTCGACGCCCCTAGAGACAACTACAGCGGTGTGCGTGGACGAGGGTCCTTTGCACAGGCGGACCGGACGCCGGATCCCACTGGTGCTTTCGAATCCCCTGTAAAAACCTCGATCAATGCAGAAGACGGCGTGATTGACGTTGATGTGCCTTTCCCGGAGTATATCACGTCTTTCGAGTCGGCGATTAGCTCCCCTTCCAGCAGCGGGTACTTGTCTACTCCCGGGCTGCCAAGTGGACTGGAAGCTTTTGAACAAACTCGCTTTGCCATCGAAGGCGATTTGCCTTTGAATGCTGCAGGATGGCTCAATCGCTTTCACCCAGACTTTGCGTTGCAAGCCCTGCCTCCGCAGGATAATCTCCTTGACAAAGTCAAGGCTGCTCTGCGAGCGGAGCCGTCCCCGGCACCCACCACCCAAAGTAATGATCTGTCTGAACGCTGGGTTGATGTAAGCAGCGTCATGATCGCAGATGCCACCAATAACTCCGTCTCCCGAATTGTCTATCGTCGATTGGTCAAACCCAAGGCACAACACGACCCACCCAGCGGAAACCTTGGTGCTGGCGGATATACAATGCATACGCCATCGATCCTGCCTTATGAGACCCAACTAGAAGAGGAGTGGATTGAGGAGCCAATCTTCACCTGCGATGAAGCTCTGCGAGATGCGGTTGAAAGGGCGATTCATTTCAACAGCGACGCCAGCAAAGGGAGCTCAACAACATCATCGTCACAAACCCCCAGCGACTTTCAAGGAAGCATGGAGAGTGACAGTACCATGCCCGACACTTTGTCGGAGGTCACTCAGCTGGCTAACCCTCCACTTGACGCTCCCAGAGTCCAGTGCAAGACGGTGATTTTGTCTGCCCTCGAGGATATGTTTCGCGAAGCAGTCGACAGCCGGGACACGGGCCATACTGGCCGCGCGAATAATCGACTCAACCGCCATCGCCATAGTATCCTGTATGACGCCGTGCGAGCCTGGGTGGCCAGCATGGACGCTGTAGAATAACGTCATGATTGATCCCTCAACTATCACACAAACCTCTACCGACCTCCACTTAGCGCACCGAATCCACCAAATTTCATCGGATAATAGAGACGGAAGCTTACTTGTGCCGTCAATTTTAATGGATTGTTGTTCATTTTTATTGCTTTAGTCTGCAATCAGCGTACAAACCACGATACCCCAACACGCATAAACGAGTCGCATAATGTTTTTCTTGAATTCTCGGCATTTCAGTCTAGGAACAGATAGCTAGTAGTGGCTCTCGCTTCCCATTGTCTATTGCTTGCTTGATTCATCTGTCGCTACATCTTTGTTAGGACGAATCTGGGTCTGAGACGGATCTGCTGCACTGAGAACGACTGGCTATTTATAAATATTTCATATTCCTTGAAGCGACGGCGTCTGAGGAAGCTGACAGTTCAGGATTAGTCCACTGTCTGCAGGTTACTGTTTCTCTCCTTATTAGTGGCAACTTTTCTGATACTATGAATATGAATCTATATAGACTGATGCCCTGGCTCTCCTACTCGCACAAGCATGCCATGTAAAAGATCAATTTGTGACATGTGAAAATAAGCTCGCTGTATTGATGGCATGGAAATGCTTCGTCCGACATGATGGATGAACGTCGCTACCTCTTCTTGGACGGTCTAGCATTCTTGGCCCTCTTCCGCTCCTTCTCCTGTCTCTCCTTGCGAATATCATTTGCCCCCTTGAGTTCCTTCTTACTGCCCATTCCATCCCTAAATCTACCCTGTCTCTTTTCTCTAGCCTCGTCCACTCTCTTCTTTCGCACCATAAAGTCATCCCTGTACTTGTCTGCCTCCTTGGGCGCCTTGTCCAGCTTATGCTTATACCGCACGCCGCTCGGCAATCCCTGCGTGGTACCTGGCTTCTCGGCTTCTCCCACCCTCGGCAGGGACCGTATTCTTTGCGCCTTCTTCCACCTATCGTACCGTCCCGATTGGAAGGTGGCGGCAATCTTGACGCCCGACTCCCCCGTAATCATCTTGCTGCCCTTGGACCCGTCCTCGTCGTTGTCACGCGACACGTACTTCTTGGATTTGGTGTCCCAGCGCATCTTGGAGCGTGACGGCTGTCCAAAGGACTTGGCCGTCTCGTCATTGGTCAGGTCCATCGCTGCGTCGCGGGCTGCTTCGACGAAACCGCCCGAGTGGACGCCGTAACCGCGCTCTTCGACAGCGTTGTGAGTGCGTGGGGTGTAACTCATGAAAACTTCGGAGTCGCGCCAGTCTGTCTTGCCCCTTTTAGAGTCTGTGTTGGAGACGGTGACTTCTAGTTCGTCTTCGTCCCAGCCGTTGGTTTGGTCTGCTCCTTGTGATCCATTGTCGGAGGCTTCTTGATCGGAGTCCATGTCCACTTTGTTGTCGTTGGATTTGGTGGGGATGTCGTCATCTTCAATGTCGCTTTCTTGCTTTTGAGCTTGTCTGTTTCTGGGAGTGATCTTCTTTCGAAGCTGTTTCATGACTTCTGCTGCTTCCGAGTGCGATTTGTCAGTGTGGCTGATTTCGAAAATTGTTTCCTGGGGTTTGAAGCTGCTGATGCGGGCGAGCATGTCTGCGCGGGCTTGTTCCATGTTGTCAACGTCGTCGCCGAACAGTCTGTGAAGCTGATTCCATCCGGTTGATGATACCATTTCTCTCGAACGCTTGGCACTTTGACTAGAGGCTGAGTTTCGTGTTTTGAGGTATAGCTTTTCAGCTTTGGCGGCGACACCCCGCAGCGTACTAACGTCCACATCCTCATGGAGAAGCTTGTTCATCCATTCAACGTTTGATTCCACTAGGTCTCGTTTCAAGGAACCCAAAACCACGTCAGATGCAAAGGAAGGCTCTTCGCCCTCTTGACCGAGAACCAGCCTTCTGCCCAAGAACAGCTGCAGGTCCAGAAGGTACGGGGCGTCTGAATCTCTGACTAAACTGTAACTCCAACCTCTTTGGCCAGCACGGGCTGTTCGACCAACTCTGTGGACAAAGATTTTCGGCTGCGATGGGAAGTCGTAATTGATGACGTTGGCTAGGACAGGAATATCGATACCTCTGGCTGCCACATCAGTGACAACAAGAATGTTCGTCCTGCCTCTTCGGAAGTCTTCAACCTGGTTTCTCCGGGCAGTTTGGTCGAGTGAACCATATACATGTGAGACGGCGAATCCAGCCCGCTGAAGAACATTCGCAAGGTATTCGACGTGATGTTTTGTGGCAGTAAAGATAATGGTTGAGTGTTCCGTAGGCTTGCCACTGCCACTCTCACCTCGCTTCCGCTTCTTTGACGCTTTCTCGCTGTCCTGCTTTGCGATCTCGGGAGTGCCCATGGGCATTTTGATGACATCGTGAAGAATATGTAGCAAAGCGCCCTCTTTCTCTGCACCTTTGACAGAGAAGAATGCGCTCTCCAAATCAGGCGAGACCTTTGTCTCTGCGTCTAGTCGTACCAGGCTAGGATCCTGTAGACCGGCTCTGGCAAACTCGACTAATGAAGCGGGGAGGGTAGCAGAGAACAGCAGCGTTTGTCGGGATGGCGGCAAAGCGTGCAGAATTTCCGTAAGCTGGGTTGCGAAACCCATTTCAAACAGTCGATCAGCTTCGTCGAAAACAATGTACTTTATTGACGAGAGGTCCAACGACATCTCAACCTTCAAGTGCAAGAATCGACCAGGAGTAGCAATAACGATATCAGGGTTTGCTGCCATATAGCCGAATTGCTCTTCCAAGCTATCACCACCTACTAGTAAAATAGCCTTTAGGTCGGTGCCCCTCGCAAATTCCTTGACAACCTTGAGTGTTTGTATAGCCAGTTCTCGTGATGGAGACAAAATGAGAGCTCTGCTTCCGAAGCGTCCACTGTGAGCGCGAAGTTTCTCAATCATGGGAATAACGAAAGCACCCGTCTTTCCAGAACCAGTTCTCGCCATGCCGACTACATCTTTTCGGTCAAGTACAAGAGGAATTGTTTTTCTTTGAATAGGCGTAGGAACCGAGAATCCTTTTCGGGCAATTGCCTTTAACAGATTTGAGTTTAGGCCTAGAGCTTTATCAGCATTTGTATTCAAACGATCCAAGAACTGCCAGTTCGGTCTTACCCATGGCTTGAAAGCCACCTCCTTTCTTGACTGTTCTGCCTTTGAGATTCGAAGCCTTGCGGTAAGAGGCCGCTTGCTGAAGAGCAATGAAGGCCTCATCGCCGCCGTCTTCAGCTCCCTCAGGGTCGTTCAAAATATCGTCAAGGTCGACGTCCCTGTCTGCAGGGAAATTCTGGTTGCTGTCGGCATCTTCTCCGGGGTATAATGAGTCGAGGATATCGAGCTCGGGCTCTGAGGCTGCCGGCGAAGCTGCACGTCGAGGCATGGCCGACTGGACAGGAAGGGTCGCGGTGAATCTGGGTTGAATCTGCACCAGAGCGATCTAGGAATCAACCTGGAACTCTCGACGTCGTCCAACATCGACAGCCATTTTTTTTTTCTGGGGCAGGCTGGTTATCTTATCGCCGCGGGGCAGGCAAGTAAGTGGGTCACGCTGCAGGAGCTACCATTCCCCTGCCACTCCAAAGTCGCGTGAGATGCAACATCGGTTCGAACCAACGACGCCAATAGTTACTAGCAATTGAACTCCGGGACTTGCTGCTTTGCTCGCGCTCACGGCCATCCGATGACCATAATGGCTGCCGATGACTCCAAAGATGACGCAGCTGCGCTTTCCGCCCTCGAGCTTGAGGCTAAGGAATTTGACAAGGCATGCCGGCTTCCTCGACTACATGCAGACTAAAACGTGACCACTGACCATTACTCATAGGATGCCGAGATTGACCGAATCCTAAGAGCCTTCCGGTTAGATGCGTAAGAAGAACCATACCTCGTTTAAGAATCAGCTTCACATGACCTGACATTGGCCCAGTTACGCAGTCCTGGATCTCCAGCCTGGCGTTGCAGAGTCCGATATCAAAAGCACCTATCGCAAAAAGTCCATGCTCATCCATCCTGATAAAACGAAGAACCCACAGGCCCCGGATGCATTCGACCGTCTGAAGAAAGCCCAGACGGAACTCATGGACGAGAAGCACCGGGAGAGGCTAGACGAAGCCATTGCCGACGCGCGAATGCTCCTCATCCGCGAAAACAAATGGACAGTGGACAGCCCCGAGCTAAAGACCGACGACTTCGCCAAGAAGTGGCGCGAAAAGTCCAAAGAGGTCTTGATTGATAACGAGCACCGTCGCCGGCGGCAGATGAGGGCGCAAATGCAAGAGGAAGGTCGCGAGCAGCGTAAGCAGGACGCCGAGTTGGAAGAGAGGAAGCGCAAGAGGCAGCATGAACAGGACTGGGAGTCGACAAGAGACGAGCGCATCAGTAGCTGGAGAACTTTTCAGAAGGGCAAGACTGGGGGAGATGGGGAGAAGAAGAAGAAGAAAAAGCTAAAGCCTATAGGTTGACGGCGGCGTTGAAAACAGAGGCAGACTCTTTACGATTTTAATGATAAACTGGTTGTATTTTTTCTTTTAGCTTTTATTGTTTGCCCTTGTGCATACCGAGCTATTATTCATTTGTGAGTTCGTTTTGTTCTACTGGCTGGGATACTTCTAACTAAACCGGTTCACGCTCTCTGCATGTTGAGATACGATGCCACACTAGCGAGTATGTGACTTTGGGCGAACTAAATCGATCTGTAGAAGTGGCTACAGACGGTTGCCACTGCATATATTGCAACTCATCGGCTAGTATGCACAGATAGCATGGACCGAGCTTGATATCAGGAGATTTGTCATTGGGAACATGGTCTTTTCTACACTATCTAGAATACAAGATCCGGACAAATGCCAAAATCAACAAGAGGTATTGGCCCCAGCCCTCCAAAAACGCCGCTTGCTGAATTCCAAGCTTTCTTTTTTAAACACCTTCACATGCACTCTCCTATTCTATCCAGGTTTATCCTCTGGTTCTTTGGGTGTTATGGTTACAGGCGGTAATATGTGAAAACAGTTAGTTACATAGGTTAGGCTGGTCCAGAATCCGACTTTTTAGGCTCGTCTTTTGGCTTGTTATCCTTATTGTCGGGCTTAGAGTCCTTCTTGGCATCGGGCTTGTCGGCGCTCGACTTTTCATCGCCTTCTTTTTGATGTGCTGGGTGGTTTGTAAGTGTGTGCCACATGGACTTTAGAAACCCTTCGTTCTTATGTGAATCTGGGTTTGATGCGTCGTTGCTGCAGGGGAAACAGTCAGCATAGGCCGTTTGTGTTACAAATGCTTTGGGTTTTGCTTACTTTGATGTTGACGAGACATTCATCACTCGTCGAGCCGTCTTGTCACCCATCTCATCGGCAAGCATCTCAACAATGGTCCGCTGGTTTGCGCTGAGATACTTGGGCATGTTCACGCGGAACTCGACCCTGAGGTCACCAGCTCCGCCTCTTCGGGCACCCAATCTCTTCATCCCCATGCCAGTGAGCGTCATCTTATCGCCAGTGTTGGTGCCCGTGGCGACCTTGACATTGACTGAGCCGTCGAGTGTCGGGATGTTGACCTGGCCACCTAACAAGGCCGTGGTAAGAGGAATATTGGCGGTATATAGTATGTTGGAGCCCTCGCGACTGAATTTGGGGTCCTTAGCCACACGAACGAAAACATACAAGTCTCCACGCTGAGTCCTGGCGTTCGGGTCGGCAGTCTTTCCTGTTGGCGGGGCGTCTCCGGCGCCGTCCACGCGCAACCGCATGCCATCCTCAATGCCCGCAGGAATATCGATGGTGATGGTCTTTCGTTCCCTAACAACACCATTGCCGGAGCAAGTTCGACACTCGGAACCCTTTGGAATAGTTGTGCCCGTGCCTTCGCAAGTTCCACAAGTCGAAGCCATCTGGAAGCCGCCTTGCATAAAGTGCAATCGAGTGCCAGTGCCATTACATGACTTGCAAGGCGAGCGTTGTGTGCCAGCTTTCAGTCCACTACCAGTGCACGTCCCACAAGCCGTCAATGGAGTAATACTAATTGTTTTACTAGTGCCCTTCGCAGCCTCCATGAAAGTTATGCTGGCTTGCACCTCAATGTTATCGCCGACAAGGATTTCTTGCTGGAAAGGATTCGACCGTGCGCCTCGTCGACCGCTAAAAGGACCCTGCTGGCCAGTAAATGCCGAAAAAATGTCCTCAAAGTTGAAGCCTCCGCCAAAGCCACCCTGCGAACCGAAGCCACCTTGCCCCCCAAAGCCAGAAAACGGGTTGCCAGCTCCTCCGAATGGGTCTCCTCCTGGTGCGCCGCTAGGGTCAAAGCCGGCAGCACCAAATTGATCATACTGTTCCTTCTTCTTCGGGTCGGACAGAATCTCATATGCTGATTGGACATCGGCAAACTTCTCCTTCGCATTTGGGTCCTTGTTCGTATCGGGATGAAATTTCTTCGCCAAGCCATAATAGGCCTTCTTGATTTCTGAGGCAGACGCTGATTTGCTTACGCCAAGAGCTTTGTACGGGTCTTTTTGGGACAGAGAATCAGTGCTGTGGAAGAACTGAGGCAGGTTAGGTTAGTACTAAGCTCATAATTCCAGCCTGGACGGAACGAAAGACAAGGAGAGAAACCCAGCTTACTCTCTTAGTTGATGGAATGATGTTTCGCTTCACCCGTGTGCATTTTTCACGGGGACTGGTGCGAAAAGCAGCTGTATGAAGCTTTGCTCCTTTGTTCAGGCATTGTCGGATCTTTGGTTGACCACCAAACTTGGCATGCGCAATCACTCGCGCAGGCGCGGCGGCCTTTGTGAAAAGGTTGGAATTCATGCCGAGCTGTAACAATTCATCGGAATTGCAGATAGCTTAGGAGATGAAACCAAAAATCACCAGCGGCAGGTCAAATGTTTTCTTGGCCCTGAATGGATTCTTCTCGAAGGCACTCACTTCATGTCGGTCCTGGACTTTTTCTACCGGGTTTAAGCCGAAAGCAGGGGTGCCTGAGGCGACAAATGCCGTCATAACCCGTTGTCTTCCGCTGGACGGCGTACGACCAATGGAAGGGCCGCTATAACACAGCGGCTGCCGGGGTTGACAAGGACCCACGCACGCGCGAGCACTGACAACAATTAACGCCTCATATTCCACGTTATCGTGTTTCAATTTATCGATCTCCTGATAACATGGACATTGAGGTTAAAGCTATCCGCGCACAAAATTATGGCATCACTTGACCGGTATCCTGGGCTGTTCTCGAACAAATAAACCATCCTTGGGGTCATGCCATGAAACTCGACCGCCGTTCTTACAATACTCCCTCCGAACTGGAACCTAACTCACATGCAAGGAAAAGTGCGAACACCATGCCGTGGAACCCCGACATACTCAGGTAAAGACAGTACGGAGAAGTACGCCCAAGTTCGCCTGAGTTCCGAATCTTTCAAAACACCCATTTTTTACCTTTTTTTACAATGACCACCCCTCAAGTTCATGCGCAGTCCAATCCCACAACTCCTTCGCCAAATCTTCATCCTTCCCAGGCTTGCTCGACTTCCCGCTCACACCGACCGGCTCGTAATATTCTCCGCTCTTCACGTCTTTCGCAACAGATGCCCACAGCTGATTCTTGGCGCCCTGGTTCACCGGAGTGAAAAAATAACTTGCCAAGGGTCCCAGGACTCTCGAGGCGATCCCCGCGCCCGACATGCCGTTGACCAGGTTTGTTCTCACGACACCGGGATGAATAGCAGTGACGGTAAATTGGGGATATTGCGCCGCTAGTTGACGAGCAAAGAGCACATTAGCCAGCTTACTCTGCCCATATCTTCCAAATGCCTGCATCTCGTCTGCCTTGGTCTTGAGTGAATCAAATACGATGCCTTCCTTTGGAGCTAGGTAGTGCCCTCTGGATGATAAAGATACTACCCGGACATCGGCACCGGGCTCTGATGCAGTCTTTTCCAAGATGGGAAGAAGGAACTTGGTAAGCAGCGCGTGGCCCATGTGGTTCGTGCCAAACTGAAGTTCATATCCGTTCTCTGTGACAGCCGGTGCCGCGGCCATGATGCCCGCATTCAACATGAGAATATCCAGTCGGTCAGACTCAGCAAGGAACCTCTGAGAAGCTTGCTTGACGGATTCGAATGAAGACAAGTCTAGTTTAAGAACCTTGACCGGCGAGTCTGGCTTGTACTGATGTATCTCATCCACTACCGCCTGAGCAGCGGCGGTATTTCTCGCCGCAAGCCAGATCTGCTTGGGATTGTGTTGAACGTATTCGCAAACAACTTGTTTTCCAAGCCCGTTGTTGCCGCCCGTGACGAGAATGACTTTGCCATCCAAAGAGGGGATATCTTTGTCGGGCTCGAAAGGGACGGCGGCCTTGTCAATGGCCATGCTTTGCCAGAGTCGAGACATGATGGAACGGTCTTTGCCCAGATATGAAATGCACGGATTGTGTGGTGATGATGGAGGAAGCTCGGATAAGAACTGCGTATTGCTTGATGACTCTCAACAGCCCAGCTGACGTTGGAGACTCTTTATACATATACTGCGTGGCCAATCCGGCAACCGGTCCGGCTTCATGACACTATGCCGTGCCGCCGTATTTGTGTTTGCATTTGCAAAACAGTCGCAAGGGATCGAAACATGCCAAGGGCTAATGCTTAACTGCGTGCCCTATCTCCGAAACGAAACGATGATGTTGCAGAGACAAGAAGAAATCGGGATAGATGAGTTGTCGGGTCCATCCAGTCGGATTTCGCCCACGGAGGATGCGGGGTCATAATTTGCCCGATTACCTCGGCCCATACCTGCGTAGTTAAGGGCTGGCATTATTCCAATTGTATTACATTTTGTGTCGTTTCGTCTTGACGATTTGTGGTTGTTTTTGCAGCATCACTGTGAGTTGTTGTCCATCAATTAGAGCAAGTGGTTAACCTGCATATAACGGGTGTTGGTTAGGACTTGACCAGGCCGGACGTCGTACTGCCGTGCAACCCACCCAAGCAACCGAGAGATTCTCCTCCCAAGCCCTTGGCGTGAAAATCGGCATGTATGTACACTTTCCCCTACGCCAATAAAATTAAACATCCTTTGCAGCACCGTAGAAATGCACTACACGCCCGCCACCTTCGGGGTTTCTGCATTTGGTGTTTCTGCCACAACGACCGGGTCAGTTGCGTCGCAGCTCAGACCCAATCCTCGGCTGGGTTCGTTGCGGCACCACTGTCAGTTTCTGCCCTGTGGCCAGCTGCTGTCGTTCACAAAATTCGGCAATCGGAATACATATAATAGTATAATACTAGCCGAATGTTGCCATATCTCACCTTCACAAAGCCTGGCCTGAACGCGAGGCACGACCTCTTCTCACGTCCTGAAATCAGGCAAAGACGACGCACACTCGACTTGGATCTTCAATTGCACCTTCTAGTTTTAATCATAACCCCAGGCCGCCTTTATCGATTCCTTATAAGTGCAAACATGGCCAGAGGAACTTGCATGTTAAAAGGGTATATATGATGTCGCTTGCCCCAACAGAGGACAAATACAACACGCAATCAGTGCAAAATGCAATGATGTAACCATAGCATCAGCCTCTTACTATATGTAAATCATCATGAGCCCTGCCGGAGCCTTTTTATACAATGGCAGTCGGCTCCAGACACTTATGTGGCCAGCAATACGGCCAGTCTTCTAGCTCAACGTCGTCCCTTGCGCCCAAAACGCCATACTATGAAGCAACCAACGCTCAAATGGAAGAATCGATGTATAATCGTCAATGTTCTGAGATGATACCAGGTTGTCTATTCGGACCCCCCGCCCTGGCCATCTTTTCGTTTCGAATTTTGTATATGAAGTCGACTACTACGTCGTTTTCTTGGATGCCAAGGCCGTTAAAGTGCTTTCTCACAGCTTTTGCCAAGTTGTCTTTGCTCTGCCGTCGCGTTTGTTGCTTCCGAGTCATGGTTGGGGAGTAGAGGCCGATGCTGCCCGATCGCGAGAGCAGCAATTGGTGGTACTTGCTGGCGAACGAAGCCGGCGTGTTTAGTTGATGTTCGCGGCGGTAGGTGTGGAGGGCATCGCGTTCGAAAGAAGACCAATTGATCTGTACAGCACACACGCAAGTCAGCATAGGACGTGGGAAAGGGCGTGCCGCGCGCCGAGGGGCCATTGCCCGTGTCGAAGAGGCAAGTCGGGGAGTCGCAAGCTTCGAAAGGCAGCTTACCGTTGGTGCCTGTGCTTCCGAAGCACTTTGCAAGGGTGCCGAAGTAGGGGTATTTGCTGCATGTGCTTCTCGCAGTTGTGATGCACTGGACTGGCTGGCCCCACGACGCATCTTGGCTGAGGCTGGTCCGCTCCCCTTCTCTTTGGGACCACCAGTGGTGTCCGTCTTGTGATCGTCGGCCGCAGTCCGTGACGACTTCGGAGGTGGCATTGTGAAGAAGTGTGCGAGGAAATTCAGGAAATATGTACAGGATAGTGGGTGGAAATATCGGCAGAGCCGGAGGACGGATATCAAGGCGGTGGTGGTGGTGGTGGAAGGCAGAGGAGAAATGACAGTCGAGGCAAGAGCGGAAATGTGTGCGACATCGCAAGATTTCTCGGGTGACTTGGTGTAGGCCGCACGTAAGCGGGGCGGACAGTCGCCAGCAAACAAAGAGTCAAGGCGCCAGGAACGATTGGTCGCGTGAATGATATCACTTCGCGCTAAGCCTCTTATGTGCGTCGGCGCAACCGAGAGCTCACGCTGGAGCTTGAGAACGGACAGCAGGCTGGCCGGCGTTGATAAAATTGACCACCGTTTGAGGCATGGCACTTGGGGACTTGCCAAAAGAATGGGCTCTTTGAAGAAGAAATTCTGTTAAAGAGAGTGAAGGTCTGATGCTAACTGTAAGGGACAGCTTTGGGGAATCTGGAAACCCACTGAGGTGGGTACCCATCGTGGCACAAGCTGGCGGTGACAACGTTCAACGGCGCGGTACGAGTTATGTACTTAGGTACTAGTAGTCTGGTAGTACCAACTTAATACCAAGCAACCAACTTTAGAAGGCGCTTGTGCACATTTGCACAATGGGTGATGCCGCACGAAGCTACTCCGTACCTTAGGTACTTATGTTGCTACAAGCACGTAATGTGCCAGCCCTTGGGCTGCATCTTAGGGGACATACCTGAGTCTTGCATATGCACGAATCCACCGGGTTTAGATCTGATTCATCGATTAATCTGACGCCTTCAACGACGCCAGGGTAACGTGTGACGATTGACTTTTTGGTCCCGGTAGCTGTCACCTTGCTCATGCACCGACGCCGCCATGGATCTCCCCATCAACCTGTCAGGTCCAGTCCCATCCGTCATTGCAGAGCCTCTGCCCCGTCCAAAGCGAAAGCCACCAGCCACTTTCTTGCTTCTTCAAGACGACCAAGTCCATGGCTGGCGAGAGACGCAGACTATCGACTGTCATTCCATCCAAGCCGCAATCAGATTCATACATACTACTCAAGCACAAAGTAGACTGCGGAAGTGGATCAATGAAAGACTACGGATACCCGGTCAATCGTCAAGAGCCGTTATTCTTGGTCCCCATCCCCACAGTGAGTTGCCTGAGCCTGGCCAGCAGCGACATGTCCTTCTCCTGGCAATCTCATCCTCCGCCCGTGACCCTGACCCTGGTTGCTCACTTTCCTGTCATCAAACAACCAGACGGTACGAGTTCGGAGTACCTTTGCATGGATGCAGTCCGCATTCTATTTCGTCAAGGCCCTCCCATCGCCGCGATTCGCCAAGACATCACTTTCTTTGCTTAATTTCTACCACTAGATACCTGTTGGCCTGGCTTGCGACGTCTTGGAAGCCGCTCTCTCTACTTGTGGTGAGTCCTTCAACGTGAGGGTCTCTGGTTGCTCTGTGCCTCCTCCTCCCCACCACAGCCTGTCTTAGATCTTGTCTTGAGCCTCCCTCAAATTCAAACCTAAAAAGCACACGACCGCGAAACTCATCATGCCCCCTCTTGTACACCAAGTACATTAATTCGGGTGCGATATTAGATGTAGAGACGGGGAACCAGAGGGACAGCCGTGGCTGGTTGGTAGGGGGGAAGTTCTGAAACTATACCCGGCTCATGCACCTTTGCAACAGACCTCGTGCATGTTATGCACTTCCCTTCAGCCAGCAGTGTGATTGATTGCTACCTCTTTTTTGTCTTCGTCCCGTGTCTTGGCTTGACATATACAAAAAATGACGAAACGAATCATTGTCCACATTTTGCTAACTTCGGAGCACCTAGGCCGTATATAGCTCAGCAGACGCCACAATCAAAGAACTCTTCGCCCATGTTCACGCAGAACGGTGCTTTGAGCAACCATGTGTGACTTCTGAGCCTAGGGTCCGACACCGCTGGCTGTGGCCATATATCAGAGTTCCACTGCAGTGCTCTCTGCTAGTACTGATGGTCTTGGTCTGAGCAGTTTGCCGCCGGCCGAGGTGACAAATGCTCATCCGCGACATTGTTGCATTGGGAATTCAGAACCGCAGTAGGCGCCTATCAGTATCTTTCTGTTGTGGCGAGTTGATAGCGTCCGACCAGACGGCAGCTCTCGTGCTACGCAGTCTTCTCACCCTCAACAATATTCGCCGCGTCAAACTACCAGTCTTGACTCAACAGCGCAATGCTCCCCATGATGCCTTCGCAGAATATACGCAACACAGATTCGGCTTTCCCGATCTCTCCAGCGAGCTCCAACACAATAGGTTCTAGTTTTGACGGCTATCAGCAATCCCCAATTAAAGTCTTCAGCTCGAATATACCGCCTCACCAACCACAATATCGAGGGCCAACTGATAGTACTGCTGGTCTATCAGGTAGTGTAAATAAAGAGACGTCGGCGCCTGAAGGGGCCCCACGAAAGAAACGACGCAGTAGGAAGGGACTGATTAAACGATTCGAATGCTTCGTTGAGGGTTGTGGGAAGAGCTACTCACGAGCTGAGCATTTGTAAGCATCGTCTTGACTTAATCCTGCATTGAATCCTGCATTGTAGGAACTTTCTGACTCTAATCTAGATATCGACACCAGTTAAACCACAACTCCACACAATCATTTCACTGCGAATACCCAGGCTGTTCGCGTACCTTTGTTCGAGCTGATTTGTTGAAACGGCACATGGATCGCCATGCCGCTAAGGGTTTCCAACCAGGTCAAAATGGAAACTTCAGCGATCAAATACCACAAGCAGTAAATTCTGAATTGACACCGCCTTTTTCCGAAACCCCTTCGGCTACTATCATTGGCGGCCACCACCATACGCAGACTCAATTTGTCTCTCCGGAAGCCCAGGCTCAGAGTTCTTATACTCCAGTTAGTATCACAGCATCATCTGGTATAAGGTACAATTATTCTGCAGATATGACATCCGCAAGCCACGGCCCATATCAAAGAGCCGACGCTCAACTACCAGGCTTGGGTCAAAATACTAACCAAGAAACTCTGCCACCCTATAACAACGAATTGACGTCACCTCCAGGCCCCGGCGCGAAGCAATACTGTCATGGGCAAATGCAGCAGGCCATGCCCTCTCAACCCTCGACATTCAGATCACAACCTCAGTCATTACACCTAGACATGTCACATACACAATATCCGTCGAGCAATAGGGACTCAACCTCGCATGCCTCTGGTCAAGAATGCGATGGAAGAGAATCGACACAATATCATGATGCGTCACATCACCCTGCGGATATCTTTGCCCTAGATCAAATGGCAACGCTTAGTGCTGGGCCGGTTTTTGGGGACGATGGGGGTCTGAGCAAGACGCCTTATGTAGCCATGCCAGAGGACTTCATGGCTTATTTATTCAACTCGCTTCCCTCCCAGGGCTCATCTCCTGGAAATGGACTTCAAGGCCCTATCTCAAAGTGAGTCAAAATCTAACAAGATAATAATGTGTTGCCCTGCTGACTCGTTTTGAAGGTATGGAGAATTACAGGACACGCAATACTGTGCACCATTCACTGCCAATGGCATGTCGCAGATTGGACCTTTCCCAAGTGCTTCCCAGCATATCATGTCGGTGACCAATTTGCTTGACGAGAATTCCCCCGAGACCAATATATCAGACGAGAGAAGTCAAGAGATTTTTGACTTCATCAAAGATCGTTTCCATGAACACGATGTCCCTCCCGCAGAACGAAGCCGGGACAACATCCTGGAGGGCGACCGCGAACAAGACGACCATATGCTGAGTTGCAGGATGATGCAGGCATATCTTGGCTCCTACTGGTACCACTTCAGCGATCAACTACCGATTTTGCACAGACCAACTTTCTCTTCCGACACAACTCCCAATCTTCTGCTCCTAGCAATGATGACGATCGGTGCTGCATGCCTGGATAGAACCTATGGTCAACAGGTTTTGACAGCAGGCGCTAAACTTTCAAACTTTATCGCTAGACATTTAAGATGGGAGATCTTCATGAATGAAAATTTCCGACCGCCGGCAAAGCTCTGGGTTTTCCAGACACTTATTTTGCTAGAGCTGTACGAGAAGATGTTTTCAACGAGGGAGTTGCATGAACGAGCCCACATTCATCATGCCACCATGATTGCCCTCATGCGTCGTGGACGATCACTCATTGGAAAGTCCCCCATGGACTCGCCTCCAAACTCACGAGAAACGCTAAATGATTCGAAAAAAGGGCTAGGTGTCGGTCAAACGCCGGAGGAATGGTGGAACCATTGGGTAACCAATGAAGCTACCAGACGAGCGGCTTTCGCCGCCTTCATCATTGATTCTACTCATGCCGCCATGTTTGGTCACTCGGCCGTAATGGTAACACACGAGATGAGACTTCCATTGCCTTATGATGAGTCTTTGTGGAGAGCCAGGAGCGGTTCCGAGGTAGGAAGGGCCGAAGCAAGCCTCAATGCTAGAGGCATACAGCCAATATCGTTCCTCGAGGGTCTCAAACGCACGTTGAGCCATCAGGAAGTAAAGACAACGTCATTTGGTAGAACCGCTCTCATGGCTGGTCTTATGAGCGTCACGTATCATATGCAACAGCGAGATCTTCAGGTTAACGTCCTCGGCGGCGGAGTGATTCAGGCGCTGGAGGATCGCGATAGGTGGCGTGCATCGTTGACAAAAGCATACAACTCTTGGAAGAGTGACTTTGATAAAGAGCTTCAGGACAGCGAGCCCTCTAGCGACCCTTACGGGCGAGGAAGCACCAGAAACGAGGCAAATATCGTGTTTGGCAGCCGTACGGTACTACATCATTTAGCCCACATGGCGATGCATGCGGATATCGTTGACTGCCAAATGTTTGCCCGTGCTAAAAGGCTCCTTGGAAGAAATATTGGCGCCCAGGAATTTAGTAGCGCCCAGAAACGAGTGAAGGAGCAATGGGCACCATCTGCCAAGGCCCGTGATGCTACGTTCTACGCGTTGAAGTTTCTAAGTTCCGTCTTGCTACCAGATGAAGCGGCGTTTATGAATGCAGCTAGCCCTTGGCCTGAGGGCTTCTACGAAACACGCTATGACGTGCTCATGAATAGGCCGTGGGTACTTTACTTCGCTGCTCTCGTGGTATGGTGCTACGGCTATGCATTAGAAGGACCTTGTGGAGATGTTGCGAGGCACAATACCCCAGAGGAGAACCAGCGACAAATGAGGCACTATTTGCTAAGGTATGCAGGCATTACAGATCCAGATGAGCTCCAAGCCATGCAGGGCATCAACAATAATACGGCGTTGCTGGTGGTCTTGCGGGACTCATTTGACAATACGAGATGGGATTTGCTACATGAAGGGGCTCTTTTGATGAGAAACTGTATTGTTCTGAACGGCGGCGGTACCGTGTAAGCTGCAGCAAGCGGGATTGCATGGATCAGACGATGATTTAAATGAAGCTGAATGAAGCATGTATATTAGATGATGGTGATGTGGACATGTGAAGTGTCTACCTCTATGTCTGTCTGTTTTAGGGCAGGGTGTGTGGTCATTCGAGGAATGAACATTACCTATTAATGCTGGCAACATATGCGTGTCGTTATAAAGTGGTCTCTAGCAGTCTATGCACAAATCCAATGCCTATCTACACTCCAAGGCCAGCTCTACTCAGACCTTTGGCTCGGGATCAATGTTTGCCTTCAAGTGCTCGGCAATGCTCACAATGGCACCGTCCCGCTTCCGCTTCATGACGCCCTTCAAGGTCGCCAGCCTCTTACCCACCTGCAGCGCCTCGCACTCAATGATGACCTCTTCGCCCTTGGGCACGGGCCGGAAATACGTCACGTTCAAGTTGCGAGTGACGCCGAGGAACTGCCAGAACCCGGGCTTGCTGATGAGAACCAGGGGGATGGTGGTGCACAGGTCGAAGAGGGTGGCGGCCGCGCCGCCGTGGAGGTTGCCCAGGCGGTTGCAGTGGTCCTCGAGGCAGGTGAATGTAAATGTGACGGAGGGTGCTGGGGCATCGGGATTTGCGGCCAAAACGACCAGATGGGGGAGGAGTTTGGACATCCATTCCTTCGGGGCCGGTTGTTAGCGATGGTTATCAAGAACGGGAGCTTGGTCTGCGAGCGGGCTGAGTGCTTACTCCGGCCTTCCAGTGGTCATCGTCGTCTTTGGTGAGCCATGCCTTGGCTCGCTCCAGGGGGTCCTCGTAGAGATCCTCGTACTTTTTATCAACCATGGTGGTGGTGGTGGTTGCTGTGAGAGTGAAGGAAGAAGGCTGGGGCGGCGGTTTGGACGCTGCTGGTCAAGAAATAGCCAAGCATACGAGGTACGAGGTACAGGAATGTCCCGATTTCAGAATAGAAATGAAGTCTACTGAAGAATTAACACCGGGGAAAATTCCAATGGCGTAGAATCGAGGAATATTGACGGGGAATGAGTCTTGTCGGAGAAATGGCGAGAGAAAAAAAAGAGAGGAGTGCCAAATAGTTATGCTAGCGCAACATTGAGCATGGTTTGAGTAGCGAGACCTGCGAGGTAGCCGCCGGGCGCCTGGGCACGGTGCCTGGGCTGAGGAGCATTTACTGGAACCTGTTGACAACATTTGAACTCCAGCGGTCAAGTTCTCACTAAAGAAGAGCCGAGCCCCGCGCTACTTGACCCCGAACCCCGCGTGCCGTCTGCCGGCTACCTTGACGGCGTGGCCGCAGTCGACCCGGGCAAAGAACTTGGGGTAAGCGCGACTTTACCGAGGCTCCTTCACATGGCGGGTCCCGACGAAGCGGCGCATCCTGGCCAATTCCGTCGCTGCCAATTGACTGGCTTGGACCCACACCAACGGCTGCTTGTGATCGCTTCAGAGGAGCTCCCAACCTGCTTCTCCCTTTCCCAGACGCTCGCGACACCTGCACGCTTCGCGTCATATCTCATCAACGACACCTCCGAAGCTCAAGACGGTGCTTTTCCATCGATTACAACCGCCGTTCTCGAGCGTAGGGCATAGAAAGTCTGTCCCGGATCCGGTCAAAGTCCCGTCGGAGACGGCCGCGGGCAACCGAGATGGAGTTCGTCACAGCCCTTCGGGGTACCTTTGACGACAACAAGCCCTCGCTATTCGAAGTCCTCTCCGAGCAGCAACTCAATGGCTTGCTGCCGCCGACATTGCGATATCTTCTCACAGTCGCGACGCAGAGACATCCCCGCTACCTACTGCGGATACTCAACTCCTTTGACGAGCTCTACGCCTTGTGCATGCTCGCCGTTGAGCGACACTACTTGCGTACCCGAGGCGGATCCTTTACCGAAAACTTCTATGGGCTTAAGCGGGAAAAGGCCCTGCGGGGTGAGATACCGCGGGCGAGCATATCGGCTCCGAACCTGGTCCGTGAGACGCTGAAGTTATCCACCAGCGACGTTTGGAAGAACCTGGCCGTGCTTGTTGGTGTGCCGTATTTGAAGCGTAAACTGGACGAAAGCTACGAAATCAATGCGCCTAGAGCGCTGCTTGGATCAGCCTACACTCGAATGCCGGACAACCCCACCGTCAAAGACAGGATCCTGCATTATTACCGATGGTTCTTGATGAATATATACCCGAGCGTAAATGCCGCTTACTACTTTGCCATATTGGTTTTCAATCTTGGTTACCTATTTGACAGGACCAAATATCACAACCCCCTCATGTGGCTGATTGGAACGCGACTCCGCCGAATGACCGGTGCCGATTACCAGGCTATCGACGCGCTCTCCCAGCCTAAACCTGGCAATCGACCAGGATCACGATCGATCTTCTCACCGAGCGAATTGGGTTCAAAGGTGCTGTCGAGCCTATCACTACTTTTGCCCATGAGCATCTTCGCACTTAAATTCTTGGAATGGTGGCACCAATCAGATTTTGCCAAGCAGTTGTCTCGCAAGGCCACCGAGAATATTGACCTCCCGCCGCCTATTGTAAACGGGGTCGCAAAGAAGTCCAAGTCGTCTGAGGGTCAAGAGGACAAGGCTGAGAAGACTGAGGAGGATGGCCATGATAAAATCATGTCCGCCGAGGACGCACCGATTGCCACGCCCTCTATGCTGCCCATCTATGTGGTGCCAACTCCAAAGGATACCTCCCATTGCCCAATCTGCCAAGACGATATAGTCACTCCGACAGCCTGCCAAACGGGTGTCGTGTACTGTTACACGTGCATTCACAAATGGCTTGAGGGGACGCACGACAAGCAGGAGAGTTTTATGGAGAAGCATAAAGGGAAGTGGGAGAGCGGCATTGGTAGGTGTGCGGTTACTGGCAAACGCGTCCTTGGCGGAACTGAAGGCTTGCGAAGGATCATAATATAATAATAAACCTTATCGAGGGCGTCTTTAGCGGACATGGAAGACGGAGAGCAAAATGTCTGTGGCGCAGGTACGGGGTAATGTAAACTTAGAAGCATCATGATGATGAGCACAAGATGCAGTCAAATGGAAGGCGGGAGCAATGGAGATGCGCGCTCGATTACCGAGTACTACGGAGTACGTTGGCGACAAATAATTAAAAAGCCGGCAAAGCATTTGTGAGACAGCAACTTCGAAAGTCGGGATTTCCGGATTTGGTCAAGAGCCATTGTTCGCAGCCCTGCAACGGCATGTGGAACCTGTTCCCTGACCAATGGCGTGGATCCATTTCGAGTTTCTGGAATGCGCCTTGCTTCGCAACATGTCTTGGATGTCAACGACATGACCTGACCGGGGGCTTAGCGAGAGACAGAGGGTGGCAGAACATGGTCATGGTCTATCCGGGGATTCATTCTCACACGCCCGGATGAGTGAGGCTGTCGCCCTGCCACCAGGGGCATCCCGGGCCGTTGACTCTTGACTTCGGCGTCAAGTAGTTCATCGCCGGGGTTGTGGAATGCACCGTTGCCGAGAATAGCAGAAACAAAGGCTATTGTGGCGTCCATATATAAGACAGTCAGGGGCCTTCTCTTGGACCACTCAAGGGAACTCTCTTAATGAAGTCCGGCAACTCATTCGGTCCCTGGATGCCTTTGGAATGCAGTTCCTCCTGCCAACCTCGTGGTTCAGAGTACCCAAGTTGAAGAAAGGCGAGCCACAATGGCTGGCGTATATTGCCTTCATTATAATCTGGGCGAAACACAATCTTCGCAAAATCCCCCGCCTCCTACATTATACAATGCAGAATCTACAATGTATATAAGTGACCTGTCTGAGCCATCCCCGCCTTCTAGATTCTTCATGCCTTCACAACGCCCTTTTGTTACCATTTTGGAAAACTTGAACCAGATTCAAGAACAGCGAGCAAACAATTTTGAAACTGCTGGGACAGAGCCGTGACTGACTACATCTGGCTGTCATGGCTTCCTACGCCCTAGCCACTTCCTACGCCGGGGAGTCTCTCCTCTCGGGATTCAACTGGTTCCACGGAGCCGATCCCACTCACGGATATGTTTCCTACCAGAGCCGTCAGAATGCCGAAGCTCTGGGTCTCTATTCTGTTGACGAAAAAACGGGAGTCGTGAGACTAGGCGTCGACAGCACGAATACGTACCCCCTGACCGCAGGACGGCCGAGTATCCGGCTCGAGAGCAAGGAGGCGTTTAGCCATGGCCTTTTTATTGCCGACTTTTTACACATGCCTCCCTCACAGTGCGGCGTCTGGCCAGCATGTAAGTCTAGATTCGTTACCCTCTGGACAGATGATCAATAACTAACTACGCAACAAATAAAGTCTGGTCGTACGGTCCCAACTGGCCTACAAGCGGTGAGGTTGACATAATCGAAGGTGCAAACGACCAGCACAACAACCTCATATCCGCTCACACAGGACCCGGCTGCACCATAAGCAAGAGCCTCGGGGGCAAATTCTCGGGCGCCCAGCGCGAAACTGACTGCAACGTTGGAAATAACAATGTCGGGTGTGGATATTCCTCACCGGCGGGCGACGCCTCTGCGTACGGGGACGGTTTCAACGCCGCCAACGGGGGTGTATACGCCATGGAGTGGGATAATGAGTTCATCAAGATCTGGCACTTTGCGAGAAGCGAGATCCCCAAGGATATCACAAACAAGACGCCTGATACGAAGGGCTGGGGGGTGCCGGATGCGGTTTTTGGTGGCGGCGACTGTAACGTCGACAACTTCTTCAAGGACATGAGTCTGGTGATAAACATTGTGAGTTTGAAATTAATGCGCCGGGGGGAGGGGGCTTGAGTGGCTCAAATTACAGCTGGACTGACTTGGCTTCTTAGAACTTTTGCGGTGATTGGGGCAACGCGATTTGGGGGAAATCCGACGGCTGTGGCAAGTATGCGGCCACGTGCAACGAGTACGTTGCCAATAACCCGAAGGCTTTCGCGAACGCGTACTGGGATGTCAGGTATATTGAGGCCTACCAGAAGACCGATGTGCAGACTTCCTCGAGTTCTCCGAGCGCGTCTGCCACGGAGCCCCTGACCCGAGTGACAAGGACGACGTCCATCACCACCACTATCACGATTAGACGCCCACATCGCAGCACACGCACTGTCGTAGAGGGCCGGAACACGACCTCTGCTTTGGGCGTGGATGCTGCTTCATCCTATCAATCTGTTCCCGGGGCGATTGCGGCAGACACAACTCCTGTTTACAGAGTAAATGCGACTTCATCGTATGAGTCTACCCCTGGGAAGGCTACTGCTGGTACAACGCTCATTTACAGAGCGAATACGACTTCATCACATGAGCCTACTCCTGAGGAGGCTACGGCCGGCACTACAGCACCGGTTTACAGAGTGAATGCGACTTCATCCCACGTGTCTACTACTGAAGAGGCAGCCGCCAGCATAACACCAGTTTACAGACTTAATACAACGTCATCGTTGTGGTCGTCTCACAGCAGCCGTTCTGCGAATACAACTGACGCCTACCTGTACGCAACGTCCTCGTTGAGATCTACTCGACGTAGCATTCCTACGAACGGAACCGCTCTTCCCCGACACACAATCTCTTCACTCGTCTCTGTCCCCAGCGGCGCCATCACAAACACAAGCCAGGCCGCCAGGCCCCAGGCTGCGTCCTCGCCTGTCTCTATACCCAGCGAGGTTCCAGCGCCCAAGAACCCCGTACAGCTGGGCGACTTTGCATATCTAGGCTGCTACGGCTCAAGCGACGACTTCAAAAGCTTCCGCAAAGTCAAGGATAGCAAAGACATGACCATCGATCTATGCATACAGCTCTGTCGCGATTCAATGTTCTCGGGTGTATACGACACACAATGCTTCTGCGCAGATTCAATCGATGCCGATACGCGCGCGGCCAACACCAAGAACGGTGATGTCTGTGATCACCCTTGCCCGGGTAACGATGTCCAATACTGCGGTGGACTGGCAAAGAGCCCTGAAAAACTTGCCAATACCGCTTCCACCCCTGCAAACGACCGGTTCGAGAACATTGCTTCGTCAACTGGCGTCGCGGCGAGCAAGTCGACTGCTGCCGGTCAGCGATTCAGAAACTCGACGACTGGGGGGGCTGGGAAGAATTCCACCCTGGCGACGAGGTTCCATGTGCCCTCCAAGAGAAGCCCTCTTTCACGCATGGAAAAGGCCATTCTTCTTACCGTCTATGGAGTCGTAAAGGACGAAACGCCGCCTCCGCCTCCACCATCCATGACCGGAAACAATATCACGCATACGTTTACTGCGTATTCTACAACAATGCGAGTCAAGACGATAACTGTTATTCCGGTACAGGCGACGGCTGGCGCGTCCAAGGCAGATGTGGTGGCGGACAAGAGCCCTAGCGGACCGCCCGTGGCTGATGAGACCGTTGTTTCTACACAGGGTACCTCTGTCCCATCAGAGAACAAGCCTGTTGGGCACAAGCCTGTTGGGGACAAGGATCGTGGAGAGACTCTTCCTACCGGGGAGAATTCTGACCCGGAGAAGGATGGGTTCGCCCCTGACAGACAACCCGGTAGTTCTTATGCGGGTGACAAGACTGTTGACCGTGTTCTCGAGACTGCTGCCCCTTCCCATGTCGAGTTTGTTACGGACAAGCGTCCTGATGGTTCTCCCGTCGGTGGCAAAACGGTTACGAAGACGGTTGACCAGATGGAGGTGGTGGTTGAAGACTGCGGGTGTACCGAAGGAGAGACTCGCCCGACTTGTACTCCTCACCCTTCTTCGCCGCCATCTGCCGAGAAACCCAACCCTCCTCATGCTGTGCCATCAGACGTCGAGGTTCCTGTGCCTGCCGAGGGCTCCAAGCAAAGTCAACCCGCACCACCGGCCAAGGCTACCAACGCTCGCCAGCCAGTGCCGTCAGACATCGATGTTCCCGTACCCGTTGAGGGCTTGAAGCACAATCAACCTGCACCACCACCAGCCCAGGCTACCAACGCTCGCAAGCCAGTGCCGTCAGACATCGAGATTCCCGTACCCGTTGAGGGCCTGAAGCACAGTCAACCTGCACCACCACCAGCCCAAGCTACCAACAACCCTCATCAGTCTGCGCCGTCAGAAATCGAGGTTCCCGTGCCTGCTCAGGACCCAAAGCATACTCAACCGGCACCTCCACCAGCCCAGAACACCAAGGCTGATGGCCCGGAGTCTTCAGGGAACGATTCGCCCGCACCGATTGGATCCCCGGGAGAGAGTCAGCATGCTCCCCCGTCACCTGCGACGCCGCCTCCAGCACAAATCACCTATCCTTACAGGGTGCGGCCTTCGGGATTCGAGACTCTTCCCCCGGCCGAGGCCTCGCATGGAGCCAAGACTCCCAAACCCGCAGTGGTCACTGCCGGCACTGGGAAGACATGGAGTGAGAAGCCGGGCGTTATGCTGGGATTGATGACATTGGTCGTGGCTATGCTGTTGTGATGTAAGCAAGTTTGAACAAAAAAAAAAGAAAAAAGAGTCAAGATCGAAGAGCAATGTTTAATGTTTTGATGTTTACATATGGGAGGTTTTGGCGCACTAGCCGCCTGCTTTGCTTTGCTTTGCATTTACTGACGACACCACGGAGATGCGAACTGCGACATTGTTTATTGGCTTGACAGCGATTAGTTGAGTTATTCATTTGCATTGATACGTAATGAGATACGAGGACAGCTGTACGTCATTTCTTCACAAGTCTATAGAGTATCAATATAAGGATTGAAGAAATTAAACCACGTATGAAATGGCAACTAGGCAACGGAGATTGTGTGCCACGCTCTGATTATTGATATTCCCGGACCTCGCTAATAATCTATGCAATTTACATGATATTCCTGCGTCCATTATTTAAACTTTTGTGCCCCCTCCGCCCTCGTGCAGGTTGGACGTGACGTGCGCTCCTCCCGAGCGGATGCGTCCCTGTCTAGATATCTACAACAACGGCTCGGCTCACAGCCTTGCCGGAATTTTTGTACATTTGAGCGGCGTTGACCATCAGACTGCCTTGGTTGCTTCCGGGGCCGCTCATGAGCCATTTCCACAGGACGCTGTGAATGCCGTGATATACAATTTCAAACATGTCGACCCACGATTGATTGGGAATGAAATCCCAGAAGAAGCCGCGTCTCGGCCGTGAGAGGAGGCGCTCATAAGCAAATTGCACATCGTCAAAGTAGACAGACTCTTTGCCGTAGGCGCAGTGGCAATGTCCAAAGACGTGTAGTCTAGGCTTCACACGCCATACTTCTCTTAATAGGTGGGGACAGCCAAGATCTAGATCTAGATGGTGTTTCTTCGAGCCTTGATGTCAGCATGCTTCGTCTTGCGCATTGATGAGCTCCTGCGAGCTTACCGGTGGGCTGTGGGTGACTAAAATGTCTGTCTGGGGAGGTACTTTGCTTAGCCAAGGAGGCCGTGTGGGTGAATACTGAAACCTAATCATCGCGGTTAGTTCGGCGGGGGGATTTACGACTTGACCAACAGGGGATACCGTTGTTGGGCTCCCCGTCTCACATGTCATAGATGGACGACTTACGCAAAGCTCTTGGGGCCGCACTCGGGAATGTCTGGGGCGCCAAATATAGAAATCTCCCTGCCTCTGATTTTATGAGCAGAAATCTCTCCTTGAAGGTAGATGAGGCCGTCGAGATTTAACCTAGCACCTCGCCTCCGGTCATCATCACACCGGCTCCTGATGTCGAAATAGCTGTCGTGATTACCGGCGATGACAATTTTGACTGGATGGGGGAGGGTCTTCAGCCAGTCCAGCTGTTTCTGTATATCGGCGGCGGTGCCCGCATTGGTGAGATCGCCAGCATGGACGAGGATATCACCGGGTGGCACGTCCACTATTTGGTCGTGCGTGTCCGAGATGCACACCACGCGTATTGATGGCTGGTGCCGCGGTGGGCGAAAAGGCGTGCCTCTCAGAAACAGCACAAGATGATAGAAGTTGACGGTGAAGAAGGTAAGAGGCGAGTCGATGAGGTGGTCCATGACTGTCAAGCTCTCCCACTGGTTGCTGCGACGAAGGCCGAGCCAGACCAAGAGGCCCATGATGAAGACGGCAATGGATGGCGACGGCAGGAGGCGCAGCTTTGGCGAGCGGCCACCATCTAGGCGTCTGGATGGCCAATTCGGTCGTCACGATGAAATGAGGAACTAAACGTCGAGTGCCAACGGGCCTGAACGGCGCGCGAAGACTTTGAGTCTGAAGTAACTTAAAGCTGGAGCTTGACTGGATGTTGGAGGAGAGGGAGCCACATGCAATTGACTGGCCGGAATGTGCACCTGTGGCTTGACGCCTTTTCAGACCTTTGTGCAGTACGGAGTAACTTGTGCAGCAATTATGCCAGGCCCGATCAATGATCAACGTGCCCGCCAGCCGCCAAAAGACGACGTCACTGCCTCTGTACGTACTCCGGTCAGCGGAGGGACTACTACCTCTAGGTACCTTGGTACGTACGACGAGAACCTCGCCCATGCTGCGCAACCCATCTGGAATATTGAAACACTATTCACCTTCATCTCGAATTAATTTAATTTATGCCCCTGCTTCCGGAGGGCAAGCCCCGAGCCTGAGTTCCAACTGCAAATGTCAGTCTTGGAATATTTGCAGGGAGAACAGTGACAAGTCCCTGCTCAGCTGAAGAGTACCGTTGACGCAGCGAGGTGGGTCGGCAATCCGGAAAGCACGGGCCACCTTGGAGCTTCATTACTTTCCCTGATCCAATCTTGGAGCTTCCCGCGGCTGGACGAGTTTAACCTCTCTGCGCTCCTGACGTCGCGCGCATTTTCTAACTTGTAAAACCTCGTCTCCTTCGTCGCCCAGGCATATATCCCGTCGAAATCTCGCGGCTGCCTAATCGCTAGCCAGATTGAGCTTCATACTTTCCGCCAAATCGATGTCCTTGGCTACCTAAGACACATCCCTGTTCCACAACCCGAGAGCTTGGCTCTCAGAGTCACCAACCATCCTCTACTCTTACCTCATACCATGGCGAGTTTAAGAGATTTGTACGGGAAACAGGGGAACGGGAAGGATTCACATAATTTCGGGTCCGTCCAAGAGCCGTAAATTGACACCACGCCCTGCAGCTAACCTTTCTTCAAGGGTGGACTATGTACTTCATTACAAGATTCCGCCTGAAGGTAGGCCCAATTGAACCTCCTCATCATGGTGATATTCTCTCCGCCTATATACTCACATACATCAAGAGCGCGACGAAGCAGAGGCAGGATTTGTGCAGCTCATCAAATCTCTGACCAAGGTAGGTCTGGCTGCTGAAGTACGTAATGGGGATCCTGGCTCGTTGCTTGTATTCGTCAAAATGGCCTCCACAGAGCTTTTAGGACAACAAGTTTACCGTGGTCGATTGCACGACTGGCTTCAAGGGGTGCGCACATCGGGCCCCAACTCGGATATTACCAAGGCCTTGGAGGATGAGCCAGTAATGGAAGCCGAGCGGCTACGATTGGTCTACCAGCTCATTGCAAGACCTGAAAATGAAGGTGGTACCGGAATCAGTCAGGCAAGCTCCAAATGGAAATATGTAGTCGACGTTTTCCCTATTCATGACCAGCCCTTCAATAAGGCATGGATTCAGAAATGGAGCAAGAAGTACTTGTTGGATGACAGCGATCTCGAAGATATTCGCAGCAAGTTTGGAGAGAGCGTCGCGTTTTACTTTGCGTTTTTAGGATGTTACTTTAGATTCTTGGCTTTTCCCGCCGCTTTGGGCCTGGGGGCCTGGGTGCTGCTAGGTCAATTTTCTTTCGTCTACGGGCTTGGCTGTGGTCTTTGGACGGTTGTCTTCCTGGAGTACTGGAAAAAGAAGGAAGTTGACCTGGCAGTACGCTGGGGCGTGCGAGGCGTATCTGCACTCCAACTACCTCGCACACAATTCGAATGGGAGTATGAGGCCGAGGATGCCGTAACCGGCGAGCCTGTCAAAGTCTATCCGTATATGAAACGGCTCAAGACGCAGCTGCTCCAAATTCCTTTCGCCATTGCCTGCGTCCTGGTTCTCGGTAGCCTTGTTGTCATTGCGAACTCACTAGAGATCTTTATCAACCAGGTCTATGACGGCCCAGGCAAGCAGTATTTGGTGAGTACAGGGGATCCCCTATTCCTTTCACAAAACTAAAAATGTTTCTTCATTCAGGGATTCTTGCCCACTATGATATTGGTCATATTCACACCTACCTTCTCGGCTGTTCTCATGAGCGCCGCCAATGCGTTGACAGACAAGGAAAACTATGATACCGTTGATGGTACGGCCTCAAATAGTATGACCTTTGCTTTGTGGACTGATGGCTAACAGTAATTGCAGCCCACAAAGCTGCTCTCATCCAAAAGCAGTTTGTACTCAATTTCATGACCTCATACATGGCCCTTATCTTTACTGGCTTTGTTTATATCCCTTTTGGCAACATCTTGCTACCATTCCTGGACTTTTGGCGACGCACCGCTCAAACGCTTACCTTTAGCGACAAGCCTCTTCCTACACAACTGTTTCGCATTGACCCTGGGCGTATCAGTAGCCAGATGTTCTACTGCACTGTTACAGCTCAGGTCGTCAATTTCGCAACCGAGGTCATTGTTCCGTATGTAAAACATAAAGCGTTTGCAAAGGCCAAGGAATTCAAATCAAATGGACTATTGCAAGCACAAGATCACCCCGAAGAGGCTGAATTCTTGAGGAGGATCCGCGACGAATGTGAACTTGAGGTATACGATGTTACAGACGACTACCGGGAGATGGTTATGCAATTTGGTAAGTGTCATGCACCGGCCAAATAGCGACACGAATAAGCCCTCTTACTTTTCACCAGGTTATTTGTCGCTTTTCTCTGTTGCTTGGCCATTAGCAGCCTGTTGCTTCCTGGTGAACAATTGGGTCGAGCTCCGTTCCGATGGAGTGAAGATTGCGATTAGCTGCAAGCGGCCAATTCCTTGGAGATCCGACTCCATTGGTCCTTGGCTCAATGCCATTGGGTTCCTGGCTTGGCTAGGAAGCATAACCAGCGCCGCCATCGTGTTTCTTTGCAGTGGCTCGCAGGACCAAAAGCGAGGAGCCGCGTCTCAGATCACTGCGTGGGGAGGGTTGCTCAGCATCCTTTTGGCGGAGCACTTTTACCTTCTGACTCAGCTGGCGGTTCGCTTTGTCATGAACAAGGTTGAAAGCCCCGGCATCCAACAAGTACGAAAGGAGCGATACTTGATGAAGAAGAAACTGCTGGCGGAGAATCTTGGTCAACCTGCCGCTGAGAAGGCATCCATACCAGGTGTTGAGGGCGGAGAGAAAATTACGAGACAGGCCCTAGAGGAAGAGGCTCGTCAGGCTTCAATCCGAGGACATGGGAGTCCTGAAGAAATGTGAGTTGTACGATGACTGACGTGTATGGTGCATCCCTCACACACCTGCTCACCTGTTACACAGCTTTTGGCAGCGTCAGCGAAGCATGGAGGAGACAATTCTAATTGGTCGAAAGATGATCGAGCAACAGGTGAGCCATGCTGGAATTTTATTTATGGTTGCAGTTGCTATATTGAGACGAACTAACTGTGGCAACACCTATTGACGAAAATAGATGGCAGCAGAAAATAAGAAGCAGCAACCTACACCGGGTCCCAGTCCTCGGGCATAAACATGCACCCCTGAGGCGTTATTGAGTGAATTGTTATCTTGTTTGAATGCGATGCAATTGTCTGGTCCGCGGCTCGCATGGTAACATCGAGTGAGGCGAGCGATGAACCGGCGAAGTGGCGTGGCTGTTTTGTGGCATCTCAAATTGTAGAAGCTAGCAGCAAGTGGGTGTCAGATGAAAAGACGGGTGAAATCATAGCCGAGGCTGGTCGCTCGTCCTGGAACGTACATAGTATATTGGCTGAAGTGTAGGGAGTGGCGAGCGTGCTGACAGTGAAGCATGTCAGCCGCCAATCGGCGACTCTTTGCAATACTTGGAATAACAATGACCCCATTTCCAGTTTACGTGAAAAATAAAGAAGTGACGAAAAGGGGTGCTACGAGAAAAGGACTATTGGGTGGTCATGACAGGCACTGGCAGGGGGACAAGCTGGCCTCATTGTTCACCATCGAAGGTGCTCGAATACAATCCCTCGTCACGCCGGGAATCACGGGCACGACGACATGCAGAAATGAGGTATTGTGGTTCGCGATGATAGTCAAGCGGCGTGGGGCAGCCAAGTGGGCAATTCGAGGAAACGCTTGGGCATCTGGGGGTGCGAGCTCGGTCTTACAAATAGCACTGGCTTGAGGTACGAATAGCAAACTGGAATAAGCGGACTGGACGTGAACATTTAAGAGATGGCTCCGTACACACAACACCGCACAGCCGCCCCACCACCAAGCCAACTTCGCTTGATCCCATTCAAATGTTAAAACACTTGACCAGAGGGTCTGCACATGTGCCCATATTTCAATGGTTGCCGACCACTTTGGGAAAGGCCACACAGCCGTCCACATGGCCACTTGCCATTGCATCCAGGTCCGAGGGGGATGTCTTGTGTTGCGTTTTTGTGCCGTCCCGGAAAGGACTTCCGGGTTGTAAGGAAAGACTTGCATATTGAGACACGGCGAAGTGGTCTGCCGGGTCAGGTGCTAGTAGACAGCTGAAGGAGCTAGCGTCAATGGGCGCAACCTGTACCAATATTTGAAGCCTGGTGCTTGCCTTTAATGTTGTACTAGGACGGAGGAAAGACATATGCAGATAGAATGGCCGCGCATCCAGGCATTTGTGTACTCGGGCTCTAGGTCTCGGGACTCTGGAGTACAAGGCGGCTTGTCAGGCTGACTCCAATGTTATCTCGAAGGCTCCCCGACATCGAGGGGGCTACGTCATGGACGTACATACCTTCGTCAGACTGGCCCAGAGGGAGAAGTTTGGGAACATGTCTTCCACATTATGTGCTCCCAGCCACTATGTGAAATTCGGCATCAATGATCCAAGGACGCAGCATTGTTGAGGCCCGCCCTCAACGCTAACGGTTGAATGGAAAACTGTCACATGCTGCTTTAGTATCAAGTTTGTCCTCAAGTTGGCAAGAACGACCGACAGAGCACCAGGCTTGCCTCCCCCGCACGCACATATTGTACATATGTTGTACAGACCAATGCACAGACGCTTTTGTCTGTTCTACCAGACCAGGCATCTTCCGCCTCCCTATTCACCACCTGTCAACCAGCGCATCCTTCTTCAGTGCCAGCAGGATTCATGGCCCTAAAACTTCAACCTTCTTAGGACCGCTGATCCGGCAACAGGATGCCTAGCTAATCGAGCTAAAATGGGTACTAGTATCTACTATTTTTTTTATTTTTTTTATTTTTCTTTTTTTTTTTTGAAAAAAACCCTCACCGGAGTCGAGTCAAGCAGGGATGCCGCGCATATCCTCCACGGCTGGAAACCTCCAATCCCACATGTATTGACCGACCTGGAACAATGCCCCGCAACCTTCGGTCATCAAAATTGATGCGATAAGAGAGTTGGTGAGCCACCAGATGGGAGCATAAGAGCTGTGGGTCAGAACCGTTCAGGGGGCCACAACGCTATTTCTTCTCGATACGACTAGATACCACACTAATATCTTCTAGAGGACATTCTCCGTGATGTTCAAGGTTCAACACCGCCAATAGAGCCCCCAGGTTAGATGAACGTGGGCGACCGGGGGAATCAAATATGGGCTTCTCCCGGGCACCAGGCCCGTCATGGCTCTGTCCAATTGACGACGATGCCGTCCGTCTTCGCCCCATCGAGCCCTGTACATGTTCTCCCGAGGCCCATGTTCAGGATGCCTAGAGGAGGCAACCTGTCCACACCCCAACGAATTGACGACACGACTACACCTCGCGTGTCATACAATGGAAGCCCAGCTGGCAGTGTGGCAGCCTCATTCTTTGTCACCTATCTGCACCCTTCTCCCGCAGCCTACCAACGCGCAAGGCGGCCCGGCAGCCCTGCAATGTCATGGAACCCCGAGTGCTGATGGCGCCAGGGGTGCGTGTGTGTGTGGTTGTGCTGTTTGTGTGTTTGTGTTGGTTGCGTAGGGGCAGAAGCCATGTTTTCTACCGGCTGTATGTTGCCGTATGTCTCTCTTTTCTATTGTCAAACCCCAGATAATCCTCCCGCTTATTCATTTGTCTCCCCATTGTCTTTCTCTATTCTTTATCCTCACTTCCTATCTGCAATATAGCTGGTGCTGTCGTGCTTCCAAATACCCAGCGCACTCTATCGAATCCCGCTCTAGGGTTATATACTATATGTTACTCCGTGCACCATTACGGATCCTGAGAGCTCTCAACAATCCCACCTGTGCCCGACAATATCCCGCGAGAACAACAGTACGTGGTTGCAACAGCAGGTGCTAATACACTGTCAGCTACCTCTTGAAACCATTTTTCAGTTCCTGAAAAAGGAGTCAAGTTACGATTCATTCAGTTGTAGCGGCCTTTTCTATTTGCGCACCAAAAAATGGACGATGTTGAAGAGCTTGTCATCAAACCCTTTCGGGACGTCGTCGAAAAGGGCAAGTTGGCAATAGAGAATGCGGCCGATTCCCCGGATATGTTGATGGAAGCGCAGCGCCTAGTAAAAGTGGGCGAGCGAGGTTTGCATCACATTGAAAGAAGCTGCAAAAAGCTGTATAATGATTATAGCTCCAACTTTGTAGCTGCGCTCAAAGAAAATGGTATGCAGTCACATTATCCATCACTTCACCGCACCACCATTCTGGCCATGCCTGGTGTGGTTTCCGGCAGGCTCGTTGTTTTGGACGCACTAATCTAATGCTAATATCAATCACAGATGAAATCACAAATATTCGCTGTCAACTTACAAACTTATTGTGGGATTTTGAGGACTTTCTCGAACCCGACACCTTTGAAGCCAGCAGGTTTAAAGAGTTGCAAAAATTAGATCGCGATGTCGCGCCGAAAGTGTACAACATACTCATCACTATGAAACTCGAACCCCCAAATTTCTATCTATCCCAACCGTCGCCACCCTTGTCGCCTCATCCTCCTTCCTTCTCTCACATTCAACCAGCGCCGCAGCATCCCTATGACCTTGGTTTTCATCGAGGGTCCGGGTCAGTCTGCGGCTCGCAAGGTGATGTGAGATCTGTGACAGACGTTCCAAATGTGGAAGATGCTACGGCTCAATTCAGAACGTTGATGGAAAACCGGCAGCGGCCGAGTGTCCATAGTCATGTACGGGACCCGGGGTTGGGCGTCCTTAAGCTGGAGATTCCTCCAGAGCAACAAATGCCAGACCCCCCACGACCACCGTCACCCGATCCATGGGATCCCCAAAGAGCGCCTTATAGTGGCCATGGCGTAATGGAAAACTATAGCCCGGCCGACCGCAGGCCAACGAGTATCAGAGCTGAGTCACCTATAGACCCGGCTATCTCACCATTGGGTCCAGACAGTCGCCGTCGCATATCATCTACTGATGCCCAACAATCTTCTGGCAGTGCTACTGTAAGGCCAGAGCCGGACACTCGTGTCCAGGACGAAAGTCGACAGTCTGGGTCAAGCACATGGTCATCCTCTACAAATGCTACTAGCCATGGTACGCGAGTGCGGCCTTACACTTTTTCTTCCACTATCCCAGAGGAAGAACAGACACCACGGAAGCCTAGCAATCCCATTCATATCCCACAGCTACAGGTACGGCCTCCGCTTCCTCCGATTCCCTTGGAGCATCGAAAACCTCTGGAATCTTCCTCGACTAAAGGAGTTGATGACATGGGCCGTCAATATCTGAGCAGGCAACCTCAGGGGCAACCTCCAAATGTCACTCTACCAGCACCGTCAAGTCTCCAGAATAGTACACATGGAACCCCCCGTGCCTTGAGCCTTCGCCCTCCAACGCCGAAAAGCCAAGCGGAGCTCGAGGTGGCACCCGGGATGACGGGCAGAGCAGATTATTCAGATCTGATCCCAGTAGGAACTGAATCAAATACAGAGTCATTGACAGAGTTAGTTGAGGTCAGTCTTTCTCAAAAAGACTGCACCATCGGACCAAGTAGCACATTCTATCTCTACAAGGGATTCTGCGACGGCGCCAAAGAAGTTCGACAAGGCGGCATTGGAGTCAAGAAGACAAAGAGGCCTGTAGGTATTTGTCTGTTCCAAGAGCTGACATACCACCGTACTAATGTTAAATGTAGGGGTTTGCAGGTACAACTACAGTGGCAAGGTGTACAGGCTGTCTCTTTGAGCTCGACTTCTCTCAAATCGAGATTGATGTGAACAAGGAAGGTGCGTAAAGTCGAGATAAGTCTCTCGCAAACGGCACAAACTGACACACGACTCCTTTAGACAAGGGCAACTTTTACAAGAGTGGGATCAATTACCGTCTTCGATTTTTACAGAAGAGTCATCTCTCTGCCAAACGTGTAGACGACGTGCTTTACGCCTGTGTGTTTTGTGTCGCTGCACGCCGTACTGTCGATGAATGCGATTCAACTGTGTTTACCAATACGAAGGCATTGTTTACCCATCTATCACACCATCCGCGACCGCTTCCTGAGGTCCCTGGAATAGCCGTAGTAGAAGGACTAGAGATGCCCGCGCGTTTACGCAACGACTTTGATGTATGGTTTAGGAACCCGGCAGAAGCGCACCCAGCTCAGCTGAATATGTCGGAAATAGCTGGAAAGGCCACGGGAATTACTAGAGACCATTCACGAAGATTATATGGACAAAGGCTCCTGTTTGATAGAAGCCCAGCCCTGGAACTTTGCCATGGTGCTAAAGTCACTGGCATTACCTGGCCGGAGAAGCACAATGGTGAATGGGTCTTTGCCTGGCACGATGGTATACATGCTTCCACGCCCGCTGATATTGTCAAACTTGATGCCCCGCCTTCGGAAGAAATCAGAATGGTATGTTCAAGCCTGATCCGAGCAAAGTCCAGGTGGAAGTTTGTCTACAGGGACAAGGAGAAGGACAAGAGCCTGTGGTTGAAGTTTGACAAGAACGAGGCCATCACCAATATAAGTTGTAAGTCACACGATTCCTCCGCAGTCCATGATATGTGTGTTCCTAATGATTCCCCCAGATGCATCCCCAGATCATTGGTGCTGGTCGGGAACCAACGCAAAGGGGAAATGGGGTATTTTCCCCAAGGTTTTCCTTGATCCAAGCACCATCCAGGAACTCACAACAGAAGGCGCTGATCGTGCGCTTACTTTGAGCAGGGAGAAGAACAAGTCTTTGTCAATGCTATCCAGGTTTCCAAAGAGACGGCCGTCGGGTCGACCTCCTAGTGTTGCCGAGTCTACTAGCAGCCGTGAGACACAGGGTGGGCTCAGCAGTTTGAGAAACTCTAGAGGCAGCAGAGGAACAGAGGATGCAATGTCCGGCTTGGTGACCTGAGGAAGTGTTGGGTAACTCGATATACCCTCGGGGAGTGCCATATGACGCAATGGATTATCTTTGATCTTCAGTTGCAGACTTTGATGACGGGGCACACAATCATTCGCCGCCTGTATGTGTGTCTGTCAATCCTCGCTGTATACGAGTACGTGCGACATTTGGGCTCAGGAGAGGAGACGGTGTTGGTGATGGATGGACCTGGTTTGTTCAACATGGCCGGAGTGGCACTCATCCGGCAACGTGGCAGCGCTACACGTGCGTAGCGGTGTGTTGCTTTTCGACAGTTGTGCCAATCCGTGTATTATATTTTGTGGCAGGAATTAAAAGGCGCACCGGGACACTCGCAGATTCTGAGTTATCTCTACTCGTGTGCTCGGAAAGCGTGCCCTGAATTTGACGTATCAGCTACCCTGCACATTTTGTGATCTGCACTTCCGCATGCAAGTGCGATATTCGCATGCGAATGTGGGTGCGATGTTTCATGACAGGTAGCTGTGCCGTTGCTTCAGGTGAAATGCCTGGATTTTCATTGTTGTACGGAGTACTACTTCGTATTGACTAGTGTGATCACTGTGATGTGGGCATGAAATGCGCCTGGCATCAGACGTTGCCAACATTCGTACGGAGTACCCGCAAGGCGTAGATCGTGGTTGTGCCAAGTGTCAATCGATGGGTATTCATACTACCTACTACTATTTTTCCATCGCCAACTAAAAGCTACTTGACTGTATGTTTCATGTTATTCCTGAGCCAGGCATGATAGCCAGGCATGGCGATCTGGCAATATACCTACTTAGAGGTACCTAGGTACTTTTTGCTTCACAGTATACTTCTGAAAGCGTAATGCCCGAGAAACGTGTCGTGCACACTCGTGAGGGAAAACACATGCGCGGCAAGTAATCGAGACAGCAATTTCAAATTCTTGTCTCTGTTAGCGCTTGTTAGGCAGGCGGTTACGAGACATGTCCCTCATGGCGCTGATTGGGACCGGGAAATAAACAGTTGCGTCTCAGCCAAGACACGGCAGCAAAACAGGGATATGTGAAGCGCAAAAATAGCTCTCCTCAACAAGATCGACTCTCGAGCTGGGCACCGATGAGCGCCGTGGCGCCCTAGTGGTGAGCTTCGCCCAAGGTTCCATATCCTGTGTTGTGATTATGTTGCGCTTCTTGCAAGTGTACATTCCGGCTGAGGCTAGGCGCCGCTGAAAGACAACAACATGCTCACCTCCACGTGCACCAGAGACGTCCGAGGTATAGTACTATTCCGTATTGCACGGCAGACCGTAGAGGAGCCGGGCTGGCTTGCTGACCAAGTATCTCACCAGGAGCTTACAGCATGTAGAAATGTCCGTCTTGGAACCCTCATCCCTTGGGGCTTGCTCCTCGAGGCCCTCTTTAAATTTGTTTGTTACTCGTCGTCCATCCGGCTTTTTTGTGGCCTGGGGGAATGCGACCCTGGAAAAGGGTCGCGCACAGGCCGTGGATGAAACCGTTGCCGTATAGGATGTCAGCTGCCTGTGATAGCTCATGGAACTCGTACAAAGCTTAGTTGTTGTCCGGGCCGTACTGGGAATCTGCGCCAAGGGCTTGGGGGGAACATGACGGAGAGGAAAGGGTCTCAGGGCCAAGTGTATGTAACAGTCTTGGTGGTGACGAGGGAGGGAAGGAGGCGGAGAATGTAGAAAAAAATGGGAAAAAATAAACAAATAAGTAAATAATAATCAAGGCACGGGGTTGACGAGACACAGAGGCGGCAACTTCTAGAATGGCTCTGGGCTCAGGTGGCGCGGCAGGTGCCTTCGGAGTGGCTGCCAACATTTTGCGCCACCGAGATCCAAAGATGTCGCGATAGATTCACACATTGATGCATGACGCACGGCATCATGCTCTTTGCGCCTGCATCATAGTCTGCAATAAGCTCACGTGAACGATCGTGGCGCGTTTGCAACCTCGACAACGATCAGTCGTTTCTAAAGACACTGAATGCACCTGCTACATGGCTTGCGACCACTTTTGTTCGATGCCACGGTCACAATATAGGCTTCTTTTTGCGCTTCCCCGCCTTTGTGCCCAGGCAGTCATCAAGATGCAGGCGTACGATGGGTCATGAGGCAGCTGCCAGTAAGCTTCAAATCTTCTTCAGCTCACTTCCAAGTAGCGTGGTGGTACGGGTGCCATCATTGTGCCACTCGCCGCATCTTCACCGCCCAGCAAGCAACAACAGGCATGGCCACGCTTCAGTGTGACTCTGACGGACCATATGTACGCCGTCGAACAGAAGGGGAAAAGCTCCAGAAATAACTATGACGATAATTATAACAATAACTGGTGCAACAAAAGAAAGGGCAATATCGTCCGTCTCAAGCCCAACAAGGGCACCGCCACATCCACAAATACACCAGACGCGAGGGGCAAAAGTGTGTGTTTTCGAGATGCAGTTATGCCACCCGTGGTATAGCTGGTATGCTCTTAGTCTTCCTTTGAATGTAGTGGCTAAACGTGTCAGCAGAACAAAGACGTCGAATCTACTCCGTACATTTGATTTAATCATGCACCGTCCCCTTCATCAGATGACGGGCCTTTGTGGTGATGCACGGATTACTACCACCAGACTGGGCCGGAGCACTGGATACATATATGGAGATGTCGCGTGAACGCCCGGGGGTGTGGCCTTGGCTGGAGCTGGCACGGCCTGAGGGACAACCGGGCGGCATGTCAAGATCGGGTGCCCACTCAAGTATCCAGGAGCATGAAGAGGCAATCTCCCGCTGAAACACGATGGCTGCCCTTCAAAACCAGAGGCCGCTCTTTGATACCATGTGCAGACACGGCCTGTACATACGTACTTGTATACGGAGAACTTGGTGCCCAGCAGGAACGCGGCCGCGCTCAGTCAACAACCGGGGATGGATGAATCGTCCTTCAGCTTCAACACCAAGTCGAACTGTTCACAACAACAACAAAACAACGACAAGCGCCGTTGGGGAGTTGGGTCTATAGTGCGAGCCGCGATCTGCCAGCTACCGTCTTTTTCCTTTTTCTCTTACTGATCTGACTTGGATGCTGGGCCTGTGTGGACATCTGGAGGGGCCTGATTGGGACCAGCGCGTCCATATCCAATGTTCAATGTTATCCAAACTCGGCGCCAAACCCCTTGCCTGCACCAATCACGGCGCTCCGCCTTCTCTCTCCATCGGCAGCCTACCGCTAGACCGGGGCGTGCTGGGCCTTGGCTCCTCCTTGCATGGTGGCTCCCCCGGCCCAGATTCAATCATCGATACCCGGGTCAGGGGTCTGGTGCCAGCATAACCTCATGAGGCGGTGCGTCTGGTGCGTCTAGTAATGGTAAAGAAAGGACCTCCAGGCTTGGCCCCGTCAATGTGACACCTTCAGCACCATCTAATGAAAGGGGGGGGGGGGGGGGGCCGGCTACGGGGCAAGACGTGGTGTTTCCCCAGCACTGGCACGAAATGCGAGGCCTCAAAGTAGTAGTATTCCGTCTGTGGGTGGGTGGTCCATGACCTTGGCCCGTCATTCACGGCAAGTGGATGAGACTCAGATTCGACTCAAGCGCCGTCCTCTTTACCTGAAGCATTGTTGTGACGGGGGGCTCACAGAGACCCTTGTTATACTAATACACCATCCTGCCCGGCCCATTCCTGTTGCCAGACTCCTACATAGCAGTTCGTCTCTTCGGATTCCACAATCTTTGATTTTGTTGAATACACGGATGATATATACCGTTGCTCCCTATTCCCTTGTCCACACATGGCAAGCCTTTGAATAGTTTTCTACAATCGGAACTCGCATGACCCTATCAAACTTTCATGCGCTTGCTGCCACCTACCTTCTCTTTTTCTTGTTCCCATCCTCCACCAGACCATCATCTTTGACTGGTTGTTATTTTCCTGAGACACGTTTGGCAAAATGATTCCCAACTACGCCTACCGGGTGTCCCTACTCGCGATGATGGCACATGCTGTTGGGGCCGAAGAAGCAGCCAATGCGCAGAAGTACACGAATTATGCCGTCTCGGGGATAAAGTCATTGAATGATCATTGGTACAATGTGAAGACAGGTATCTGGGATGATGCTTGGTGGAATAGCGGAAACGCGCTCACTACCTTGGCCGACTTTGCGGCATTACGACTGGCCGAGGCCAATAAGCTCAATGTTGGTGGCTATATGCGCAATACATTTGTCCAGGCCCAAAAGGTCAACGTGAAGACGGCGAAATTTGTTAACAAAGCTGGCATGGTCTCGTCCGTTTACTGCCTGGACGGGAGTAGCGGCTGCATGGCTAAGCGAGAGTTTTTGGGCAAGCGTGGCTTTGACGATTTTATCAACGACTTTTACGATGATGAGGGATGGTGGGCTCTGGGTTGGATACGAGCTTACGATGTTTCTGGCGATGACGATTATCTCGGCGCCGCCATTGATTTATTCAACGATATGCAGACGGGATTAGGCGGCCCTTGCGACGGCGGTATTTATTGGAGCAAGGACCGACAGTACGTCAATGCCATTGCCAACGAGCTCTATCTGTCGGTAGCTGCATCTCTGGCTCGACGAGTTCCCCAAAACGGCACTTATAAAGCTATTGCCGTGCAGCAGTGGGACTGGTTTGAAAGGAGCGGCATGATCAATGCGCAAAATCTCATCAACGACGGTCTCGATGCGTCGTGTAAGAACAATGGATTACAGACTTGGACTTACAATCAGGGTGTTGTCCTGGGTGGTCTCGCCGAGCTCTTTCGGGCTACCGGCGATCTCAAATACGCCGAAAAAGCCGTTTCTATTGCCCAGGCAGCCATGAAGGCGTTGTCTGTAGATGGCATTCTGACCGAGACCGGCGGGTGCGATGCTGCGGGCGATTGTGGCCGAGATGGCGCACAGTTTAAGGGAGTCTTTATTCGCAACTTGCGTTATCTCAATGATGTTGCCCCCCACCAGGAATTCAAGGACTTCATCATTCAAAACGCCAAGTCCATCTGGGCCAAGGACCGAACCAGCGACAATCAGTTTGGGGTGGCATGGGCCGGTCCATATTACCCAGCCTTTGGCGCGACGCAAAGCAGTGCCTTGGATGCCCTGGTTGCCGCTGTGGCCGTCTCATAAGTAATGCATATTTCATAATCACCAAATACACAAATACGAGCGAGGGTCTGGGTTTTGAGATGGTGGTTATTTTGGCTAGAACATTGCATAACAGACAGGATTGGAGTTTTGATGGAACAAGATTTTTTTCTTCCTCCTTTCATTTTACTCATTACACTGCGCCCTTTTTTGTATATATCAAGTTGATCGATGGAAGATACATAGAATACGTCATGTGTGGTCTTTCTCCAGGACTGCACGAAATCTAATAGCTGGACACATTGTACGGAATAGATACCGCGCACAATAAATGGAAGTTTTCTAGCAAACACATAAAGAACATGGACTCATCAGTACAGACCGGGGCATGTGCTCTGAAAGAACTGTGAACCACCGTATCATCCCCTTCCGGCAGCAGGTCTCGTCACTGCGCGAATCACAAGACGATGGATTCACACTCACCTACCCGCGAGGCAGTCTCCCCGTGACCCTACAAAAGGTTTTGATTCAAGCTAGAATAATTGAAACAGGTACTTGTGTGTGTCTTGAGACCCATTGACGCTACGCTTCTCCGGTTGGAAACGCCTTTTTCACACGGGATCTCGACGATGAGCAATTTTCCGGAAAGAAAGTCACCCGGGGCGCGGTAATAAAGGACACGTTCTTGGACGTCGTGAACTCCTCCTCCTTGTGTCATGGGGGAGCCGGACGGGGGAGCGCCTCTGCCACACAAAACGTGAATGGACGCTTCGTCTGGTCTTTGATAAAACACTGTTGTTTGGGGAGAAGGGTTTGGAAACGGTTCGTTGGTATTCCTGGGCCCCACTCTTTCCGGGCTGAGACAGGACATGTTGCTCCAGTTTGACGACGGGAGTGCCAAGCAGCGCCCCTCACGGGGGGAGAGGAGTGTGAATGTATATGGAGTTCTGTTTGACGTTTTTTTTTTTTGGAGTGTTTCCAGTCTTTCGAATACTATATTCGGGGGCGCAGGGTTGTCGGACGCTGGGCAGCCGATGCCATGGCGTGGCGGAGGGTGTTTGGCGAGGGCCTTGGCTGTCTCTGGTTAATTAGTAGTTGAATAGACGTGGTCGAATAGCATGTACTGCCGCTTTTGAACTAGAGTTTTTCTTTGTGGTCTTGCTGGTGAGATTGTTTGTGTCACATGCCGTGATATCAGGGACATTTCAAGGGTTAGGGTTAGATATGTCTGGGCAAGTGATCTGCGAGGTGGGGCGCAATCCAAAACCCCACGTGCGCGTATTCCTTAGAAATCGAGGCGAGTCGCGACAATGCACTGGAGAGTGCGAGCTACGTCGTCGGCCTTTGGCGCATGCAGCACCATCCCCTGTGTCTTTTGAATTGTTTACGTATTTGGGTGCTGTCAAGGTGTGTTTTATTCGGCTGCCTGGAGGAGTCCCATCCGCCTTGCCGGGGAACGGGATGCTGCCTTGATCATCAGCTTGGCAACACTGCTCGAGGCCGCCTCACTTTTTTGAACTTCTGGCTGTTTTTTACACACGAAGCATTTGACAGTGTCTTCACCATGGACGCGCCGGATTCGGATTTCGATATAAAGCTGCAGAAGATATCTGGTGACCTGATCGCCGACCTTGACCGGGCTCTGACTACATCAATCCGCAAACCTGATGGCCACGGCGGAACTCAGGTGCGGTCCTTTGTCAGGGCAAGGGAGATATTCAAGTCAACAACCATGGTAGTCTCTCCAAGTGTCCATCTCTAACTTTTCTGGTGCAGTTGACGGTGCTGACTAGTTCAAGGTTCTCGACATGTACCAGGAGCTTCCACAACTCCTAGATCCTCACTTACCGAAATGGATCCCTCTTTTGGCAGAGTCGTATCTAGAATACTCCCAAATGCGGCGCAGAATCAAGAAGGCTGCTGATCAGTCTGGTCTTCTTGTGCCCGTTGACTACGCAATCTGCAGGATCCTTTATAGTTTCTGCAAAGTTCGCGGGGAAAAGGTCATAATTCGTTTTTTAAATGCGGAAACTAGGTATCTGGAGGTTCTTCTTTCGGCCATCGAAGAAGCAGAGGAGAAGTCACCCACCACTGGCGAATCGCAGACCCATGGATGGGAGTGGGAGCAACGGTACGTTGTGCTTCTTTGGCTCTCGCACCTTTTGTTGGCCCCGTTTGACCTGTCGACCATTTCGACACTGGATATGGAAGAGTCTGCCGTTGCCCCTATTCCGGGCTTTGAATGGCCCGAGAACTTGCCTGGAATTACAATCAGAGTGATTCCCCTAGCTATCAAGTACCTCTCTTCTCCTGGCAAGGAGAAGGACGCAGCAAAGGCACTGTTGGTAAGGGTAGCTATGCGGCGAGACATGCAACAGCTTGGTGTATTGGATGCCCTGGTTCGCTGGGCATTGGCTTCGCTTCGACCACGGGGGGAAAATCCTGCCCAGTCAACCTATTTCTACCTGGGCGTATTGTCATTCTTGGCAGGAGTGTTGCAATCATCAGCAGAGACCTCGGATATGGACAAGTATCTGCCTTCCGTATTCCAGTGCGTCCACGACATCCCACTCGGCAACAATGAGGTATCGAAATCCATCATCAAACTGGCGTTGGTGAGGAAAATGATTTTAAAAGTCATCCGATCGGTTATTGCATCTTTACTGCGACAGAACCGGCAGAGCATGGCTAATACGGAGATGACGGAAACAGCCATTGGCTATCTGCTGGATAGTGTTTCTGACAACGATACCCCGGTCCGGTTGTCAGCCAGCAAGGCATTGAGCATCATTACCCTCAAATTAGATCCCGGAATGGCTTCACAGGTGATTGAAGCCGTGCTAGACTCGCTTAATAGGAACATTCTCTGGACAAAACCAGTTGGCGGCCAAGCGGGAAAACCTACCAGGAATTTGTCGGCTGTCAATCCGCTGGAATGGCACGGCTTGATGCTCACGCTTTCTCACTTGCTTTATCGCCGATCTCCTCCAGCGAAGCAACTCTCGGACATTATTCATGCGCTTCTTCTAGGCTTGTCGTTTGAACAACGAAGCACGTCCGGCGGCAGCGTGGGCGCCAATGTTCGCGATGCCGCCTGCTTCGGCATATGGGCACTCGCTCGTCGATACACTACGCAGGAGTTGTTGAATGTCCCCACAACATCGGTCTTTGCGGCAAAGGCACATCCGGATTCCAGCTCCATCTTGCAGGTTTTGGGTACGGAGCTGGTTGTGACTGCTTCGCTGGACTCTGCAGGAAACATCAGACGTGGTGCCTCTGCGGCCTTGCAAGAGCTCATCGGACGCCATCCGGACACGGTTGAGAAGGGAATTGAAGTTGTGCAGACTGTTGATTACCATGCTGTTGCGAGAAGATCGAGGGCCGTCGAAGAGGTAGCTATCAAGGTGACAAAGCTATCAAGTCAGTATGGCGAAGCGCTCATCGACGCCGTTCTAGGATGGCGAGGCGTCGGGGACATTGACGCTCAATCTCGACGAGTTGCTGGAGCTGCCTTTGGCGCCTTGACCTCTGAGCTTGCCCAACTAGATGCTACGCCATCGTCGTCTCGGTTCCTCCTAGCGATACACCTGGTCATTGCGCGTATACAGGCCCTTGTAAAGCGTCAGGTTGAAGAGCGCCACGCCTTGTTATTGTGCTATGCCTCTGTTCTGGACATGGTTTCACAAACGCCCACAGCGGGGCAAGGAGATGCTCAGATTGATTCAGCGCTGGTTCAAACTATTCTCAGCTCTGTACATGACATTATTGAAGACACCCGGGTCACAGAGTATAGAAAGCCGGAGTTGGTTGCCGAAGGAGCCAGCCGCCTAGTCGTATCTGCTCTCCCCATAATCCAAGCTGCCGTTCTCGGGAACCAGCCAGGCCCGGCATGGATGTCAGGGCACGCCCTTCCATCTTCATCCCGTTCACGAGAATACATAGCTTCGACGTCGAAATTACTGAAGAATGCCCCATGCCACGAGCAAGTTGGAAAATTACTCTCCGCTCTGAAGTCAGTTACGCCGACGTGGCTGGCCAGAAACGAGCCCGAGGCCGTCGAACCAGCCTCCGAAGCGGCACTGGTACTTCTGCTCTTCTCGACCAGCCAAGACCAAGAGAAGATAATTCAGGAATGGGCTATAACCGTCGCAACCAAACCTACTACAAGGACCGTGACCACCGGCCAAGGTTACTTCCATGCATTAGCCATGGCCCAACCCCTCGCCGAGCAGCTTCGTCCTTCCGATCCGGACGTGGCCTGCCAGGCACTTCTAGACCGATGGGCAAAAGACGACGACATCGACATGAGAGTGACTCTCTTGCAAAGTCTAGTCCGTAGCCGTCTTTTGCGAGCACAGGCAAACGTGTTTCTAAGCCTGCTCGTTGACGGACTCAACGACTACACAACAAATGCTCGCGGTGACGTGGGCTCACACACCAGGGTACAAGCTCTCAGGGCGGTCTGGAAGCTATGGGGCGACGAAGCAAGCCCAGATGCCAAGTCGGACGTCATGAACACATCTGCCAGGGAGCTGTTCCCGTGTATTCTGCGCCTGGCAGCAGAGAAACTTGACCGTGTTCGCCCGGAAGCGCAAGCCGTAGTAGCCCTGATGATGAAGGAGAGGTACGCACATCCAGCCTGGTACAGAGATATATTCAAAATGAAAACAACAAGGAACTGACAAGAAAGAATTTAGCGACTCCGAGTCCTTTCGGTCCCTCACATTTTCCTCAAAGGCCTACTTTGAGAGTCTACTCAAGCTGATGCTGTCAGATGCCCCATCACCAGTCCTTGAGCCTTGCCAAGTAGACAGGTCAGCGTGGATGGCAGAACTCATGTCCGGGCTGGTCACGTCCGCCGACGCAGGAAATGACGACCTGGTCATTGCTAGCCGCGCAGCTCTCACGGATTTCTGCGAGACGTCGCAACGGCACCTGGACATGGTCTGCGACGCTCTCGCTCTGAACCTGCGTGCTCACTACGCGGATGATCGCATCGCTGTGCCTACGCTGGAAATCATCGCGTTTCTGTTTCGCGTCGGTGTATTCCACCGCAGCAGCGGGGTCAATCTTCGCCACTTGTGCTTTTATACGCAGAAGGCGGGCTACAAGTCGGGAAATGTCCGCAAACTCTGGGCTTGTGTTAAGGTCTACAGCGGCGTGGCAAGCGTGCCTACGGGGAACCAAGGTGACGGACAAGAGGCGGCGCAGGCCGGGGTGAAGGAAGCCAGGAAGAGATTGGGTGCTTTGATGCACCACCCGTGGCCGCGGGTCAGGAGTGTCGTTGTAGATGAGATTTGGGGCTTGTCTGGCTTTGCTGAAGATGATGGCGCCAGGTTGACCAGCGTCGATTGGTCTGCGGCTGGAAAGACGCAGATTGATGCTACAGTAAAGGCGTTGGGGCTGGGGTGATTCTGTTCAAAGAAAGAGCTTTATTAGGGTCACTGCGGCTGGTCCTCTTCAGCACTCGGGCCTCGACAGTCGAGCCCGCCTGTCCGAATTCTCGGCATTCTCAGGCGTTGAGAGAGTTTAAGTGCGTCGCCCAAGACTTCTGAAAGTGGCTTCGGCACCCGACGGTGGCTTTCGTCGATGGCGCCGCGTGCATCGGTAGTGATGCGACGGCTTTTGCTACGTGAAATCAATCAAAATCACTTCCCTGCTAATCCACGTCATGTGAGCTGCCTCTTGATGGATTGCTCGAATTCGGCCGTGCCCTTGAGCACGGTGGTAACCGAATGGCAAGGACTTGTGCGGGAACTTCTGGAGCACAGTCACATTTGGAAAGGTAAATTTTCAGATTGCCGGGACCTAGTATTGTACGGGGCGTCCAAGCGGGCATGTGGTCATCTTTTCGAGTTATCTAAGTGACTGGTGAAGGTGGCGGCGGTGTGCAAGGTGGTGAAAGCGCCGTGGCTTGGGGGCGCGAGTCAAGAAATTTCAAGCGTGACGGGGCGTTATTCTGGAAGAGAATGAAGAAAGTACTACTGGTGGTAATATACACCGCTGTAGAGAGTCCGGTATTGTGCGTCGACGTATTGACGGGCTGGACTTGTTGTCGCCCAAGCCTTGTCGCGATTTCATCCGAAGGTGTTGCCGTAAATGATGTTGGTTTGATGAGCCGTTTGATGAGATATGGCTATTGCTTGTCATCCCCCGCATTTGATTGCAGAAGACAAGGGGGGCCGGTTTTCAAAATTGCCCATTGCCCCATCGCCCGAACTGCCCGGTGTTCCCAAGAAGCTGCCAACGAAACAGCAAAAGTCCTTGTTATACGCGGCACACGTAGCCGTTGTGTGGCCTAAAGTTCCCAGAAACAATACAATTACTCGGCCAAAGCAACCGTCCTGCCAGCGCTGTCTGCCAACTTGAACACATATGCCTCAATGCACTTCATGCAGACGTGAACAGGAATCAATCGCCAGCATCCACGACGAAGTGGGCACGGCAGTTGATGTTAGCAGGCACCAAACATTCGGTGAGCCGAATTAGAGGGAGATGTGGCCGCTGGCGTCGACTTGGACCACGGAGGAATTGGGTCCGGTTCCACAGGGATCTGGCAATGTGGCAAGTATTTATTGAGGGCGGAATGCAAGGCCTGGACGGGTCGAGTATTGAGGCAATATGTACCAGACAAGTTATTGCTCGTGTTGGCAGCAGGGGAGACCAAGGGCGATGCCAGCAGTGACCGTCGCAAAACCGGTTACCGCCTTGCCGACAAGAACGTGCACGGATTTGCCAGTCCACGGTAACATTGAACCCTGTAACCCCAGATTTCGCCCACGGAAACAACCGGACTCTTGTGATCCAAAGTCCGTCATGTTCAAGACGGGCCATTTGCCGATGGAGCAATGTTGGCAGAAGGTCTTGTAAATCATTGTCCGGCCAAAGTGTCGTCGAGGAAATGCGAGGAGCATCAACAACTGGAAATAGAGATGTGTCTCTGGCGGTGCTCCGTATGCACTCATTATTGTAACTGGGTGGCTGGGAGGGTGTGGAGGTTCAAATATTAGCTAGCAGATGGAGAGCGTAGATGACCCGACCACAGTCAATTGGAAATGACGACTCCAGCAGGGACAGGCTGCCTTTTTGGGCAGTCGAGGACATAGGTATCCAGTACCTAGCACCCGGCAGCTGGTACCTAGCACTTCGCCCTCCAGAGCGGCTCCGCATATTGTACTGTCTATTATCTATAAAGTTCAGAGTACGGCGTAGTAGCATACTAATGAAACCCTGCCACCTGCCAACTCTAGAACGCCCACCAGCCAGCCGTACCTGCCTTCTAGTTCGTAGTCAAGGGCTTCGCTAGCGCGTCAAATGTTCAAGTTTGACCTTGCGCCACAACTTCGACACTAACTACTACTGCGGACAAACCAGCCGACTCTTCGCACTACACCAAGCCTTCATTCACCCTTTGCAATCCTCCAAGTTCCCAATTGAGCTACATTCCGGCCGGGTTCGCCTCATTTGCCACCTTGATGCAACCCCATGCCTCTCCCCGTTGATAAATCGCGGCCTGGATAATATCCACCGCACTATTGTCTGCCGCGCCATCATTTACGGAGAACATATCGTACGTATTACGGGGCATGGAGTACGGAGAATCAGTACGCACACCCATTGAACACATTGGCCCCAATTAACCCATTTACACAGATAGGAAGACAACGGAACCAACATGTGCATGGCGAAATGCGGGCACTGGAGGTGTTGGATGCTGGATGCTGATAGTGCTGGACGCACCTTATCGTAGTGGTGCAGGCGACCAGCTAGTTATTCCCTACCAACAACAAGTGCCATATCAACTGGTCATTCAGCGACAAAGTCGGCCCTATTACCAATCGGTGTGCCATGATGGGGGTGCTTGGCGAGATTAGATACCAAGAAGTCGACCCTGACCAGAGCCATGAACGATGGGATGCCCTTATCTGGCTGGAGAGGTCAGTCAGTGCGCCACTTGTCGCTCAGTCATTCCGAAAGAGCTGTTCAGCTTCGCTTCACTTGTTGTCTGAGACATGCGCCATTCGGGGTAGGCTGTAGCGCACCAAACCACTCGTGAGCCTCAACAGGCTCCAAGACAACCTACCTAGGGGGTGACTTAGTACAAGAGTTTAAACTTGGCGGCTGCCGACCTAATCGTTCCGCCTGCCACCATCGCTCTAAACCTTCCGACGCTCCGACCGCGGCAGTCGCTCAGTTCCGTAATATGGATCGGAACACGTTCCGGCCACTATCTGCGACAATGTGTCAGATGCTCTACCCAGGAGGACTGAAGTCTGACGCAGATGCTACGTACCACCTCTCAACGCACTCTAATCAAGCAGACCCAAGCGTTTGAGCCTGGGCGAAGGGGTCTCATAGATGTCGGTCATGATACTATATCTGCAAGCGGCCCATGCAAAAGCTCGACTGATAACGGACAGAGGCACGGAGAAGGGCGACGGTTATTAGCCGAAGGCCCATTTTCAGGGATTCGACGGTCAAGAACTGCCCCCTGCTTCTCCCCGCCTCCAGCCTGGAGGATGTGAGGGTGCTCGCACGATGATAGGAGTCGCCGCTCACACCCCTCAGCCAATCCTGGCTGTTTGGTTGTCTGGCTGACGAGAGCGCTGAACTAACGGGCCCCCATGTCTTGCGTCTTAGGGGCAAGGAGAACGAAGTACATACTTGAGTGAAGGGAAATTCCAGTGGCATAACGTACCTGCGATACGACTAGTACCACCACTTGGCTTGTTGAAGACTGCCAAGTTGGGACAGGGCCCAGGCCTTGATATGAATTGCTCGGCGGGCTCACTCTTTTTGCTAGGTGCGCTCACGCACCAACAGGTACCTAAATATTAGGTTATATATTATAATATATTTTATGGCAGGTAAATATGTTCTATTATAAATTATATCTTAAGAATATGGGAAGAGTTTAAATACATACGATACATGCTTACCTACTGAGGGGGGCGAGCGCACCTAGCAAAAAGAGTGAGCCCGCCGAGCAATTCACCTAGCAGGGGTCATCGGGCAGAGCAACACCTAAAAGAACAGACATTGGATTGAGGTGATTCGTTCGTTTACTTCCGCAGTACCAAGTAAGTTACTAGTACGTCACATGCGGTTAAGAGGCAAGTGATGGGGCTCGGGGTAAACCGGCTCTTTGACACGAAATAACCAGCCAGTGGTTTCAACGGTGAGCCACGTGAAATCAGAGTCAAGTACTCCGTACTATTCTTTGTTCCTCAATTGGATGTTGGGACAAGTATCGCCGGCTGACATGTGCGAGCAGAGCAGCCTCCCGCCAGAAGACAATGGCAGATTCCCCCGTGCCCGAGTACACATGTATGTACATACAATGTGCGTGTACTCTGTACGCGATAGTTGCAATTGTTGCGCCCTCTTTCCTCGACTGGTCCGTCGTAATTTTCCTGGTGACCCCGGTTCACTGTGCGTCCGTCCCGCCAGATTACGCACCATCGCCAATCATGGCCAAAGCAGACATGGAACCCTGTCCGCATCCACAACAAGCCGCCTCACCTCTCGTCCACCAAGGCCATGCCAAAAGCCATCCATGACTTGTGCTGCATCGACATCCACAGTAGCGTGTCTGTACCACATCCTCCAGCAGATGTGGCGTCCTGTGTGCTTCATGCTTGGCCCCGCGGCTCCTTGGTGTTCCACCAGGCTTTCAGAAGCACACCAAGGAAACCCGCCCCGTCTGACCATCATCGCGTGCCGAGTCGACCAGCGGCCAACTCAGCCGCATTTCGCCAGGCCCCGTCTCCCAGTCTCCCAGTCTCTCAGTCTCCCGCAATCGTCTGGGCAGGGTCGGTTACGGAGCAGCTTACGGAGTAGATTGTTAGCGTGTTAGTTCACATCGTTGGGACATGGAGTCGGCCCAGCAAGACTGCCTCCACAATAACCACTTTGGACTCCCACATCCACACTCCGACTCCCAAGGCCGCTTCTCTGTTCCTCCATATCCTGAATTGCCTCGACCTGCTGCCTGTGTTTGCTGGGCCAGGCCGCCGTCGACAAACTCGCCGTGTGACCATCACCATCCGTGCTCAACATCGGACAATACCAATAATAGCCACATGTGACGGCCCTTGCAGCACCGAAATACTAATCATACATACCGGACCTTTGTAGTCGATTTGACTGCCCAAACTACCGCCGCGACCCTCAGCTCCATGTCGTCTTGACTTTCAGAACTGCCCGGTTTTCCGTACCGACCTAGCCGAGTTGATATCTCTACTCGTTGCCAAGCCCACAAAGAGCAGGGTGTGAATCGGTCTTGAAGGAGAATCCTGTCTTTTTCCACCTCGATATATCCTCGCTCGTCGAGCCCAACCTGGTGCTCGACGGGCGCGGAGCGAACCAAACCGCCATGCCCGTCTATTCAGATGCCCCCGGTCTGCGGGCCTTCCGCGACGATAAGCCGACGCTGCTGGTCTGTTGGTGGGCAACATCCTTTTGCACACTTATGATACTGCTGCGTGTCCTCGGTCGGTTTATAAGAACGGAACGGCTATTCATTGAGGATAAGATTGCGGCACTGGCGGTGATCCCGCTCGTTTTGCGCATGGTTTGCGTACACTTTATACTGATTTACGGCACTAACAATGCCGACTTCAGCGGCCTGGACCTCACCGCTGTACAGTTACATCACAAGAGCGTTGCAAGTGGACTAGTTTTGCTTAGCAGGTTCTTTTATGCTGCAACGTATGTCTCTCCCGGCTGCCCGGCTGCACTAGCCGCTTTGCTCTCTCGTGGATGGTGTCGCGCGAACCTTTTTTCGCCCTGGCTGCTGACTCTTGACATCATAGCTTGTGGACTCTGAAATGTTGCATTCTCGAGTTCCTCAAACGCATAACGGACCTCACGTGGGAAAAGCACCACCACACAGCACTCATCGCAATCCGATGGACCTTGCTAATAACCTTTATTGGCGTCGTCATTAGCGACTTGACCGAGTGTCAGCCATTCCGCATGTATTGGCAGGTTCTGCCAGACCCCGGCGGTCAATGCCGACAAGGATACGCACAGCTGATCACCATGGCTACTTGCAATATCTTCACCGACCTTTTACTCGTCATATTCCCGATCCCAATTATCTTGCGAAGTAACATGCTCGTTCGAAGAAAAGTACAGCTTGTTCTGTTGTTTTCGCTGAGCTTGTCTGTCATCGTCGTCACCATTTATCGAGTGCCTCGCATTATACAAGAACATGGTCGGCAGCAATATCGGTCCCTTTTGGCCTCGGTCGAGCTCTTGTTTGCGACCGCAGCGGCCAATGCCTTGGTTTTGGGCTCCTTCGTTCGCGACCGTGGAGTCAAGAAGCAAAAGTTCCATCGCAATTCCGGCGCCGACTCTTTTGATCGATCATCCCACCCTCGCAGGCCAACTTTGCATCGACAATGGGGTAGTGACGAAGATCTTGTGAGAGACGTTGGGCTGGGTGTCGACGCGGAACTGCGAGAGCCGCTGGACAGCCCCGACGTTGAACAGTTCTCCCCTGTAGGAAGGATGGCGCCGAACCTCGACGCCGACATCAACTGGCAAGGCTCGAAGCGGCGAAGCCCTACCGAGCAAAGCGACGACTCCCTGCTCCCACATGACCCATTAACCAAGGTGGATTCTAACAAGAAGCGCTTGTCATTTCTTGACGTCGGAGGCTTGCTTGAAGAATCTGTGGCCGGCAGCAGCGGAAGTTATAGACGGGGCAGCTATACGTCCTCTACGCTGGATCCTAATTCACCCAACGCCGCCCCTCCGCCTTCGGTACCAGCCTCCAACAACGGCGTGCGGCGAGGCTCGACGGCTTTGTTGCAGGATCTAGGCGGTCTGCTAGGACCGCTTAATACGAGGGCGGCCAGAGCAAAGTCCAAACCCGGGACAGAACTGCAGCCTATACCACAATCACGCGAGATACAAGCACACAATCCTCACGGAAACCCGTCGCCAGAACTCAAGGACCCGGGCGGTCTGCTGCTGCCGAGGTGAAACAGTACCACGTTGCCTATTCTTTGATTGGTTTACGAGAAAGCACCTTGGAGCCAATGTCCTTTCTCATACATTGTCTCATCTGCGGCTCGGGCATGCATGCAGTTTTACGACTACTACTCTTCTTCTTCTTTTTCGACACCTGGAATGCGACACAGATCTTCTCCAGCGTTAATGTGTTCATGTCTTATAGACGGCGGTTGTCAACCATGGAGTTTGGGATATATCACGACGAGCCTACAAACTATTGGATAATATTTACCACGGACATTTCGGGGATGAGCCAAATGCATTGCTGTCTCCTCTATAATGGGCTATTTACGAGTACTATGTTTTGAAGTGGAGGATATTGATTTTTGCACGTTTTATGTTTATGGATGTTTTATAGTTAGGGATGGGGGCACTACTTGGGAGGCGGTGTCACGGTGCATATATATACCCGGCAAGAAGCCACGTTTGGGATGGTCATTTGGAGAATTCATTCAACACGTTATGATAAGGGCAGTCTTGGTACATGATCGTCATGGCGTATAGTATATATGCATTTGTAAAATTAGACGCAATATGACTACTACTTGGTTACGTTGTTAAATTGTCTCACGGTCCAGATATATGAAGACAGATGTGTCTCGTTCTTCTATCCCGGGCAACTTACATCTGTTTCCACCTGAACGAGATGCAAAACAGCAAAATAATGGAAGTGGGAGGGCTGTCATTCTTGGAGGCTAACTGCACTAGATCCTGGCCTTTTGCAGCTGGTTATTTTCACTTTTTTTTTTTGTATCGTTGTTTTGTTGTCTTTTTTCTCGTCAAATTCACGTTTTTGCTGGCTTTGGGTTTGGTCGGACTCTAGTGTGAATGTTCCTCGGGCGCCTGTCCTTGATCCCCCCGTCATGCATGGCGTCGAGATGCCCGGTGATAACTAATGCCCCGGTCCGGTGACTTTAAATTTGCATGTATGCAGGTAATGGCGATTATATACGTGTTTATCAGGAGGCGCACCGTGCCCCTCCGTCCCTCCCTGCGCACGAGACCAAGATCTTTTTCGAGAGGTGGTTGCTTGGCCAGCAAACAGGAGTCAGCTTTCCCGCAGGGAAATCGTATCATGTGTCGCGGCGTATAGATGCCTTGTCCCTGGTCAGATGTCATCGCCGCTTTTGCCGAGGGGAGTCGCGTAGAGCGTTCCGTGTCCTAGACTGGTCCGACAGCCAACTCTGTGATGTGTACGGACATGATGCGCAGGGGGAACTTGGCCGCCTGAACCGCATAGGTGGCCACGAGCTGATTCAACGGTTTCACCATGCACTCTTTTTTAGCTGCACAACACGCTGCGGTAGAGTTCTGATTGTACAGTTCCGATTGCACTTCTACCTACCACGAATGGATAAACCCCTGAAACGCCGCAGTTTTTCTTTTCCCAAATGCTGAATATGATTCGCCTTCACTCTTCCACGTCGGCCGTGAAGCTGCGGTGTAATCGCAGCCTGGCTCCTGGTTTCACCTACCTCCTCTGCTCGAAATTCCCGTATCCAATCTCGACAGAGACCCCTTGGCAACCTTCCTCAGACGCACAATCTGTAACTCGCATACCGACCAGCCGTCTCACTGACTCGGATAATCTTGACGACCTGCCCTCTTTTCAACCCCAAATATCTTGCCACGGGGTCCTTTTGCAAAATTCTAGGCAGCTGCGTTTCCTTCAAACGGTATCTCTTTAGCAAGGCCGACTTCTCGTCTCTTGAGAGCAACACGTGTCGGGGCACCAGCTCGTGGTGCGTAATGTTGACCAGGAGATCGTCTTCGAGGAAACACTCAATCTTGGCGAGGTTCTCGACACTAGCGAGGGACTTGCGCGCGGCTGGGGACAGCGGGACGTGGGTGACCATGATGCCGGTCTTGTAGTTGTTTGAGATGGTGTATTTGGCGAACTGGCGGATCTGACCGACGCCGAATTGCTTGTCGGTCAAGAACTCGACCCATACAGGGCCGCAGTCGGGGACGGGATCGGGGTTGGACTCGGTTGCGGGGGGGGTGTTTTTCTTGAGCATGGCGTCGCTGGGACGCGCGGAGAACTGGAGCTTGGAGCGGCTGTTTGGTGGGCGGGCGGGCGGGCGGTTAGTCCTTGTAGCCTGGTGTTTTGAAAGTGTGCCTATGAAATGAAAAAAAGAAAAAGGAAAAGAAAAAGACGAAAAAACCGCCCGTTTGTGACGACTTTGTTTTGGATGTTGGATGGGACGTACTTTACTGAACCATCTGGATTGCAGTACTCGTCGCGAAAGCGATCCAGCGAAATGTTGACTTCTTCTTCTGCCAATTCATACTCCTGGAGCAAAGCGTCAGTCAGTCTACGGTGGTCGGGGCGGGAGGACATGCCGCAGGGCAATTTCCCTGTTGCCGCATTTTTTTCTCTTCGGACATGACGTACCCGATCGGCGACCATCTCGTGCACCGTCCTCCAGGCCCTCCAGAGTCTCACGACCTCTTTGGACTTGGCATCGTTGGGCAGATCCTCCATGGTGACTAGCGTGCTGCGTCTGCGTGGTTTATGTTGCGCAAAAAGCAGAAACACAGAGGGCGTGGTTGAACTCCCGTCGCCGTGAGAAGATGTCGTTGGAAAATTGTTTGCCCTTTTGCGCAGCCTTGCAGCTGGGCTCCGGAGGTGGGTACCCTACTAGGGACTTGACTGGGTTCGAGGGGAGCGGTCATGTGACGCGGCGAGTGCGCCCCACCTGGGCCGAGCAGCGAACAGAGCCGAGTGCCTGCCTACCTGGTACAAAGTTACAAAGTAGCCGTGCGGGACATGGACAGTCGATCCCGCCACAGCCAAGCCTCAGTTCCCGAGAGTTCCAATGTTCCAAGTTGGCCGGCTCGTATTGGTCCAAAAAGGGGCTTTGTGGCCGTTGGACCTTGGACCCTTGAAGATGGACCGACTTGACCACTAAGTCTGTCCAAGACCCAAAAAGGGGCCCCGTCTCAATGTCGGCTCCAGCCACGCATGTGCCGTCTGTGCCTGTTCTGGGCTGACTTTGATGGAGCGCCCAGCGGTCCAGCAGTGGTGTAGTCGAGGTGTTTAGCAGTGGTTTAGCAGTGGTTCAGCAGTGGTCCAGTGGCTCAAGTCGACATCTGGAGGCTGGGGTCAAAAAGACAAAAAGGCACCAGACATCCATGGTGCAAAAAGACCAGTTGACCACATCACCAGAACCACATTTTTTTTTTCTCGACGGCCGCACCTCGTGCCAGCTCTCCGCCTCTTCCTCTTCGACTCTGGACCCTCCCCTATTCCTATTACCATCCAATTCCCCAACCTTCCAATACAACTCTCGTCTATTGCTCGCGAGGAAGACCCTCGACGGCTTCGAATCGGCCTCTTCTACTCGGTATTCTTTTGGCACCTCTCTTTCGACAAGTACAATGGCTGAAGCTGCTGCGCCCGTCAAGCCTCAGGCCCCTACCGCCGAGTCCCAGGCCCGACCTACTCGCCCTGATGAGAAGACCTTCAACGAGGCTCTCGCAAAGGCTGAGAAAGACCACAAGGCATCCATGGATCGATTGGTACGTTGACGCCGTCCCAAAGCCTGTTCAACACCCGCACCTTTTTTTTTTCCCTTCCTGTCCTCAGCCCCCTCGTTTTGCGACACCCGACTTGTCTTTCCAAATCTCCTCGCATGGGCCCAAAGAATCTGTATATAAGAAAGGGCAAAAGAAAGAACGAAAAACCTGTACAGATATTTCGCTGCCTTGAAATCCTCTCTCTAACTCCACAAATAGAACGCCATCAAGGCCAAGATCGACATTGCCCTGCCCAACAAGAACAAGGACCAGCCCAACCCTACCCAGAAGCGACGCCAGGAACTCATTGCTCAGGCCAACGAGATCCGCCAGAAGCAGGCCGGTGGTAAGAGCGCCCGTACCACCAAGCTCGACCAGATCAAGCGTCTCGATGAGCAGGTCCGCAGCCGCATCGCCGAGCAGAAGACCGCCAAGGCCAAGGTCTCCTTCAAGAGTGCCGAAGATGTCGACCGCCAAATCGCCGCCCTCGAGAAGCAGGTCAACTCAGGTACCATGAAGCTCGTCGATGAGAAGAAGGCCCTTTCCGATGTTTCCAACCTGCGCAAGGTTCGCAAGAATTTTGGCCAGTTCGACGATTCGCAAAAGCAGATTGACGACCTCCGCGCCAAGATCAAGGAGATCAAGGACAGCATGGAGGACCCCGAGCAGAAGGCCTTGTCAGAACAGTACAACAAGATCCAGGCTGAGCTTGACACCATCAAGGCTGAGCAGGATGAGGCTTACAAGGGCATCTCCAGCTTGCGCGACGAGCGCTCCAAGCTCCAAGCCGAGCAACAGGAGAAGTACACCGCCATCCGAAAGCTCAAGGACGAATACTACGGCCAGAAGAAGGCTTTCCAGGCCTTTGAACGTGAGGCCAGGGAGAAGGCCAAGGCGCGCCGCGAAGCCGAAAAAGAACAGTGGAAGAAGGACGCCTTGAAGAAGGACGCCGACAAGGCTCTTGCCGAGGCCAGCTACCCTGCTTACTCGGACGAGATTCGCCGTGCCAACAGCCTGCTCCAGTTCCTCGACCCTACCCATAAGGCCGAGACAAAAGGCCCTCTCACCGCCGACAGTGGCCTGGGTGCTCAGGCTCAGCGAACTGTTGATGACTCTGCTCTCAAGGGTACCAAGCTGGTGCGCAAGGAGGACCGAGACGACGAGTACGCCCCAGCTATGAAGAAGGGCAAGAAGGGCAAGAAAGGGGGCGCCTCTGCGGCCGCCGCTCCCGCCAAGTTTTTCAACTGCCCTCCCTCTGTTGTCGAAGATTGCGCTTTCATTGGTGTCGACCCTCCCATGGCCAGCGCCGACGTGCCTACCGTTGTTGAGAAGGTCAAGGCCAAGATTGAGCACTGGAAGAACGACCAGGAGGCTCAGACCCAGCGAGTAAGTGCCATTGCTACATCGACAATGAAAATTCCAACAACACGGTTCACAAAAAGAAAAGACAAGAAAGGAAAAAATTGCTAACAAATATTATTCAGAACATCGAAAAGGCTAAGAAGCAGATCGAGAAGCTTGAGCAGGAGGGGGCCAACGGCGACAAGGTTGCTGAAATCACCGAGGGTGTCAAGGACGCCTCTCTCAACGACAAGCAGGAGTCATAAATTTGACCTCCTGCAACTTACCGCCAAGTGTAGCCCTGTCTGAACACATCGGCGTTTTCCTGACCTGCTCGTCTGGTCGTCCCCGAGCAACATATCCATCCACCTAAATCCAAAACTCTACTAAATCCATTACACTTGAAAAGTTATTTCTACATGTCGAACTTACCTGGGGACAACGAATAAAAGGGCAAAATTGGTCAATGGGCTGGGTACATACAAACATCTGACTGGGTACAGGCAATCACGTAGCAAAGGTGTGGCTTTCTTTGTTTGAAGAAGGGTGTTTTGTCTGTAACATAGGCGCCAGTTGAGTTTCTGTGAGGGGTCAAAAGGGAGCCCGGGCAGAAAAAAAAGCCATTTACTTTGTTCGAATATGTTGTCTCATCATGACTGTTGATTGACGTGAGCTGCAAATGGTGAGAGCTAGCGTGTTAACTTGGCGCAATCCGTAGACTGCCGGGATTATAGACAACCAAGCACGCTTCTTCAGGGCCTGGATTAGAAGCATGTACTGTAGAGAAGCAAAGGCAGTGCCAGAGTATCCGGGTCGATTTTAGCTAATTTGGCGTCTTGTACCTTATACCCTTGGGCGCCGCGAAGTTGTCAACACTACGAAGGACCGTGGACAATACTATGCGAGCGTGGCTGTGTGGGATCCAATCCTGTCACACAGAGAATGTGACGCCACATTACGGATATAATATGTTGCAACGGGGTCCTTTGACATGCAGTCTGTGAGCACTGCAGATACCCAGACCGATACGGAGTATACAGGTGTTTAACAAGTAAAACAACAGGCAGGTGCCGAGCTGCCTCAGACTCATCAGACTTGTCAACCGTCATTGGGACCAACCAAGACTTATGTAGCCTTCTTGAAGCACCCGATTAATGAAAACAGTGTAAACACACATGTAATATTTCGAGAGCATGTTACACACGTACTGTTAACGAGAGTCGGTTCAGGTCTACAGCGCCGGTTTGCTTCATAAAGCGAATGGACCTCGCATACACGAGTCAACTAATACAAAGAATATTGGTGATCGCTGTAGGAATTGTTAACACAATGAGCGATATGAAATCTCATATCTCTGGCTTCCACGGATACCCACTCAATGGGTATTACGCTAAGCTGACTTGCTCTTTATTTAATTGAAATGATAAAAATCCACCATTACACACCAGATGCCTTCAATTTTATGCCTTCTTGGAAAACTCCATGCGCCAGTTGCAAACTACAGGTTTCAACGTCTCCTTGTCCAAGCTCATCTACTATCCAGAAAAAAAAATGGGAGAAAAGAAATTCTGAAAACTCTGTCGCCGTTGATGCAAATGCTAGAAACAAACATGAGACCCGTTTCGTCGTTACAAGTCGCACCATGGCTAACTGAATGTCGTCGGCTGGCCGTATAGCATCGTGATAGATGGTGTCGTAGCTTTGTCTTCGTATCCAAGAAATATACAAAAAATTTAATGTTCGCCTGGAGGCTGAGCAGCAATACCGCCCGCCATCCTTTCACCGGAATCCCCCGTAGTAGGATGATGGCACAGGTGGCAGGTGCGCAGTAGTAGATGGTCGTCGAGCCGGTGGCTGGGAACCTCGGCGGTCCAATGCCAAATCTCGACCTGAATACGATGTCGGTAGGAATGGCGCGCCAGATAACGCCGGGGGCGCTCGCCGGCCCTCGCTGCTGGTGCTCGTGCTCCCTTCGAGACTGCGGCGCGTGGCCTTCCGGTGTCCATTCAGAGCACTCAGAGGTGGATCTTTGACGGCAGGTTCATCATCTGCCGGCAAGGATAATTCCACAAGTCCGTAGAAGTATTCGAGAACTTCGGGGTATCTTTGGACACTTGCTTGCCAATCTTCATCTATGCCACGCTTAAGTGCCCCTTGAGCCTCGGCGATTTGGTTTGGATGGGGAGGTGCATTATAATGGTAGAAGGAATGAGCAGTAATCTGATCCAAGTGCGTGGTGTGGGCGTTTTTTCGTCTCTCAGTAAGCAGACGAAAATACTCCAAGACGTAGTCCTGAGCATGACCCCGAACCCAAGAACTGTTTCCGCCACGTCAGCAATCTCGTGCCTGATAAGAACATGACAGTTGCTGAAGCAAGGACTGACCGTATATCGTTGTATACCGATCTCATCATGTGGTCTTCGGCTTGCCGAATGGCCATCTCCAGACCTCGGGCTTCACATTCACAAGCCAAGGTTGCCGGGGCATGGCATATAGCACAGTTTGGGTCCATGGAGACGGAGCCCTTGGGAGGCTTTGATGCTAGGGCTCTAAAGGACATCTTAGTAATGGGTCAAGCGAGGGCGCGGCGATGATAATTGCTGGGTCAAGACTCTATGGCCGTGAGGGCAACACAGCAAGGCTGAGATTTCTGGGGATGGTGACAAGCCATCAAGCAGCCCAAACCAACGTTGCCCGCCAAGTACCTGTATGGCTAGTCCCAAGGCAATCTCACAGTCTTTGTAATGTTGGCAAGGGCAGACGAGGCTACACTGAAGCTCGGACACATGAAGCTTGTTGGCGGCTGGGTAAAAGAGCAACGGGAGGACAACAATGCTAGGACCGAGGTGTGAAGACGCGTTGGAAGGGAGAGAGGAGGAGGAATTGAGGGAGTGGTGAAGCAACTGACCTGCTGGACGGGGAGTGATCTACGTGCTAAGGGAGGAGGGACTGTACAGAAAGGTGTGACCATAGGCGGACAGTTCGAAGCAGGAAAAAAGTCATATGGCAGATAGGAGAGCAGTTGGCGTCGAGTCCCAATGGTCAGCCTCCTGCAGCTCCGGCACCTCTGGCACCTCTTGGTCTCGCGGCCCGGCACCAGGCGCTTGTGGTGGAGGGTCAATGACGACGGAATGGGTGGCCGAGGTTCAAGATTGGTGCTTGTTTGCTCGCCTGTTTAGGTGAATGAATCAATGTACGGTGCGTGCGCTCCGACCGGTAGTAGACAGAGTACTCGGTACTGCGTCTGCGTCTGCGTCTGCGTCTGCGGTATCGTGGTAAAAATTCGCAGACGAGAATACAGCGGCAGACAAAAGTCGGTCGACGATTGAAATAGGGACCAGTTGACGAGTTGGCCCCCCTTGTACCGAATGCTGGCCGCACAAGCGATGGAAGCGGTGGAAGCGGTGGTGCCACGTCTTGAGAGGTGTCGTGGCTCACATTGAATCCTCACAACTGGCTGCAGCCGTCATGCACAACCGCCCAATGCTTTCTGTCAAGTTGCATTTCGGGCCCAAGGTGCCAAATGGGGCTTGCACTGGTGGATTGCGGCAATGGGGGCCTCTCGTCTCGAGCCATTCAAAGGCCCATTGATGGTGGAGGTGCGGTTCAACGACGAAGCTTTTGAGGAACGGGCCGAGGGTTTCGCACTTCCAACGTCATTTCCAGCATGACCTGGCCGTGGTGGATCAACCAGCTGGTAACAACCGAGCTCGAGTCTCGCGGACGATTTCCCAAGATGTGATATGTATCAAGATTGGGACAACACAAGCTGCTAAGAATGGGGCGGTGTGGGAAGGGTGCAGGACATCGGATGCAGGGAGATGTGAGGCGCCGCAGAGGCGGCCAGAGAAACCGCGTCTTGTCACCGAGGGCTACGATGGGAAGGAGCGACCTTGACTTATTCAAGTGCGGTTGCCACGGCGTCAGCTTCTATGCAAACCAGTCGACAATGGAAATGAAGCTGAGGTTGAATTGTACAATGTCCATACTTGGTTTGCATCGGGAAGGTCGACATTGTTTACAGAAACAGGCCACCTTGGCACCGTAACTCAAGGACCTCTCCCGCACAACAAGTGTTACCCTACAAGAACACAGCTCTCAAAGTCGATTCGCCCAAGCAGATTTATAAACGGCGGGCCGATTTCCCAGTACCACCCCGGAAATGTCAAAATTCTCTTACTTCGGCAGTTATTGGTGAATGTCTTGCCCAAAGTAATCATCGGTCGTTGATTGCATTTATGCCGGCCCACGTCCCTCCATAAATCCCATCTGAATTTAGCCCACAAATATTTCCACGGCCCATCCATGCACCGAGCTTCAAGCTTCACCTCCCTCTCACAATCCTCCGCGGAATCCAATTCCCTGCAACACTCCATTGCGACTGGCCTCATGCCGTTCTTGCGATCGGTGACCATACGCCAATGCACCACCAGAGGCACTGGGATAGTGCTTGCCGGCCGTCCAAGCTGGCAAACGCGATGCACATCTAGCTCATCACCCCAACCCACGCTCAACAATCTCCCCGCGTCACGATTAAACCCTAGCCCCGACGATTACGCCTCTCCCAATTTTGCAGACAAGGCCGAACTGACAATTTACGCTGGAAGAGGCGGCAATGGCTGCGTCTCTTTCCTGCGCGAAGCTTTCTTGCCCGATGGCCCTCCCAACGGCGGCGATGGCGGAGCAGGAGGAAATATATACATACAGGCGGCCCATGGCGAAACATCACTGCATAAGCTAGCCAGGAGACGTTTCATTCGTGCAGGACGCGGCAAACATGGCCAGGGGAGTGCAAAGGGCGGTTCACGCGGCGAAGATGTCATCATCACTGTACCGGTGGGAACGATAGTGCGGGAGCTTGAAAGGGAAGATCCAGCCGGCGAAGAAGCTATGAACATCAAAGCGTACAGGGCATTACAGAAGCAACGGAAAAAGGAGGAACTGCTTCTTCAAGAGGAAAAAAAGAGACGCGAGAGCGTGGAAGAGGCACACGAGGACGAGATTCTCGACAGAAAAGGTCGTCCAAAACAAGCACCAGAAGACGAAGACGAAGACCTAGAGCTCGATGACCCAACCCGCCAAAAATGGCTCCTGTACCCTGGAATGTCCAAGTCCGAAATGAAAAGCACTTCGTTTCCACGTCTGCCGCGCCGTCATCCTCTCCTCCAACAACCAACTGCCCCAATCTATCTCGACCTATCCCGCCCTACACCTCGGCCCATCCTCCTTGCCGCAGGTGGAATCGGTGGCCTGGGAAACCCACACT